ATAGCAATAAATAGTGTTTGATTTTTAATGTCTTACATGTTTAACATATTTTGTTATAGTTTGCTCCAATAACTTGGTACATATATGTTATATTACATTTATTGTTTTTATCAATGCCTATATTAAAAATTATTAAAAAGTATTTATAAATTCATTATATTTTTATTACTAATAAATAATAATTATTTTAATACAAATATTTATATTTGTATAGAAATCCAAAATATGGTCATAAAATTCTTGTTGTTTTGAATATATTGAGTGGAATCAGAATATTTTGGGTCACATATTATTTAAGGCCTGTTTTATTGGATAAATTACATCCAATTGGATCCATTCTCAATCCAGACTTGTAAGTAATTAATCAATTAATTAATAGATTTTGTTAATAATTGTTAATATATTGTTGAATTTAGCGGGGACAGTTACAATTTATTTGACATGACTTATATGAACACTTGGTGTCGAATGGGACCCTATTTTATAGGCTTATATCTGGGGACTATAATCGACGATAAAAAACAAATGAAAAACTTGAAACCTATTTTATTAATCAGAAATTTAGTTTTTTATTTAACAATTTTGTTGTGTATGTTAACTACTATAGTTGTTTTAGATCAACGTTCAGTATGGGTTTGTCTATCATTAGCCAGTTATCGACAAATATGGGCTCTTTGTATGTTTTATATACTATTAATCTTAAATAGTGTTCAAAATGAAAAAATTTTAAACTTTTTTCGACTAAAATTATGGAAATCTATTCGCGATGTGACAACAACTGTGAATTTGATTCATCCGACAATTTTCATGACTATTATAGATATGATTAATATCGATAATATGTCATTTGCGACATTGGTTTTAACATTTATTTCCTTAATTCCTGTTATTTATATCATTTCATTTGTATTATACATAACTATAGAAATGCCGATCAATTCATTGACACAACATTTGAAACAAAAAGGAAAACAAAAAAATATTTAACAATTTATTTAATTTTGATTTTGTGTACAAAACTTAAATGTTATGATATGTTATTTATTTTTAGTTAAGAAATCTATATTTATAATCACAAAAAAACAAAACAAAAATAGTATTTTTTTTGTTTATATTATTTTTTATGTTATCAATGCTTTAAATAAATTAATAAATTCTTAGCATTTAATAATATGTAACAAAATTAGAAATCTTGGGCTCGTCCGGGATTTGAACCCGGGACCTCTCGCACCCTAAGCGAGAATCATACCCCTAGACCAACGAGCCTCAGTTATGATTAATTAAACTAATATAAAAAATTACAAATACCTCTGTTTTAGAAAATTAAATATTTTGTTTATATTATTGTTAATACAACTTAAAATGTAATTATTAAATACAAATTTCAAATTTACTATTTAAAAGCAAATTGTCTTATAATTAATGTTGAAAACTCGTTTTAATAAAAGTTCATTAAAAAGTTAAATAATATTTTTTAAAATAAAGAAGATATTTAGAAATTATTATATTTATTTAGTAAAACTTTTCATAAAACATTTATTTTATCAAATTATATTCTAATAACTTAATTGATTTATAATTTATTTAATATATACTGACAATAATTTTTAAAAAAGTTTACTTTACTTTTGTTAAATCTTGATATTTATGTTTATTTTCTTATCGACTTTTAACAATATATAATAAATATATTTTAATTTATTCTATAAATTGATGAAAAATACTCTATATATGTACGCTATATATACTGTATATAAATATATTACTGTAAAGTAAAGTTTTGATAACTTGTATTACAATTTTTAGTATAAATAATTAATATTTTTATTTACTTAAAATTTATATTTTCAATATTTTAACTGATATTAGATCTAAGTTTTTAAGTCGTTTTTGAAGAAATTTATTCAATTAAATATAGTTTATAGCATTAGTTTTAAAATATAAATATACAATATATTATCTTAAATAATATTATAATTAAATATAATGTATTAATTGAATCAAAATTGTAACACAAATAAAAATACATTAAAACTAAATAAAAAAATATGAAATTTATTTAATGAAAACAATATATACAATGAATATAATGAAAATATATAATTAGTCATCAGTTTTTGTTAATTAAATCAAAATTAAAAGTTAATTTTTCAATTAAATTATAAATGGTATCAAACCATTCGTCAGGTGTTCTCTCCCCTAAATATATCAAAAATTTAATGACAATTCCGTGAATCGTTAGATACCTGAGCTGTGGTTTTTTATTTGTGAGACTATCAATGATATTGTCAATCACATCATCGATACGATTACCGACAAAACAATCCACACCTTTAGCCATTTGATCCATACTATCGAAATATGACTGTCCATAAACTTGTTTAACAGTGTTGTCTGTGCGCTCCCATTCCCTATCCATAACACGCTTATAATTATTATCGGCTAAAAGTGGTGTCCTATAGAATGCCGGCTCAATAGTAGAGACATTGACAGACCAGTCGGTGAGTTGTCGTCTGAGACCGTCCGAGAAGGCAGTGATGGCGTGTTTGCTCATACAGTAGTGACTCGTCCTCTGAAATGCAAGTCTTCCGTTGACTGAAGACATGTTTATAATTCTTCCGTTTGAATGTCTAATTAGAGGCAAAAATCTAAGAGTTATGGCTACTGTTCCTAATGTGTTGACATTAATAACATTTTTATAGGCCTCCATCTGCCCCCAGTCCACATGACCGACATGTGTAATACCGGCGTTGTTGACCACAGCTCTCAAACTGATAACATTATTAATCAGATCTCTTTCCACTTCAGAGTAAATTGAATTAATGTCTTCAACATTAGTCACATTCATCCTTAARATCTTGATTTTATCTTTAAAATGACAGTTATTTGTCAAATATTTAGATCCAACACTATTCGTGTCCAATACAGTGGCGTACACTCGGAATCCCATTTCATTCAAACGATAAGCTAATCGATTGCCGAAACCTGTGTCACAACCTTTTGAATAATTTGTTTTTAAATGTTTTATTAGAAAACAATTAKAAATTACAACAACAAAAATCTTTTTAAATTTAATTAATACTAACCAGTAATTAGAACAGCACCTTGGTTATTTCCAACTTTATTATTTCTACAAGAATTTTGTTTATTCATATATTTTATCAATTTATCGGTGAAAATATATGATAAGTATATCATAATAAATAATTTTCCACTTAAATTAATTAAAAATTTAAACCATTGATTATAATAATAGAAATATAATGTTAAAAATAAAACAACAAAAAATTGTGTAAATAGTTTTGCATTAAGAAAATAAACCATTTTCATATAATTTATTAATGTTAGTGAAATTAAAACTATTAACTATAGTATAAATATTAATACAACATTTAATAAATATAAAAAACTAGAATTAATAATTTTAATAACAAATTTAACTCATTATATATACCTTTAATTTAAATTATTTATTACATTACTCTTTAATTATATATACTTTACGTAAAATAAAAAATTTTGACATACATTCAAATGAATTGTTTTCAACAATTAAATTGTGAATAAATGAGTAAAATAGTGACAATCAAAACATATATCCGCTTCTGTTTTATGTAATCCTATATAAAATTCATATAAATATTTTTAATTATATTTTATGTCTGATTTCCATATTAACAGAATTACGTATTGTTTTATATTAACACAAACTCATTGAAAATATATGATTATAATTAAGTATAGTTTAAAATGTTAATAATTAATTAATTTAATAATAATAATAAAAATATTGGTATAGATTACTGAAATATATTCAGTAATTTATATTTTATAAATCTTATATTTTTATTTGTGTTAATCTTTTGTCAAACATAACTACTTTGCTATAATCAAAATAAATTTAAAACAAATAAAAAATAGTATATATATGTAGTTTACTGTTTTAAAAAATTATACCCTGTTTTCATAAAGCAATCTCTCAAAGTATTTTCAAAATTTCTTAATAAACACTACTTATACTTTGCTTATTTCGCAAGTTAGCAAAAAACACAAAWCTTTAAGAGAAAGTATATTTCAAAAATACTTAATAAAAACCATACAAAGTATGAGGTAAAGCACATGCGTTACACATATATTGTATTTATTATATTATTTGAAATTTTTGAATTAATATTTTATGTCAATATAAATATCAAAATCTAAATGATTCATAAATATTAATAATTATAATTTATAAAAGTAATGCAAAAAAGTATATATTAATGAAAACGATTTTATACTTTACTTTGAGAGAAATACTTGCAGAAAATGATTTATGAAAACAAKATATAACTAAACAAAACTATAATTAAATGATTGTTTCCAAACATCTGATTCCCCCTTAAGCCTAACCCCCACAACAACTTACATTTTAAAAATAATTGTCGTTTATTTTGACCATGTTCATTTWAAAAAAAAWATTTCATTAGACAATTTCTATTCTATTTTTTGATGCTTTATATAAAACTAAAAGTTTGTTAGAAATTAAATAATTAAATAAATATTGAGAAAAATTTTAATAATATATAGTTTAGTATAATATGTAGTTTGCGATAAACTAAATGACAAATAGTGTCTATGAATACTGTATTTTATAATTTAAAATTAATGTCTTTCTCTAATTTCCACTATTATTGATAACAATATTGTAGTAAAAATAAATTTAGTTTAAATTAATTAAATAATCGCTAAAACATTACTAAACTTATAGACTATATATAGTTATAACTGTAATAACAAATGAAAAAAACTTTTGTAAAAAATAATTCAAAGTTTTAGTGACTCTATAAAGCAGTCAATACTGTATGTCATAGACTCGATTCAATAATATTGATCCACAAATTGGGCCATTAATATATACATAGAATATATAGTTTTGATTCTATTTTGTCGTTAAAAAAGTACTGAATTATCGTTGCATTAAAAAGAAACGTAATTAGTGTTTGTGTTTCACAAGTGTATCGAAAGCCATGTTTTGAGACAACTGTTTGACTGATATATTGAAAGACAACTAAAACTCAGTTATTATTACGGAATAAATGTTTGTTACAGTTGTGGTCATTGACTGACACGTCGGGCCATTCATGGACTCCTTGACCTCCAATTTCGCAACGGCTTTGTCCGCAAAAGACAATATCATTGAAGAAAAGCTCAAAGAGATCGATGAGTTGAAGAAATTGGTGGAACAGCTCAAGAAAGAAAAGGAGTCGGAGTTTAGAGACAAAACTGAACTTCAGATCAAATTGGATGAAATCGTTACAAATGCTAATCAAGACGTCAGTCAAGACATCAATCAAACCAATGAACAGATTTTCAGTTATGCTGAAGAAGGACATGATTTGGATGATTATGGGATCAGAAGATCAAGAAGACGCAAACGAAGACCTAAAAAGGTTTGCAATAATTGTTTAATAATTGTCTTTGAATTCAAACTTTTTTCTGATTTTTGTTTTGATTTGTTTTTTCAAAAGTTGATCGATGTTTCGGTTGAACCGAAAGTCGTGTCCATTTCCACTCCGATTGCCAACAATGGACAACCGCGCAGAAGAGGTCGACCGAGACTCAAACCTCTGGAAGCAAAAGTGGAAATCGAAGAAATAGTGGAATACGAGAGTAAAGACATTATCGCTGAAGAAATAGTTGAAAGCAGTGTTGAGATCTCGACAGTCGATGAAGTCTTAGTCACGGATTCGGTGTCACCAATAGTCAGACGCAAGTTTCCGCATCACTGCGATTGGCCGGGTTGTGAACGAAGTTTTCGTCGGTAAGGCTTTACTCAGTATTAAACAATTGTCTCAAATGTTTGTCCGCAGTCCGGCGTTTCTCCGAAAACACAAACGCGTTCATACGGGAGAAAAACCATTCAAATGCCAATACGACGGCTGTACGTTCGCCAGCGCCGATATCTTTTGTTTGCGGACTCATGAAATGCGACACACGGGAGAAAAGCCGTATAAATGCAAGATTCCTGGATGTGGTTGGAGTGGTCGCCAACAAACCAGTTATGACAGACACCGACGCGTCATTCACGGCAATCAACGAATCTTCCAATGCGATTGGCCGGGATGTGATCGGCGGTATCGCGACAAACATTCGCTCAATTATCACCGAAAGTCTCATACGGGAGAAAAGGAGTTCATGTGTTCTTTTGTCAATTGCGGCAAAAGGTTTATCGGCAGAAGTGATATGAAGAAACACGAAAGCACTCACAATGCCGTCAAACCATACAAGTGCTCGTGGCCCGGGTGTGGACGCAGTTTTGTCCAGAAACGGTATCTCGCTCTACACAACCTCAAACACACGGGTATTTCAAGTGATTTGTTTTGATTTGTTCGGTATTTATATGGAATTTGTTTTCAGGCGAAAGACCCTATCCTTGCGATTGGCCGGGATGTGAGTGGAGGTCATTCACACCACACGAACAGGCGAAGCACAAGAAGACACATACGGGTGAACGTCCGTATCCTTGCGAAAGATGTGAACGACGTTTTGCCGATGAAAGCAACTTAAAGGTAATAAATGAACGAAACTTTGAATCACTAATGGATTTAATGGCAACGATAGGCCCATTTGAGGACAGTCCACGATGGACAGAAGAATCATCAGTGCCATTATCCCGGATGTGGCAAAAAATATACAGTCAGACGAACACTACTCATTCATCAGATGAAAGCTCACCCCAACATGTCTACAGTCATCACTGGTCATACCCTCACTATTCCCGTAACGACGATCGCACCGATTACCGGTCTTCTCGAATTAGATGATTCGGAAGCGCAAGAGATTCAAACCATTATTGTGACGACTGATGAATGAAAAGTCGTTTTAATTATGATTTATATAAATATAGTTTTTTCAAAAGTAGTTTTGTATATATTTTTATCCGATTCGCAAATAATTATAAATAATTGATTTGTAATTAATTGTAAAATCAAATAAAGAATTAAATTTAATTTTTACCGAAATGTACTTAATTTGACTAAAAATACCATTTCTTAACATTGTCTAAATACTATTGTTAATTGATTAATAATTTGGAAATTAACACTTAATAACAACTTTAAATCTCTAGAGTATTAGAAAATACAGTAAGAATTGACTTTTATTTAGTGAAAAATCAGTGTTTTATCAGATATTTGTTTAATAATTAAAAAATACACGATTTTATGTGATATTAATTATAAATACTATTTGTTTCAATATTTGAGATGATTTTCAGTCATTTTTTATTTGCTTTCAGTAAGAATTCAATTGTATTTTATTTTGTTTGCAAATTATAGTTTTGAACTAAATATTGACATCTGTTTTATTAATAAAAAATATGCACTAATTTTCGAGTAGTTTTTAAAAGAGACTTAAATTATTAAAATTTATAAATAATTGATTTTATATTCAAAATTATTAATAAATCGAGATTTTATAATATAATTATTAAAAAATATTTTCATTAAATCAATTTTAATAACTATTATCGCAATTGTAGTTATTTTTGTGATCTATTTATATCATTTTGATGTTATTATGAAATTAGTTTTAAATTTGAGAATTTTTTTAACGAAACAAAAATGAAATTTTAATTTAGAAAAATCATTCAAAATTTAAGCGTTTGTTAAATATTTTACTCAAATTTAAATAATTAAATTTAAATTAAATATATAGCAATTAAAAACATAAATTTAATCATAACTGTAAAAACATGAGTTGTTTTAAAATTGAAACATTGCTCTTTACGGTTAAGGAAAAAGTTGCAATAATTTTATTGAATTATAAATTATAAACTAAAATAAATTGATTGAAAAAAAGTTCAATAAACAGCTCTTCCTTTATTTGTATGATTTTTTCAGTATATAAGTTAAAAATATAAATACAAAAATAGTTATGTTTTTAATTTGTGAAATTAATTTATTAAAAGTTCAATATTTAATAATCTTTATGTTTAATACAGTTTTAATATAGTTTTCAAAATTTAGTGCAAAAATAAACAAATTTGTAAGTAATTTAAAGCTATTTAAAGCTATTATTACATTAAGTAAAAAAAGTTAAGACTTTGTAAACTATTTTTAATAACATTTATTAGATTTCAATAATTTTATTTATAATTTTGTTTAATCTTGAAAACATTGAACCAAATTATAACTCACATTATAGTTGACTTCTCTAATGTTGATAATTAAATACAAATCATTTGGGGGTCGGCTATAGTGAGAGTGTATTTTGAAAATCACAAAACAATTACAAATGCAAACACTATATAAAACTTTAATTCTATAATCCTTTTCAGATATTTATTAATATTGAAAATATCTTAAAATGTTTTAAATCTAAAAAACTGAATAATTTTTAAGTCATTTGAAGAAAATTTATTTCAAATGAATTTTAATAGTGTTTTAGTAATTGTTATTATTTTAGTAACATTTCTTCCATTATATGAAAGTCGGTCCGAATCACGGCTTTTAGACCAAAACAAAGAGAATGTAATCAATGGTGAGTCGAGAGCCGGAGGTCTGTTCAACATCGGTGGTGTCATCAGTCAGTTCTGGAAAACTGTTTATTTGAATCGTGGATTCAATTCGTCTTTTGTTTTATTGTTACCGCTCTCTACGGTCACAATTCCCGGTTATGGTCGCGGAATAGAACATCAGTCGCCGCTATCGGCACTCAATATCGGTATTTAATTAATTCAATTAAAAACATCGAAAAACTAATTAAAAAGTGTTAAATCTTAGGAAATATATCTATAGTTGGAATAATAATATTCGGAACTATAGCTCTTTGGGCACCTTTTCTGTTCCCAAATATCAATCCAAACATTGGTCGCAATTTTGACAATTATCCCGATTTGGAAACAATTCCCGAATTTCTAGCAAAACGTTTGCTTTCTTTGACCGAACATATCATCGGTCATTCAATAGATATTAATAACAAAGATATAAAAGTGAAGAATTTTCTCTTAAGTCGTTTGCAATCATTGGTAGAATTGCTGATGAGTTTTGTGGACCAATTGATTGATGACATTCCAGAATATCCGGGACTTGATCCGCAGGAATGCATTAAACGGTGTATTTGTGAAACACATAAACATCGGAATCAGTTTGGACTCATTGGAAGAGTAGTTAGATTTTTGTTTCGGTAAATATATATTTATAATAACTATTAATAATAATACAATTTTACAAATTATATCAAAACTTTCAGACCATATAACGAATCAATAAGAAATTTGAAAGTGAAATCAAAATATCGATTGGCAGCTAATTATGGGATTAAAGAGGAATCAATTGAATGTCAAAATCGTTACAATAAATGCGAATTAAATTTCGTGCATTTGATTCATAATGTGATTAATTTTTTATTTTAAACTTATAAACAATTATTTGAAATTTCATTCAAATATTGTATCGTTTTGTGTATTAAATAAACTCTTAGTTTAAATGTTTTCAATATTTTTGAAAATAAAATCTGAAATTAATTAAACATTTTTAGTATTAATAAAGTTTAAAATAAGAGTTTCTATAATAAACATTCATTTTCTATAACTATGTTATAAATAGCGGTTTATTAAAGATAAAAATTCTCAAATGATTATAAACTTTCAAAATTTATTTAAAATATTTTTTCTTGATTTACAAAAAATTCGATTAATTAAGAAATGTTTTTCGAAATTACAAGAAATCAAAAGATATTTTCAGTAAAAATATTTGTAATCTTTTCGCCACAATTCGAGAACCATTTCCTCAATGTTGACATCTTTACCGAAATGAGAGCCAAACGAATCGATGACTCCCTCGTGAGTCGTCGGGAATGACTGGAGAACAACTTTGTTATCGACTAAAGTTGTTGTCGACTCAACAAAGATTCGGCGCGGTTTCTTTCTGGCCACAGAAATGTCGCGAAACTTGAGATAAGGATATTCAAGAGCGTCCGACACTTGGCTATAGCCATCAAACAGTTTTTGCGCCGATTCAATGTCTCCGGTAGACTTGAAAACCTGTAGTTTGAGAAGAAAGTCGCCAATGGCTTTCTTTCCCACCGAATGGATCAGTTGAGAATCGTTCTTCAGAGTTATCAATAAATCGGGATTTCCTGAAAACAATCAGATATTTAATAATATATTTGATTTCAAGATTTCTTGAATACCATCTTCCGATGATTTTTCAATTTCTTCAATTCTGACCAACTCTTTGGAAGCTTCGAGAAGAACACGAGTGATGACATACCGGGCCTGACTGTGCGCCTGAAGCCATTTATTAACCGACGGATTATACATCTTAAGACTTTCGATTCCTTTGTGAACCATTGAAAGCCAATTAACGTAAATCACGTTTTCGGCTTCAGATCCGGAAAATCCAAAAATTCTACGAAAAACTAGAGTTAAATCACTTGAGAAGCAAATGATTTCTTACTTCAAGACTTGCGGATCAAGACATAGATAAAGACCGACACATTCTGCACGACATTCCTCGTAAGCACTGCTGAGACTCGTAAACTTTGAATCATAGGTTTCGCCTTTTGAATACCATTTGTCAATCGGTTTGTTTGTCAACGGATTAACAGTGTTTTGAACGTCAAAATTGAGTTTTTCTTTGTCATCCATTTGAAACAATTTACCGCTTCCGTGACCCAATAGCTCGTGAAGACCAACTTGAACCTCAAATCAAGACAAGTTATTATCAGATATTATAAGAGAAAAAAGCTATGAATACTTCAAAGCTATGAATGCCGTATTTCTCCATCAGTTTTGCGTCTTCTACACTCAAAAAGTTAGGTTTCGGGTCTTTAAGTGACGCTGTTATGACATTCCCGAGCGAAACATTCTTGAAGCCTTCGCTTTGACGGATTTCGTCATAATTTGGAATATTTATTCCCGCGGGAATTCCCGATCCCGTGAAAGTCAMAACATCCAGAGAAGTGAAATCTGGTTGAAGAAAATGATCTTTTTCGTATTGTTTAGACCACGGAAGCAGAGGCAGAAAAGAGGCGGCATTGTCGACGAGAGCCGTAAACTTTTTAGACATTTCTTTGTTTACAATCGAAACAAAACCTTAAGAAAAGACAATTTCTGTGATTAAATGCAAAACAAATGAAAAGCAAACCTTCGAACTCAGCTCTCATTCCGTCCGGATCTCTATAGTTCTCAATGAATCCGATATACGTCTCGACAATCGGTCCTTTGTCTTTGATCCAGAATCGCGATCCGTCTTTGTGTGCCTTAAGGTCTCCGCTTTGGAAATGTTTGATATATTGGTCTAACATTTGACTTTCGGTTAGATTTCTTGCGTTTTTCTTCGCTTCAATCAAATTCTTATTCACGGCTTTCAAAATCGCAGAATAATCGCCGCGTTTTAAAACAAACCGATTGTCCGCCGACTCAACGGTCAGATAATGGTTGTCTTCGGAATCGGAATCCGAAAGAATTGAAGCAAATCTGATTTCATAAGTATTGGTTTCGTTGTCTTTGAAGACACGACTGTTGAAAGCTTCCAATTTCTGTTCAAAAAAACTCTTATTTAGTATCGAATAATAGTATAGAAAAAAGACAAACATTTTTCTGCATAAAATCCTTGACGAGATCCGCGTCCTCTTTGGTGCAGTTCTTCGAGAAATAAGTTGTCGTTCCCTTCAATCAAAACAATTTTGAATTTTGAATTTAAGACAAAATGTTTTCTTACATTCGGAGAGAATCCGAGCGACAAATCTCTGGTTTCGAGAGAATAAAGACTTTGTTTAATGTTTTCCCAAATAAATTGCATTTCCTTTTGGTTTTGTTTAAACGCCTGACTCTTCAGTACAAGAGTTTCCAATTTATTTATCGGTAAATTCGGGACAAACTTTGAGTCTCCGAATCCGCGATAATTTCCCATATTTGCCAAAAACGCCGAATAATACACTAATAAAGCCTAAGAAAGACATTCAATGAAAAAATGTCGACAAAAGAGCGGAACAAACAGTAAATGTCGTGTTATTTGTTTTAAACGCCAGAAAACCAAACAAAAGTTGGACTAAATGTCAAACTCATTGATTTTGCGACAAAAATAAACGGAAAATAGTATTAAAAATGTGTGAAATTGAGGAACAAATCAAACAAAAAGTCAATAAACTGTTTGTTTCGGCAAAAAATGACACCAAATGTCCGACAAATACAAAACAAGTCTTTGAACTCAAGTTTTTTCGATAATCTTACCCTCCATTCMGTGTCATCAAAGTTTGCCACAGTTTGAGACAATTGTTTCAATTCTTCCAATGATTGCGAACCAAATAGTCGTCGGAAGAGAAGGAAAATAAGCGGCGATTCGGGAGAAGTCTTAATAAAACAAAAAGACATTAATTTATAATAATTAATGATAAGTGAAATGATTTAAGACCTGAAACAACACAATCAATGACCCGAACCACGAACTCTTCGACAAGTAGTGAGCGTACAGTCGCTCTTCTTCGGTCAGACCGTTGAATGCATTTTCTGCGTCCAATTGAAGCACTTTTTACCGATAAATACAAACAAATCAATCAAATGTCAAAATAGCTGTACATTTGGTCTCTTTTTCAACAATCGAATGCATAGAGTATTGACTTAAAAAAGGACCGAATGAACAGTGATATAGATTACCCGGTGTGTCGTTAGTGTAGATATACTCTGAGTTTGAAGACATGACACAAATGTTTGTTGTTTTTGATAATTGTTTATTGATTTCAGGCAAAGAGTGATAGAGTTTACGATTGAATAAATTGTTTGGTTTTGTAGTTTTGATAACAGTTTTGAAAGCGTTTTCAATGAAGCGATGCGTCGAACAAACCGTTTGGCGAAACATTGGATTTTGAAATGATTTCAATGGCTTTGAGAGCCATCTCTTGAGTCAAACAGTAATTAATTTAATTGTCATTTATTATCAATTATTTATACAACAAATCAAATAATGATTTATTAATCACTTTATATATAATTATATATAAGTCGCGATTTCGATGAAATTTTGACATTTTTGCCGCAAAATACAAACCAATGAGTGATTATTTGTCGAAATGTATAAACACTAAGAGTTTGCCAGTCGTTGCCGTTTGGCGGCCGACAAGTGCTCCGAATCAGAGTCAGAATCGTCTCCCGATTCTTCGTCCGAGTCTTCGTCCGGCGCAATGTCGTAGTCGACCAAAGCCTGTCGTATAAAACCGTTAGAACTTATAATTTATATATAGTTTTGGTCTAACCTTTCGAAGAGCGGTTTCTGTGGGCGACGGAGGAGCGGTTGAGGACATAGGGGTTCGTCGGGGAGAAGCAGTGCGAAGTTGTTTGTTGCTGTCGTCCAAATCGAACGACTTTTTCACCGAATCGATGTCTTGATATCCGAGACCTGAGTTTGCGATTCAAGAGTTAGTTTTGTTATAAAAAACCCAAAAAAACAGACCTTTTGCGGCCTTTTTGTTGAACTGTTCGAACTCCTGATCCAATTTGTAGTCGAAGTTGGCGTCGGCCAATGGCGTCTCGTCGTCCAAGTCTTCGTCGTCGCCGTTGAACCAGAGTTCTTCGTCTTCGTCCATATCTCTGGGATCTCTTCTGTTAGTGAATCTTCGGGACATCAGAACGGGACTGACGTCTGTCGAGTGATTCGCTATTTTCTGGTCCTTAAGTCTGTCGGCGTGTTGTTCGAACTGAAGTCGCAGTGCTTTGAAAGTCCGGACGTATTCAATGCGTTCCAATTCCTTCCAGAAGCGGTCCATCACGTATTGCGTCAGAGTTTTCACTTCTTCGGCGCGAATAAACTCGAATAACTCGACGATTGCAGAGTCCAGAAGATTATATCGTCCGCCGTTTACGACCAGTCGGTCGACAACTGGTCCGAGAAGGTTTCCGGCCACAATATGTCGATTATAGAACTCGTCTTTCAATCCAACGATTTTCCGCAGAAATCGAAGCGAAGCTAAAGAAAAAGCGATTAATTTGTGATTAATTTGTGATTAATTTGTGATTAATTTGTGATTAATTTGTGATTAATTTGTGATAAAATTAGTGAATAATTACTCAAAACAAGGAATGTATGTCTCGATAGCAAAAGCTGAAGAACGCGTCGCAACAGATCTCGATGAAGAACGTAATTGCGAATGTGATAGGCGTGATGTTCGACACAGAAAGACAACAGTTCGACGATTAGAGCCAACAAAGCCGCCGATTGTGTCGACTGGTGTGACCGCAGACGACTGAGTGCACGTTCGTCGGCTGTGGATGCGAGTACCGGGGCGATCAGCACATGCATGCAGTGCTTATAGAAGTAGTTGAGGAAATCCGTTTTTTCCGACTTCTGTTCGAATCAAATGTCTTAATAATGATTGCAATGAATCAAACTTAGAATGACTTACGTTAACGACCGAAGCGGCCAACATGTTCTCGGGATCAACAAGTAGTTTGACAATTGCCGCCAATTGAGTGGCCATTCCAAGATCGGGATCGCAATCGCAGACCATTTGTTCGATGATWACATTGACGACCAGTTGTTCCTAAAAAGACAGACAATAAGTGATTGAAAGACATAATTATATAATTAGAAGACTGTTTACCTCCTGGTGCTGCGCCTCCTGCGAGAGGGCGTATTCGCGAAGCATTGACGGCGAGTATTCGACGACATAAGTGAGAATATCGACGGCGGCCAACTTTACGGTCGAGTCTTCGGTCGCGAGAATCACTTCAAGAGTGGAAACGATTCCCAAAGACGACAACGCCTTGAAAAAAGTCTCGCGATTCTGCGGCTGAAGAGTCTGGGAAAAAGTGCAAAACTCTTTGAGGAAAAGAACGAGATCTCGGCGTTTGTCGGCCGGAGTCGAGTCGGCGGCCAACTGCGCAAAGAGTTGGCGCAAGAACTTGTCGTCGTCTTGAAGAAGAGACACGATTTCGACTTTATTGAAGAAGATAAACGACGACAAAGTGGACAACAGGTTCTCCTCGAACACCGAAGGCGTCGGCAAAACCACGTCTTGGATGTATTGCACGCGATAAGTCTGGTGGATCTTCTGGACGAGATCCGCGTTTCCCAACGGAATCACTTCTCGGAAACGCGAAACTTCCTGAAGATATTGTCGGTGACGGCGTTGAGTGGCGGCCGAGGGTCGTATTCGAAGACACCGATGACGTCGAAGAGCGCGTCGTCGGCCAACATCTGTTCGAATAACGGGTTTTTGTTCAGCAAAAACAGATTCTTGAAGACGTCGTACAACTTGTGAAGCGCGCGAGTGTCCAACGGGTCGTCGCTTTCGATCGCGCGGAACAAAGTCAACAGTTTCGGGATGTAATTGTCCGTCTCTATGGCAACGGCCAACTTCTCCCGCTTCATCGGGTACGGCAAACACGCCTGCATTGTGTCCAACAAGTCGTCCAATCGGTCTCTGTCTGGCGGCGGGAGATCCACAGTCAGCGCATGCGTCTGTTCCTGCGTGTCGTCGAAGCGGTCGTCGTCGTCGTCCTGAATGTCTTGCGTTATGTCAACCGACGGATCCTTTCCCTGAACGTTACAAATCTTGGCCCAGATTTCGTCACAACCGGCGCGTTCTTGGAAGGACAGCGCCAGATCATAGTTGTCTCCTTCCGACCAAACAATCAGAGTTTCCTGTTGTTTCTGATACGCCGTGTCCGCCAATATCCGCGACTCAAGCAAAAGCGAACCATCGCTTTCGGCCCTCACCAACAAAGACATTCCTTTGAGTCGATCGACATAAGAGGACGAGACGTGTCCAGTGCCGCGATCGTCCCATTGGCGGTCGGCGTTGAGAGCGTAGAGTTTGACGCGTCTCTTCGTGTCCGTCATTGTTGTCTTCTATTCGATGGGAACGAGAGATGCGACCATTGTTTCAGTCATTCAGTCATTCATTCATTCATTCATTCGTCACAACAAACACAACACTCAATAACTAACACCTCTTTCAATGGCCACTCAACTCAAACTCTTCTAACAAACACTCTGTACTCCCTATCATTCAACACATTATCACAATAGAGGGCAACACTTGTCAAACATTTTAATATCGATTATAACTATAATTAATAATAACTTTATTTAAATAATTATTATTAATTAGACATCAAATAAACAGATTTCGTTTTTCTCACACTTTAGTAATCAATTGATTGAAAGAAAGATTTTTTAAACACTTTTGTCTATAATTTGCATAAATTATTGAAATAAAAAAAGCGATTAAAAACAATGTTTCGATTATTGGTTTTAATAATAAATTCATTTTATAAGAAAACTTCAAATCAAAGACTAAATCAAAGACAAAAACGCAGTTATCGTTCAAATGGCAACAATTCCCGACTATTCTGACCACTTTCCCGTATATCACGACCAAAAACGTCGCTTTCTTTTCACAAACAAACAGTCGCCAAACTTGGCGCCAATTATTGTCTTCAAAAACGACAAATTCGGACACAAACCTGCTTTCGAAGACTTTGGTCGTCAATCGCGAACCGATTCGTCTTTTTGGACGAAAAGAAAAGATGGAAAAAGTGTTTTGTCTGTTCGTCAGAGTTTGAAATTTGCGGTAATTTTGTTATGCGTTGGGATTTGTTTGTATCAAACGGTAGACATCGTGAAGAAGTATTTGTCTTTTCCAATGGATGTCAACGTCGAAGTCCATGAAATGCGTGTCTTAACACTTCCGGCGGTCACCATCTGCAATAACAATGTGTAAACGAAATCTCAAAGAAATGCCATTTAATTATCAGTTGTTTTCATTAGAGTTCGAAAAAGTCTTCTTTTGGAACGATTTCCAGAACTTCGCCACCAAATCAACGCTTCGGTAAGTCTTGAGTCGAAAGTTAAGCCAAAAAAGTGAAAGAGTTTTGTTTCAGGAAAGAGTGGCCGAAGAGGTGGAAGAAAAGGCCGAATATTTGATGGAAAAGACGGCTTTGAATGATATGTTTGTCATGACTTCGAAATTGGATTATTTCGTGACTAAAATGGAATGCGATTCTCAATTTGATCCAAAGACTCAATCCAAACAAGACGTGTTGTGTGAGCACCGGTCGGTGTTGACGTCTCTTCAGAAATACGGCGTTTGTTTTACTTATTTCCATCGAATGGCAGAAGCCGTGAAGCGTCGGAACCGCGATTGCGAACTCTTAAACAATTGTTCGCCAAAACAGTCGATGTTTGACACGAATGAAATCATGAAATTCGAAATCGATTTCGAACCAAACGAATACACGACAACCGAACTTCCGGTTTCGGGAAGAATTCAAATTCACGACAACACGGAAATCGGGAATTCCTTGTCTAACGTCTACTCCATTGAACCCGGATTCTACTATCAGTTCTATATTCGCCGTCAATCAACACAAATGTTACCAAGTCCATTTCAGACCAATTGTCTCAATTATGAACAACAAAATGGACACAAATTGAATCAAACAAAAGACTTTGCGGCCTTTCCTTTGTCGCGAAAAGTCAGTAATAATTAGTAATAACTAATGATTTACTAATTAACTCATTATTAATTAACTAATTAACACAGCAATGCGCCAATACTTGCGTTTCCACCTTTTCGACCGAGAAATGCATTTGTTGGCCACCAGAACTGCCGTATTTCCACAACACCAGTCTCGACCCGAAACGCAAGTTGCGTTGGTGTGAATGGCGTTTTAAGCCGGCGGTCGAACTCTACGGTTCTTGCAGAAACAAAGACGAACGAATGAAATGCGAAACCAATTGTCAACCCAACTGTTGGACCGATAATTACGAAGTTTCCGTTCAGAAGCTGTCCTTTCAGTTCTCCGGAAGCGAATGGCAATCCGAAGACTTGTCCACAAAAGCCATGATATCTGTTCGTTACGGAACAACAGAACACACTCTTTACAAGTATTCTCCTTTGTTTGCCATTCTTGACATGATTTGTTACGTCGGAGGATTGGTTTCAATGTATACCGGCGTCAGTCTAATAGCTGTTTACGAGTTTTCGGTTCTTATTCTTATTTATACCAAAAACAAAACCTTTTAATTCAATTCAATTCGACTTTCGGTCCGTTTTTCCGATTTCATCAATAAATTATGTTTTTCTCAAATCAAAGTCTATTTTTAGTTCAAAATGTTTATCAAAACAACTCTTAAACCCTTTTCTTCAGTTCTTTTGCTTTCTTTTCGCCGACACTTGAGTTCCGAAGTTCGAAATCGTCTTTTTGCGGCCAAACAAGTGTCGGGACTGTCTTTTGCAGAGTTGGCCAGAAGACTAGATCAGAATGAGGTCAGAGTTCAAAGAGTTTTCGTTAAAAATGTTAGAATTGTTGAATTGATTGTAGGTTTGGTTCGTGGCGTGTCTTTTAGGTGAACAACCCTTCGAGAGTTCGGTCGCCGAAAACACTTTGCGTTTACTCCGACTTTCCGATGATCCGAAAGCCAACCAAATGTTGGCCGAAATGCAAACACTTCCAGAAATACGCGGAAAAGAAGGCAATCGATTGTTGGCCAATAGAGACCCGTTTTTGTCGCGTTTTCACGAATTGCTTTGCGTTTACGGACCGGCTCTCAGACACGTGACAAACGAAATGTGCGGAAATGGGATTTTGTCTGCCATTGACTGTTCGGTTAATTGTCGGCCGAAAGACAACGGAAAACGAGTCGTCATTGAAATCGACTCTAAATTTCTCGAATTTAAACCTTTTGTTAAACAATAATCGGATTTCAAAACAAGTTTTCTTTAAATAAAATAAACAATGATTTCAAGTCTTTATTGAATAAATTGATTCCGAATTGTCTTTTTGGTTACCACTTCCCGTTTCTGATCCCATTTCCCGCATTTCTGATCCGATTTCCCGGTTTTCTGATTTGACTTGATTTTCGTTGGAACGCCGTTATCCCGAATTTGGCCAGACGWGGATTCGAGACGAATCTGCGCTGCAATTGGGGCGGATTTCTAACTGCAAAACGATCAGTCAAAGTGTGATTCGTTGTCTTGATTCCCGGACCTCCGTGTCCAAAAAACCCGCGTCCGTTTCGGTGCGAAACAATGGACTGTTGTTTCGGGATCTGCTGTTTGATTGGCCATCGGTTCGGTTTATGACAATCAGAGGTCAGAAGAAGTTGAAATACAAACAGAAGAACAAAAAAAGCGACGATTTTTGCATTCATTTTGACGGAAATGAAACGGAAATCAACAAAAAGTGCGCAAAAAGTTTATTAAAAGTGACAAAAATGACAAAACAGTGAGAATTCAAAGACTAGATTGAAATCAAGTGTTAATCACAGATAAAGTGCAGTCAAAACATCGACTTTCCGACGAATTTCATCTGATTTTCATTTTTCGGATTTCTTTTTCTCTGAGAAAACAATTTCTGTATTAAAAGTCTTTAATCTCTTAATCTCTTAATCCCTTACCGACAACTTCCGCCTTAAGTCTGGCCGCAAGTGATCGCCGAAATGCTAGAGACTGGTCGTCCGTTACTTCTTCACCCGATTCGACCACTGATCGCATCGCTCGGGCGCTTTTCGGTCGTTTTTCTCGGACTTCTTGGGCCTCGAGTCGCGCCATCTGTTGATGTCTTTGTTGTTTTTTGCGTTCAATCAATTGATCCCGTTGTTTGCGAAGATATTCTCCGCGTTTTCGCATTTCTTCGTTCGACAAATTCGTGTCCACAACCTCTTCCTCTTCAGACAACTCTTCCTTCAAAACAACGGATAATTCCGAGTCTTTTTTCGAGACTTCTGTGTCGTCCTCTTGTCTGGTCATGGCTTCCTCGATGGCGTCTTCCAACTTCTGTTGTTGTTTTTGTTTTTCCGATTCCAGACGTTTTCTTTCTCCCAAAACGTCTTCATTCAACACAATATCTCCGCCCTCTCCCACCCCCACCCCCTCCGCCGCCGCCTCCTCTTCGAGCGATCGCTTCATAGCCTCACGAATGACTGTTTGTTCGTCAAGAAGTTGTTCTTTGGTTGTTCCTTCGGGAACAAAAGAGTCGTAAATAGTTCCGAACTTTTGGGCCAAAACATCCAAAGCTTGTAATTGCAAATCAATGTTTCTCTGAGTCATAAATCGGACGAAAATCCCAAAGTCTTCGGCCGCCCAAATCTGTTCGAACAAAACGCGTCGCAGTTTTGCCGCTAAAAGACCGTCGGCTCGGCGTAAGGCGTCGTCAAACTGTTTGGCGGATATTCCCAAATCAGACATATGTGACGATAAGAGACGATCGACCAGAGCTTTAAATGCGACAAAAATAGCGCGGAATTCGGTCTCCGATTCTTCAGTCGATTCGGCGTTCGGTTCAAACACTTTGAAAAACATTTAAATTCAAAGAAATTAAGATAAAAGACAACTTACCGACACTTTTATCTTCAACAAAGGCATCAATAGTGACGCTCCAAACGGGTCCACAAAGAAATCCGACCAAAGAGTCCAAAACCCAGGAATCGTCGGCCGAAGAATCACTCATTTCTTCGCTGAAAACGATTTAACGATTTGTTTGTTTACTTTTGATTTAATGGCTTTTCGTCAGAATTGCTTTGACTTCGAGTCGAAAATCGGAAAACAATCGATTGATTTGTCGATTGATTCGCGAGTTTTCACAAGAGATTCGGTTTTCGGACAAAATTTAATTCACAATAAGCGCACAATCATACCAACACTTTCATACAAACAATTGTATAGTTTATTATACGATAGATTACATCATGTAATTGGTAACACATAGACAACCATACATAACGTACAATATATTAATATATATTTAAAGTTTTTTAACATTTATAATAATTATTATAAAAATTAATTAATTGCACAAAAAATCATAAATTATTAAAAAAACATTAGATTCAATTATTTACTATAAAATTTTTTTTTAATTGCAGAAATTTAAAAAATAATAATTATGAGTATATGTACAGGGTGTACGAAAATATTTGTAACTATTATTGTTAACTATAAAAATATTTAAATAATGAATTAAAAATAATTATGTAATGAATAAATAATTTATAGTTATAATTAATAATAATAATAATAAAATGATATCATTAGAACATTTATTTTAGCTAATCGATCGTCTAAATATTGTTGATAACTTATAATTGAACTAATAAACTGTAGTCATTTTGATAACATAATTTTTAGATATTTAAATAATAATAATTTTAATATTATAATCAAAAAGTTATATATATATATGCATTATTAATTTTAAAAACGTTTTGAGTATTTGTTGAGAATTTATTGGGAATTTAGAAGGAATTTACTCAAATTTGGTAAAAATTGTTTAAAAATGCAATAAAAAATTTCTACCCCTATATCCCCTGAAACTTTTTTGAGTTTTTTGCCATTTTAATCCACCCTATACCCCCTGAAATCGAAAACCTTTAGCAACACTGATATAGTTATATTTTAATTAAGTGTATAATAAAATATTTTATTTATTTTTTTATTTAAATTATTATAATTAATAATAGCGCGACATTTTTAAAGTATTTTTTTGTTACAAAATATATACATAATTTCAAAATTATATAGTTTATAAATATTTTTGAGTCACCCTGTACATATTATACAATATATTTGCAAGATATTTAATAACTTTTAAATTATAATAAAAATATATTTTATTAATAATTTTTTAATTAATTATTTGATAATAGTATAATTAATAGTTTTTAATTTTTATTTTTTTATCAAATATAACTCACACACAACTAGTTTTAATAAAAATAGTTTTCTTTATTTTATAATTTTATATAACTATTTGTTCAAATTAATTATTAAAACTATTTAATATTTAATTTATTGAATTTATAATTTATACGAAATACCGACTATTGTGACCACATTTGCCCGCAAACTTGACCGCTAAATATGAGACCCGTGACCGACAGTGCCGTTAAAATATCAAAAATACTAATTTAACCGAAAGTGAGAAAAGCAAGCGATATGACCGACAATTTCGGTAAACAATTGTAAATAACTTTACAATTAAAATGAATGTATTTTTTAGATATTTAAAACTATTTGATAAAAAATATTTTTAATATAACTTTTTTTATTGTATGATTTGGGCGCAAAATAATAAATAGTTATTTATAGGCATTTTTTATTGTCATTTCTATTGCTTATTAATATTTTTTAATGTTTTGGTTTGAAAGTGTTGGTATGATTGTGCGCTTATTGTCAATTTAAATCAAAACTGATTTTAATTTTTCAATCATTTCTTTAAATATATCTTTCATTTGGACGTAATTTATGTGACTATCGATTGATTCAAAACAAAGTGTAAACAAAGTCCACAAAATCCGTGACATTTTGTGGCGAAGAAGGGATTCTTTGTCTACAAATCGACGCCAAAGACCTGATCCAAGACATCATTCATTTGATTAAAACATTTATTCATTATTTTTAGAAAGACTTTCATTAATAAAATGCAAACTAAATGTTGAATTGGGATCAGAATCAAGAAATACTTGTCGATTCATTCACAAAGATCGTGACGTGTCTGCACGTGTGACCGCACGGGAGACGGCCGTAGAGGTCGTGCGTAGAGTGACTCAAGTGGTCGGCGGACAGACAGAGTGTTGTTTTAGGTTCGGGAATGCGTTGTGTTGTGAATTGAGTTTGAATTTGTAGAATAATAATGGTTTGAATGTGTTTTATATGACTTGAGCCGCACTTCTCTTGAACTGTCATTTGATTGGTTGAAAGCATTGGTTTTGGTTTTGGTTTCTATTATTGACAGCCATTTGCAGAACGAGCTGACAGTCAGTCACTCATTGTTGCAAATAATGACTGAAGATATCGAATGCGAAGTCGAATACGACGATCACGTGATCGACCACTTCATCGAAGAAGTTCAAGAAGAGGAAGTGTTGGCCGAAGARATTGACCAGCAAGAGATCGGCGGTCACGAGAGCGGCCAACAAGAGGACGACGACGACGAAGACGACGATGAAGAAGATCGAGACGACGAAGTGGACGACGACCCGGACGACGAACAGAACGGCGAGTTTGACGACGAAAAGGGAGAAGCGGACGGACCGGGCGAGTGGTCGGCATTCACGGGGTTGCGGGTGAGTCGAGTCCTCATTGAATTAATTGAACTGAATTGTTGTTCAGTCGAAACAGTTTTCGTCTGAAGAATTGGCGAATTTTCGTCGTCCTTTTGAATTGGGATGGAAAAGAGAAGTCGTCTTAAGAGGAACGGTCACGACTTCGGGCAAAAAAATCGGAGATGTTTACTATTTTTCTTGCGATAAAAAGACAAAACTGCGGTCTTATGTCGAAATGGGATTATTCTTGAAACGCGCGCCCGATTGTCAATTGGAACCAAAGAACTTCACTTTCGCGCGCCAACCCATCTTCAGACCACCGCAAGAGATTGTCAGACACGCAATGCAACGCGGAGGAGGTCCTCACGCTCTCCAACCGTCGCATATCATAGATTCGGCTCCTTTTGCGCCACAAATGCCGGAAACGCCTGAAAAAAGCGAACCGTCTTCTGGAGGACAATCTCCCGTCGCCTCGAGATCTGCTCGCAATTCAACGGCCAGTGAAAGCGAAGAAACGGCCAGATCTTTGGCAGAGGGAAGGGCAAAGAGGAAAAGAGTGGCGCCGACCAGATTCGAAGACGAAGACTATTCTGAATCACCGCTGAAGAAGAAGTCGTCGAAAGGAGTTCCAAACGGACAACCGATTGCCTCGACTTCGGCCAAGACTGCGTTTGTTTCGACGAAACAGGTTTATATTGGATTTGGAATGGAATGGAATTGAATTAGATTTTGATTTTGATTTTCAGACAAATAGCGGACAAAAGCCTTCTCTTCAGGAAAAACGACGACAACTTCAACACCAACTCTTACAACAAGTTCACGAACAGAGTCTGCGCAAAGAAAAGGAACAAATGCAGGCCAAGGAACAGCTCAGGGATCACGTCAAAGAACAGACTAACGGACAACTCATTCCTAGCAATGAAACCACAGAAGAGGCGCCGGAAGTCAAACCCGAAGCGGAAATCGATTCCAAAAACGAATCCAAAACTGAAAAACCGGAGAAAATGAATGCAAGAAAATCGATCGCTCCTCCGCCGAAACCGCGAGACGAAGACGTGTCGTCTAAACCGGAGGTCAAAGAAGCAGAAATATCCGACAAGTCAGAGGCGGAGGGCGTGTCCGAGGCAGCGGCCGGAGCGCCGTGTTCAATGCATTGTCCGGGAAGACGCGGAATGTTACCCAATCTGATGTGTTCGCGCTGTTTCTGTCTCTACCACTTGGATTGCGTTCCCGGCGGAGTATTCCTCGAAGAACCACGTGTCTTTGTTTGTCCCGTGAGTTTCTATTTGTGTTTAAGTCTGAAATCTTTTAATTCGAGATTTATTTCTAGAACTGTTTGAAACCCGAAGACTCGAGAAAACAGGAAAAACTTCAAAACGGATTCTCCGAAACTCCGGACAACACTTTGCTCTCAAAGACATCGCTTTTGGTGTCTTCGACTCCGCTCTTGATGTCGACTTCTTCGGGACAAAGACCGCAGAAGACATTCGCACCGATTTTGCCGAAACCTCCGAATTTGAGTCAAAACCCGATTTTCCAACAGATGGCGCTTAAAAAGAAACCTTTTGTCGCAAATTCACAGAATTTATCTCAACGTAAGACTCGATTTAGAAATCTGTTAATCTGTTAATCCGTTAATCCAATACAGCCTTCAAAATGACAAACAGAATGCCAACCGGACAACACATCCGAGTGGCCACCGGACCGAACGGACATTCAATGGTCGTAAAAGACAAATCCATTCGTCCGAAAGTTAAGCCCTTTTCCGCTCGTAAATCCATAGCAAATGGTCACAACTCTCGTCCTTCATTGCCGTCACTCGCTGTGTATCGTCCCGCACCAATTGCTCCCATTGGACCAATGAAACACACTCCGGCCGAACTCGAGCGCCAATTGCGACGCTTTCTTCGCCCGAATCCTCGCAAACGCCGCGGATATCGCGAATGGCTTGAAAGACGTCGTCCAACAGTCGACGCTCTTCTCGCTCCGACCGCTGCTCTTAATCGCGTTCTGTCTTATCTTTCGGTAACCGATTTGGTCCAATTACGCGCCGTTTCGCGTGTGTGGCGACATCTGGTGTCTCAACCGCATTTGTGGCGACGCCTCCTCTTGAAGGGCGTGTCTGTGCAAGACTGGGCGTGGTTGGCCAGAAACGTCATCGAAACGAATGCGTCTCAAGAGTTGGATTTCGACGGGATTAAGACGGGAGTGGAAGTGGTCGACTTTTGGCGAAACTTCGGACAACTCGTGGATTATATTCGTTCCGTTAGAACTCTTCGCTTCGGAACAGTTCCGACATTTGTTTTGGAAGAAGTGGTTTCTGCGGCCGAAACTGAAAATCCTTACAATTCGTTCTCTTTTTTGGAAAGAATTTCCGTGAAAAACGCTTTCGACGAAGAATCCGATGGAAAACCAGTTTCGCTTCACTTTCTCTCGAGTTTCGCCGCTTTAAAGGCTTTAACAGATCTCTCTCTCAATTCGAAAGTTGGCTTTTCTTGTGAAGACCGAATCGAGGATCTGCTGAAGACTGTCTTCGAATCCATGCATTTGGAACGTCTGGTTTTGACTTCTCTTAAAGGTCTCAAAGATTTCATTTGTTTTCATTTGTTTTAATTCTTAATTCTTTTTCTAGACTTTCAAAACCAACAATTTGTGTTTCTTCAGTCTCTGCGAAATCTCCGACATCTGGAGATCGGTTCTTGTGTCCATTGGTTCGACGATATGATCGACGAATCACTTTCGGGAGCTTTTGTCCATTTGGGGGCTTTAGAGGGGTTGCAGACGTTGCGATTGGTTGACATCCATATCGACGACCAATCAGAGAGTTTGCCTCAAACTCTGCAACTGTTGCGCCATCTGTCGGCTTTGACTTTCGATAATCTTCGGATAGATCCGTCGGGTTCTGCGGTTGTCGACTCTTTGGTCGTTGTTTTGCGCGGTCTTCCGCTCAACACTTTCGCCATTTCGACTTCGGATGCGCTGACAAACGCTCGAGCATTGGATTTACTCAAGAAATTGGATTCTTGCGCACATTTACACTGGAAAGTGGCCGTTGCTGTCGAAGACTCGGGAGAATGTTTTGTTCCGTTCGCTACGGAAGAGACGGGCGAAGAAGCGGATGCGGAAGACGCGAGCGAAAAGGAAAAAGTGGAGAAAAGCGTGAAATACCGAGATTTGACTTTTTTGAATGAAATTCTTCAGTCAGAGCTTCAAAAAGCGAGTCTCGAAATAATTCCGCAATAATTGAGTCGAAAATGACTTTCAATTCGTTTAATAATAAACTTTTCATTCATTTATTGAGTATTTATTTATTTATTGAGTTTTTTGTCTTTGAATTCGATTTTTTGAACTCAAATACGAGTCGCGAAAGAAAAGTCCGAATAAAACCAAATACGAAGAATACATTGCGATTCCGGCGTAAAGAACCGAATCTGACACTCGACACGCGTGACCGACCATCTTCTGGCGCARAGCGAAGACCGTGACGAACGTCCCGACGGCCATTTGCAAGATCTGGGAAGCAGTGATCGCAATGGCGACGAAACGCGGCGGACGCAGACCCGCGGCTCTCACGGCGTAATACGAGTACATAATGGCGTGAACGACGTAATTCATGTCAACATACCAACGACCAGAAGACGCTTCGTCGGCGTAAGAATACCACGTGAAGAGCAAAACAGTCACGTGATGATACCAATGAAGAAATAGAAGACGTTGTTTGCGAAGAACGACAAACACTGTGTCCCCGAGTTCGGGCGCTTTCGAACAGATGAACAGAAATGTCCAACAAGAAGATATCGGGGCCGAAGTGTGGTAAGAGTTGGAACAAACCGAATGCGAAAACCCGAACCACGAAATCACGTGAACCAATTCGGGAAGAGTTCTGCAGTCAAGAGATGGCGTTAGTGTTAGTGATTGTCGACCAATCAGACGACTGATAAGTCACGCGACTCACCGAAGAGTTCCGACGATAGAGAAGAGCGCCAAACATGTGTTCCAAACGACTAAAGCGGTCCTCAGTTTATACGGCTTTCGAGTGGCCATCAAATGCTGTCCACCGAAAACCACAATCAGATAAGCAGTAATCCAATAGACGGCTGTTGTCCAGTTGGCGGACATCCATTGTGCGCGAGGTTTGGGATCGAAATGTCGCTCAAAATCAAAGACAAACGAATAATTTGGAGCCAATTGTGTCGACATTTCTTCGGATTTCAAACCAAATCACAAAACAATTTGGAATTCAATTCTGTCTTCGAATGCATTTCAAGAAAACACAAGAAACACATGAAATGACGTCGAGTGAGGTGAGGGGCGGAGTCATCGCTGACAACCAATCAAAACCCGTAACACATTTCGGACTTTGGATTAAAGCAAACATTTTATTGGATTTAAACACACTTTGGATTCGAATTACAATTAGTTTCAGAATTTCCGAATCATTTCTAAATTTTATATATTTTTTAACAATTAATTTATTTATTATTTCATTAATGTTTATAAAAATATATTAAATTTAAAATAATTTTGTGATAAATATCGATAAAAGATATGAAAAAACATTAGTTTTGAGTAATTATTAATAAAAAGTTGAATTATTTTTAAGAAAATTATTATTATTACTAAATAGTTATGAAATAAATGAATAAAACTCTTGAAACTGTATTTCTATTAATAGATAAATAAATAATTCAATAAATAATTCAAATTTAAGAAACTTTAGAAACAATTAACGAGAAATGCCATCAATTTATGCAAATTTAAACCGAATTTAAACCGAATTTTAGACTTTTTTTAAAACTGTTTTTTATTGGATTTTTAGGCACTTTTGGATTAGTTGCGGACTTCACGCGCCAAACAACAGGCGCTTAGGATTATAAGCAGTTGAATGAGGACGAGAGCGATGGCGACTCCTCCCAGACCTCCGACATATTTGTTGAGAATATTAGTGACTTTTTGAGCACATCCTTCGGTGAATTTGATTTTCATAGAATCGGAACACAACTTATGCGGAGAATCTCCTGAAGACCATTCGTCACAACAGGAGGCGGGAACTCTGCCTCCAGTTTTGACTCTCCAGCTGTTGGGTCCGTCAGTTCCGCAACATTCGAAAGAGCGTTGGATTTCTTGAATTCCTTTTGCGACCGAATCTTCGGATTGAAATTTTTCGATTCCTTTTTCAATGATTTTATTTATTTCTTTCGGAATCTGAAAAACCATTCATTAATTGATTAATAATTTTAATCCAAATCTTACGTCAGTTTTGTATTTGAAAGCGAAATACGCGCCCACGCACTGCGCGATCACCAACAACAGGATTATCGCTCCGTACTATCAATAGACAGGATTAAGACTAATATTAACATTGGATTAAACTCACAGTCGACAACATGCACGCGCTTTCGCGACACGCGCCGCAACAGCCGAGGAATGCGAGGAGAAAGATGAGGACTCCTGCGGCCAGAATGATGATGGATCCGGTTCTCAGATTGTTTTCATAGATATCGCTGAGAGAACCGCTCCAAATGGTGACTTTGATTCCCAGCCAAAGCACGACTCCTCCCAAAACCTATTCAACGGATTTAATCGGGATTATCTCATGACTAACCGTCGGATCAACTCACGAGCCACAAGACGTTGAAGAGAAACAACAAATACTTGATGATTGTTGCGCCACAAGAAACACCCATTTTTCGGATCAGATTTTATGTAAACAACAAAAAAGACACTTTTGGTTAACAACTGTTTGACTTTTGTTTGGTTTTTTGGACGACGCACTCATCGATTGGCAAAAGAGGCGCAACACTAATGCTGTAACTAACGAGAGATAAGCCTTTGTTGCTTAGGATGACAACAAATGATTGATTAACGACTGAAATAATGTGAATAATGTTATCAAAAGTTTCAAAAAGATTTGCAATCAATTTGTCGTCCGTTTAGTCATTCATAGAGACGACGGATAAGCGTTTAAAACCTTTTATACAGAACTCAAGGCTAAGCTATGAATAAAAGAGTTATTGTTTAGAAAAAAATGGAAAATATTTGATAAAAAGTTTCATTAATTCATAGTTTGAAAGGTTTTTAAAGATTAATAAATAAATCGAAACAAGACTTGAATTAATCAAAGAATTAATGAATCGTTTGATTCAAAGTTCAAACGATTTCTGATTTCAATAAAACTTTTGCATAACTTTTGAAATAATTTCCAGAAATTTATTGAAAATTTCGATAAAAAGAGAGAAAAAGCGGAAAAAAGTGATTAAATGTCGTCTACGGCTGCGCATCACTGACCAAATCTTGCGGACGATCGCCGACACCCTGAAAGACATTCAGACATCAGACATAGTCTTAAGATAGATATGTGTTTACCCGACGGCGAATCGACTCAAGAATTCCGGCGATATTTCGATAAGTTCCTGGAGTCACGTGTTTTCGCAAAAGTTTTTCGAAAGACGAATGAATCATAAGAACTGCGAATATTTTTCGTCCGAAATATCGAGTTATTGGCGAAGAATCGACAATAAATCGCGAAACAGACGGCAGAAGATGTTCGCCGATGTCTTTCGGCCCTAAAAGACATTTCGTGGCTCCCATTCTGTCGACCAAAACAGACAGAAAACGAGCGGAAGTCCGACGAATGGAAGCGTTTCTATGATTGGCTCCGAATTGGATTAAAGCCAAAGCCGTTCGCGTTTGAGGCATAAAATCTATGGCCGAAGAAAGCGCTCTTTCCACGTCTTCTCTCACGAAAGTCGCCGCATCCCCCGCACGCGCCAACAGAGCCGAGATCATCGCGTCCAACTCGGGTTCGGCCTGTCCGCGCAGCCGAACAAAGAGTTCGCCGAGAGTGAAGATGGCGGCCCTTGAAACGGTAGATCTCGGATTTCTTGTTTCGCGAATCAAACCATTGACTGAAGAATGCAATTCTCGGATCAAAACACTGGAATGGAAGTGCGCCAATCGGGCCAAAGCCAACATTCCCTCGACTTTGGTCGTCCAGGCGTCGTCTTGCAGAGCGAGAAGCGCGGCTCTCAGGGCTTCTTGCGGTTCAGAAAAAGCGCCTTCGGTTTTGGCGACATTCGAGAGAATGATTCTTATGTTTGCATTTGCGGCGATTGCGGGCGTCGTTCGGATGTATAAATGCTGCGGAAGTCGAGACGGACGACGACGGCTWWGCGGAGATTGCGAGCGCGACAGACGCCGTGTGTGTCGTCGTGGGGGAGGGTGTTTGTCAATGGGTTGTGATTGGTTGTTGTGGTCGTCGTCCGTGTCGTCGTTCTTTTGCGTCGAAACATCGAATCTCGCGATTGTCTGCAAAATAATTGATTCAAAACTCGTTTAAAAGAGTCTAAAAAACCTCTGTTTGAGTCGATTCTGGAGTCAAAACGCGGACTTCGGGTGTCACCTCCTCAACGCTCAAAAGGGGCGCCTCCTCTGCCTCTCTTTCCGGACGAACAGAAGTCGATTCCATTCTAAACAAAATCTATTATTTCTTTGCTTTTAATCCATATCTCACTCTCTGTTTGCGTCCAAAAGCGGAACTTCGACTTCGGGTTCGGTTTTGAACGTGACTTCCGGTTCTTGCGTTTCATTTCCGGGATTTTCGGCCGAAATTGAGGGCAAAGACAGAGATCTTTCCAAAAGCGGAGAAATTCTCGATTCGAAGACATTTGAATTGAGAAATTCGGAAACCGAAGATTCGGACCGAACGGGAGAACAATTGCCGAAATCGTCGGTTACGATGTCTTGAACGGCCGGAAGTGGAGTTCGAGACGTGACTTCCGGGTGTTCTTTGTTTGTTTGATTGTTGTCTTCGTTGTTGTCATAGAAACCTATGTTTCGCACGAATTATTCAAAAGTCAATGACTTTTAACCCAAAAACAGATAAAAACCGATAAAAAACGATAAAAACTGACCGAAAGTTCCGAAACCCATGTCTGCCATCGTTTCCACTGAAGGAGAATGAAGAGCCGCATCCGCCAATTGGCGGCGAAACGAATGGAAGTAATTCTTCCATTCGACTAAAGATTAAAAACAGATTAAAAGATTAAGAGATTAAAGACTTTTGAATACTTGAATACAAACGCATTTCGTCTTCAGAAGACCACGAATTGCCGCGAGTTAAGAGAATCGGCGGAAAAGAGTCTGTATTTCCTGTATTCAGGAGTTTATCGATATTGTTTTCGGCCAAAGATTTTCTTCTTCCGATTGCTTCCAAAGCGTCCGAAGAGTCGACTTTCAATTGATTCGAATTCAAAGGAAATCCGTTTTTGTCTTCGATTTCCGGCGAATTCTCGGCCAATAAAACCCATTGAATATCAGAACCGGAAGTCTCGACATTCGCTAAAACCGAACGAACCGTTCCGTCCGAGGCCACTCTCGGCAGTTGTTTCCGACTGATTCTCGCTCTGACGGCAGACATCAGTCCTTCAGATCCAATGCGTTCTTCGGCTTCAATTGCGGCCCAAAGCGGATGCGCGCGATTCGGATTAAAAGCGTTTACTAAAGCGGAAGTCGTCTCTAAAGCCGCCAAACGGACGGATCTTCTTGGATCCCGAAGAAGAGGAATCAATCGGAAACTAAGACGCGAAAGATTCAAATCACGTGGACAAGTCAGAAGCGCGGCGGTTATCCGATGAGCCGTTTCCTGTCGAATGCGTGGGTGGGCGTTGGGGAAGTCCAGCAAAGCGTCCAAAACTTGTTGCGGAGAAAGTGGAAGAAGGGCGCAATGCAAGGTCTTTACGGCGGACTCGCGGACGACGGTTCGGACGTCACTGAGACGACGCACGACGAGAAAGACGACGCTTTCGAGAGACGGACGAAGAGTTGTCGGAAAACGTTCGGCCAATACTTCGATTATATCCAAAGCGGATAAAGTGACGTCAAAATTGTGATCCGAAAGCAGAGAAGCGATTAAATGCGATAAAAACTGATCCGTTTGCAGATTCTGAAGACGCGATTTCGAGGCGTCGCGAAGAGTCCGCAAAATCGATTGAGCGGCGGATAAACGCTCCGATGATCGCTCCGAATGGGCCAAACGGACGACTGCGGCGGGAAATACACCGAAAGCCAGCGAATCGTCGTTCGAAACGTCGAAAGAAACGACTTTTTGTCGGTTTCGTTGACTTTCGGACGACATCTCCAAAAGAGAGTCTTTTTTTGGATAAAAATGAGAAAAAGATAATCAAAAGAATGGTTTTTACCTGAAATCGGTTGATCTGCGGACGGATTTCGGGACAAAACGGATCGATAGAGTTGTTTTGCTTCGGTTTCTATTGAATCCAAATACTGTTCGAAAACAGAATTTCCGACTAAAGAATGGATTCTTTGAAGAACTAAAAAAATCGCATAAAATAATTGCGTTTCGGATCTGATTAAAGACTTTCCTAAAGCGGAGACCAAAGGAAACAGATTTTCGTTTTGCAAATCTTCGGATAAAAGCAACGGAAGAGTCGTTAAAACGGATTTTCTTATTAATAAATCTTCAGAATTGATCCCAAAATCAATAATCGAACGAAAGATTAATTGAAGATTTTGAGTGAATTTCATATAAACGCAAATCAATCGAAGAGAAGCTCTTTTGGGATCCGTTTCTCCGTTCAATAACTCAAGAGTTTTCGGCAAAAGCGGCGAAAGATAACGATCTGTGGAATTGGGGCCTAAAGTCGGAGTTATGTCGACTAAAAGCCAAAGAGTTTCGGCTAAAAGAGAGGCCGAAGACGACGAGTCTCTGAGAATATCGTTTATTGCGTCAAAAAAGTCGTTTCGACAAACGGAAGGAATTGTGTTTCGCGTCTGACCAACGATAAGACGTAATCCACGAATTGCATCAACACGTCGATCGCGAGGAACTGATCGCACGCGAAGGACGGCCGACGCAATGTCGTGTGCGTTGGCGTTCAGGTCTTGGAAGAGATCCGAACGGAAATCCATCGAAAAAACGAATGAATTGTTTCTCAAAAAACTCTGTTTTTCTCTGGAATTGGTTTCCAATGGAAACAAACATTCAAAACAACAATGACTTCGAGTCTGCGGAACAAAAAATGGACGCTTTTTGTTCTCTCGCTCTTCGCGTCGTTGGCGTCGGCTCTCGTGGCCATTGTCTCGACCAGGACCTCCGCGGTAATATAAATCGGTAGATAATCCCAATTAATCTAATATCCAATTAATAGTGGGTGTGGTTGGAACTGTTGGTCTGTCTTTGGCTCCTCCTCCTCAACAACGCCCTTCTATACTCCGCCTACCACCACTGGCCACGCCCCTGTCTGTTTGTGTCCGCCCTAATGGTGTTCAGTAGTTTGGGATCTGTTTTAATGGCAGTCTTTTATTCGTCGTATTTTTGGATCAATTGTTTGATGACTTGTTTGACGTCTTTGTTTGGTTTCATTTATTTTTTCGATTTAAAGGACTTTCAAAACGGATTTTCGGCAACTCTTGAGTCGAAAACAATTAACAAAACGTCAGAAATCGGAAAAATCAAACGAGAATTGGAATAAATTTCAATATTTTATTAAAAAACTGTTATTTTTATCGAAAACTGAATTAGAATTTACAGAATTATGAATTGAATTAAACCTAAAATGAATTCAAATATTTGTATAAATTTTAACAACAATTTTGAATAAAATCTAAGAAAATAGTCAAATGTTTGATCACATGATTAAACGGAAATCTCGTAATTCATTTCGTACTGACTTTGGCGGTCAGTCGTCGTCTCGGACGACGCTCTTTCTTTGTGTTCATTTCTGTCCATTTTGTCCGTCATTTCCAACGCTTTGATGAAAGACATGGGTCTCTTTAAAAACGACTGATTTCTTTCGAGTTCTGTTTCCGAAAGACATCCGGCGTCTGGAGAATAATAAATGACCATTCCTCCGCCTCCCGGACCTGTAGTCATGGATCGACTGTGACTTTGATGAAACGAATCGCTATTATTGGGAGAAAACGGTCTTTGATTTTGATATTGTCTTTGATTTTGCGTTTTTTCTGAAGAAACAGAAAAAGTTGTTTCTTTTTTCCCACTTTTGAGACAATAATCGATTAATAAATGGATTAAAAGTTGTTTTTCGACTCACTTTTCGTTTCTTCTGATTGTAATTAAGTCTTGATTTGATTGAAAATCATTGAATGAATTGATTGCACTTTTTGTCTTCAAATTACAAGACATTTGTTCTTTAGATTCCATTAATTCTAAACCAATTCCTTCAGAAAACTATTCAATCAATGAATTAATCAATAAATCAATCGATAATTCAAAGGAAAGACAAACTTTTGGATTAAAATGATTAGCCGTTCTGTCCATATAGATCTTGACCGCATTTTCGGCATTAGTTCCCGAAGAAGAAGTCGTATTTGTGTTATTAGTGTTCAACCAATTGTATTCTTTTGTGTTTCGTTTTTTCCGTTTTTTGACCGCATTTTTGCTGAAAAACAATGAATTAATTGATTCTTAAGACAAATTGATCCAAACCTTGGAAATCTGGGTCCGCAAAGAGTGTAACAACAGTTGGCCCAACATCCGCGTGAAAATGGATTATATCCGCCTTGAAACTTACCCGTCACCTATTATTCGGGGATTAAGTCATCATTTGATTATTACAAGAGATTAGAAGACCTGTTCGTTAGTAGTTCTTCCTCTGGAGACGAGAATGACGTGAAAACCGGTTAAACCGAAGACAGGAATGAAGAGTAAAGCGATTATTGCGAGAATCGAAAGACTGGAACAGATTTCGTGTCAATTCGTGTCAATTATCAATGAATTATCAATGAATGACTCACGCGACGATCGAATCCCTTTCGTGGAGCTGTTCCTTGTGATCCAAGACATAGAGAATACACCAAACGAAGACAGTTATCATATGAATGCTGAGGAATACCAAGAAGAAGAAGAAATGGCGATAATTGCGTCGTCCGATGCAGTTGTTGACCCAAGGACAGTGATGGTCGAACGTCTGAGTAAATTAACGGATTAGCGAACGGATTAACGGATTAACTGATAATTACTTCAATACAAGTGTTGCAAACAGAACAATGAGAACAACGCGGCGGACGATAGAACTGACACGTGACACACCATTTCATGCGAACTGTGATTCCGTTGATTTCGACGTTCTTATAGAGCGGCGCCCGGAAGTCGTCGTCCTTGTCTTCGTCCGCATTCGCTTTCCCGATGACTCCGGGGTTCATGAAAGTGGCCAAAAACAGGTTCGAAACCACGAAAAACGCGATCAAAGACTGACACAGAGTTATCGACCAATGATATGAGTTCTGCAGATATTGACATCTATTTCGGCCATTAATCGGATTAATTCGGATTAAGAGATCAATCGGAACTTACGGGAAGAGGAAGAAGACTGTTGTGGCCGTCAGAAGCAGAATCCAGGCACAAGAGGCCGGAATAAGTCGTGTCAATCGTTTACAAGACATCTTTTGTGTCACAACTCGTCTTTGGCTTTCATTTAATCCCAATTTTGGTCTTAAATTCACTCAAAATAATGGCATTTATGACTAGTTTTGGATTTATTTTCTTTCAAATCAACACTTCTTTTGAAAAATGTTTGAAATTTCAGTCGATTTTTATGAAAAACATATTTAAATAGATTTTTAAGATTTAAATCAATTTTTCTATTATTTCTCTGTTTTTCTATATATTTATAGTTTGAGTGAAAATATGGAGAAAATAATTATGAATTAAAAACTCAATGTTTTTCTCAAAAAACTCAAACTTTATCTCAAAATTAAAGACAAATTATTTCAATTAAAACAAAATTCATTTCAATTCAATCATTCATTCATTCTTTCGGTGATTTCGGTGACCGAATCCGTGACCAGAAGTGGTCACAAGTGGTCACAAAATTTCGGGAAAAGAAAACAAATTTTTATTTATTAATTGAAAAAATTGTCAGAAATTAGAAAACAATTATAGAAAACATTTGAATAAAAGATTTGATCCAAAAGTTGATCCGATTATTGAAAAACCAATTAATTGTCTTCAGATTTATTCCCGACTTTCAAGACGTCATTTGTTTTGTGGCTTTTGTTTACAAATAGCTTATAAACAGATTATAAACATTTGGTCCCTTTTGTCGTCACTAAAGATTGAGTATTGAATGTAAAAAGGGTCCGAAAGTGCGGATCGGAATGTGAGGAATGCGTAAACAATGAGCGAAGAGTTGAATCAATGTTAAGAAAGAGCGCAAAGACGGCGAAGACGTCCACTAATCGGAGCGACGGAATCAGTGGTAAATATATCAAAAAAGATAATCCGCCGGAAATCCCGAGTAAGTGTGTATTGAAATGGATTAAGAAATGAAATTAAGTTTAAATTTTCAAAGTTATAAACGTTTGGACAATAAATAATCGGCAAAAGAACGGAAATACGCAAAGAGGAGGACAAGTCGTCAGTGGAAGCGCTGCTTTGGGTTTGCATTCAATTCAATGTCAAAAGAATAACAATTAATCCGTAATTAATCCAAAAAGGAATCGATTTTTCGGGAACTTTAAGTCCTTTAAAACCGAAAACTTTGACTCAAAAGTGTCTCAAAAGTCAACTTCACTGCTCTCCTCATTCCGCCTCCTTCTGCACGCCCTCCGCCTCCTCCACGCCCTCCACCTCCACCGCCTCCCTCGCCCACTCGCTGGCCTCGGCCCCGCCCACCGCGGTTCACGTGACTCGGAATAAGGTGTGGATATCTCAGCCGTCGCTCGGGACGACGCCTCACTTGTCTGGCCATACGGTGCGCTCTTTAACCAATTTGACGACTGATTCGCGGTTCGAATTGCGTCCGCGAACTGAATCGACAGAATCGACGTCAGAACTGCCGCTTCCGCCGGGTTGGACCGTCGATTACACGCTGAGAGGGCGCAAGTATTTCGTCGATCACAACACGAAAACCACTCATTGGTCGCATCCTTTGGAATCAGATTCTTTGCCCACGGGATGGGAAAGAGTCGTCTCCCCCGCTCACGGCGTCTACTACGTCAACCACGTGACCAGAGCCACTCAACTCGAACATCCCTGTGCTCACCACTACGCCCCGCCTCCCGCCGCGCCGCCCCCTCGCGCTTCTCTGCGTGAACTTCCGGTTCCGCCGCGCCCCGAAGCGCACGTGATAGTTCCGGCGAATCCGTATTTGACGGAAGAGATTCCTCATTGGCTGTTTATTTACTCGAAAGCTCCGCCCGAATTGGATCACAAACTAAAGGTTGGATTAATAGGATTAACGACGGATTAATGGATTAACGATTTATTGTGTTTTAGTGGGAATTATTCCGCGTTTCAGAATTGGATTGTTTCGAAGCAATGCTTAATCGTCTTTACAGAACAGATATGGAACGACTCGTTCTGTCCTTCGAATTGATCCGATCGGCTCTTCAGCGCCAATTAGACGAACGATCGGCTCTTCAGCGCCAATTAGACGAACGATCGGCTCTTCAGCGCCAAATAGATGAACGAAATTGTAAATAAAGTCACGGTTTTTCCGGTTTTTCCAGTTTTTCTTTTCTCTTATAAAGCATTTCAATAACGACTGAAAGCTTCCGAAGATTTCCCTAAAAATCAGAGTTTTTCTCATTTCTGTCAAAAACACAACTATTTCTTACATTTCTCTCCGAAAGCGCGCGAATTTCAGTCATATTCTGTTCACAAATCGAGTGAATAAACGCCAGTTCCCGAGTCGGCGGTTCGGGAGTCGGGTTTCGGTGTTTCGGAGACCAAACAGGAGTCAACGGAAGACTCGAATCGGCGTTCGATAAGTCGTCTAAATATCGAATCATTTTCGACTTGTTTTTCAATATAAACGGATTAACCACTTCCATCCACGGCTCCTAAATCGGATTAAATCAGTCATCAGTTTCGGATTAACAGAAATCGGATTAGTTTTCTACCCGTTTTGCACTCGGAGGGGGCGGACCCTCGAAACGATCGTTTGAAAGGAAAATCGACTTTTAGTGAGAATTAAGAGAAGAAAAGATTTAAAGATTAGAAAAACGGATTTAAAGATTACTTTTGATCCGAATTCGTTGAGATTTGACAAATTCTGAACACTTTTTGCGACCAAAATAAGGGTTCGGGAAGCGGTTTCCGACGGCAGGTCTGAAGGGATTAACAAATATTAGAAATCGGATTCGGATTCGGATTAATCGGATTAACCGTTGATTAATTGAAAAGTTTTCGGATTTAGAATTGAAGGACAAATGAGTCGCAAAAAGATGAACGAAGAAACGACTCGCGATCGCAATAACATGTCGTTCGGCCACTTCCGGATCACCGCTCTCTGAAGACATCCGCAGATGAAACGCAATTGCGGCGGACATGAGTGCGAGTGGGCGAAGATGTGGTCCACAAAAGCGTCCAATAAATCGAGTAAATGTTCGGCGTTTTGGACCGCTTCCGACGGATCGGCCAATCGCGACGGATTCAACTCACACGACGTCTTATACGGGATTAGAGAAGGGATTAACGGATTAAATGGGATTAAAGACTAACCTTTGAATCAAAGACTTTTCGAACAACGCTTTGAAGCGATTCTCGAATAAAGTCTTTCGAAAGACTTCTCGAATGCGTTTCGATTAGAGATGACGTCAACGAATTGGCGCGAAATAGAGTCGACGTCTGATTGGATTAAAAGCATTATTAATATGAATACTATTAATGCTATGAATACTGACGTCATCTTCGAGTCTGACTTCGCGTTCGATTAGACTTCGAATGATTTGTTCTGTTTTTCGTTCGAATTTCGCGATTCTGAGAACAGCTGTTGAGAGTTGTTGTCGGTCTCTATGACGACAAAACTGTTCGACGATTCCTATGGTTTCCAAATCTTCGGATAAAATCAAATCTTTTAAAGGATTATAATCTTCTAAAGACAGAACTGTTTCCACCGAAAACCGGATTCGGGCCAAAACCTGTCCCCAGGCGTCTCTAACCGGAGGACATAAACCCGAAAGTTGAAACAATTGTTCGAATTCTTCATTATTTCTGAGTTTTTGTAAATCAATAACTGTTTCCGCGATTTCCGAGTCTTTTCTTTTTCCTTTATTTAGTAAAACAAAAGCAATGCTTTGAATATCGTTTGGAATGTCTTCCAAATTAAAGTCTTCTTCCCAAATCGGATCCGGCGGACATTTCACAGAAGTTCTTCCGATTCGAACGCTTCGATTGAATTGGATTTCTATCAACGGATTCGGAGCCATTCTTAGCGGAAGATTTCGGCCTTCGATTAAAGACAAACAAACCGAACGCACGAAACGACTTTCCGAAGAACTTTCAGATGAAGACTGTTGTCGACAAAGACTTCCAACCGATCGAACCCATTGTCGAGTTGTGTCCGAATCGGGAGCGGCCAAGAAGTGGGCAGTGGCCAAACTAAAGACAAAACGGTATAATTASCGAAAGATTATTGAATTTGATCTAACCATGGAAGCGCTCGTTCGACGACTTGAAAGACATGTTGTCTATCGAAGAGTGAGTCATGACATGAATAAACACACGAATAGTTGAGATCAACGATAGCTTTTGGACGCATTCGTCGTTCGGAATCATAGAAGAAAAGTGAGGCGTCGTTCGCGTCRTTCGAGACGACGGCGAACTGAGATTTCCATTTATTCCGTTTCTGACCTAAAATCACACCGAAATTCATTAAATAATCCAAAGATTAGCCAAAACTCATACTTTTGCGTAAAAGAAATCCTTGTGTTCGCGTCGACCGAGCCTTTTGTTGCAGTTCTCGTGATTCGCGTAGAGTTTGATAGACGGCGTCGTCATTGCGTCGTCCGGACGTCGTTCGAGTGACGGGTCGTTCGAGTCTAAATCCTTCGACAATTTGTTCTTGTTGATATCTGGAGACGACGTCCGCTAAAGTGACGAAGACTCGGCCACCCATTGCGAAACGTCCGTCTCGTGTTCGTTCAATTCGGAAACGTTGGACGGCGTGTCCCGTATGGAAAAAGAGGGAATAATTTCCGCGAGAATTATCCGACGGTCGAACAAGGAAAGCGCCGACTCCGGCTCTGGCCAATCGGTCGACGGCTTCTTCTTTAGAGATGTTTTGATGAAACCAYTCGTAAGCGTCGTTTTGATCGATTGCGTCGTCCAATGGTTCGAGAAGTTCTCCAAAAACAAGACCCGATTCTAGGTTTCGATCGTTTGTACACCAAAGCCTACAACAGACAACAGAGCGACGTCTCAGACGACAGACGGACGACACTAACGGACGACGACTTCTACTTACCAGCCGTTCTGAAGATCGTTGTGAACGACGAAAGTATCGCTCTTTTGAAACGTCAGTTCGTCTGAATCGGCCATTTTGGTGTACGGAAGAACTGCTACCAGACGTCGTGCGCGTTGTTCGGCGGGTGGCTGCGGACATAGGGCGGACATAGCGGTCAATGAGTGGCAAAGAGTTTGTTTTGTTTACCTCTTGAGGAGCGATGGAATGGATGAGACGTTCTCCGCGTAAAAGATCTGAAAAACGGTAAAAACGGACTAAAGATTCGAGAGTCGGGAAAGCTTTGGATCCGATATAAAAGTGTCCGCAAAAGTGTTGAACTCGAAAGTGATTTATTCCCGAAGCGCGCGAACGAAACGACAAAACAAACCATCGATGAGCCGAAGGTCGAGACCGCGACTCGCGCACCAAGAATGCCCCGTCCACTGCGGCCGCTACGAGTCGGGCCTCAGCCTCTCGGCGGTCAATTAAGCCGTGGAACCAATGCTCGCGATCTTCGCTGCGCTCAATGGCAGACATGTTTGACGTAATTTATGAATTTATTGAATAAATAGAGAAAATGTGTTTTTGAGTCACGAGAGGGAGTCGTCGTCTTTGCGTCGCTCGTCTGTCGTCTCATTTGCCGAACTGAAGAACCATTCGGTAAATTTCCTCAACTGTTGAGACGCCGTTTGACTTTCGAAATGCAATCTTTGGTTTTCTTCTTTCAATTGACGAATCGTTTCATTCAATCTTTGCTTTTCTTTCGATAACTCTTTCACTAAAAACAAAACTTTAATTAACTTTTAATTCCAATCAAAACAATGCAAACCCTGTTCTTGAAGCTCGCGTTCGTCTGTCACTGACGTCGTCGTCGTCGTCCCGGACGTCACATTCGAGTTGATTGCGTCGTCTATGAGTCGTCGCGCGAAAACCGGTGGATTCACGACAAACGCGGGTTTTGCTATCGTAACGACGCAATCGTCACTCAATTGTCTGTCGGACGACGACCGCCTCTCCAGCGATGAATACGGTGTTGAAGTGGCGGTCGAGTATCGGGACGACGAATGGCTATCCGTATGTTCGACTGTGGGATCAGTTGACGGGTCGTCGTCCGCGTCATTGAGAGTAATCAGTTTTATGAGGTCCTCTGAAATACAGTAAGAATGAGACGACGTCCGGACGACGCAAAGACGACGCTTACCTTGAAATGTAGAAGAAGTGGTCGACGATTGAGACGACATTTGGTTTTGATTTATGAAATGGTTTTGCGATGTTTTCAGATGAAGCGGACGCTGACTATGACTCGTATGCGTCGGCGAAGAGATCTGTGGTCTCGCGTAGGCACTCGAGTGGTGCGGACTCCTTGTCTTTGGTGGCGTTCTTTCCGTCTGACGTTCGAGACGTCGCACAACAGGACTCTCGTTATCGCGTCTTTCGGGTGTCGTCTGCATGTGTCGTCCGGTCGTCGTCCCGGTAGACGTCGTGATATTCTCGTAATCGTTGTCCGTTTGCGGCGAAGACGACGGCTTTTGCAGACTTGCGACGCACTTTGAGGCCAAACAACCGCTGGTTCGGGGAGAGCCGTCGGCTAATGGCTGCACGAGAGCGACGGATACTGTTTGAGAAGTTCGAAGAAAGTCAAGAACTTCTTGATAAGAAAGTGTTTGTAAAGACATTTGACATAATTCGAGAAGACGTTGTCCTGGGCGAAGTTCGTTCACACGTGACGCGTGTTCGTTGGCGTCCGTGACGTAAACGCAGACATTTTGCGACGAACTGAGAGTTTTGTGCTGAACGTGAAACCCGAACGACGCGTCGGACGACCGCGTATTCCTCCTGAGAACCACTTCCTTCATTTGTCTCATGCGAAGAGATCCCTCTCGCGGTCGTTGTTCTCTAACTCTTGTCATTAAATCGGTTTTCAATTCAAAAAGCAATGAATTCTTCTCTACATTCGCGTCACGTGATTCCGAGTCGAGTCCGTCGTCCGCCAAATGTTCTCTTAGAAGAAGAAGTTCTCCGAAATGGAAGTAAATCTTGAGTTGAACTTCCAGTCCATCTCTTTGAGGCGAAGAAGTCAATAGAAATCCGATTATTTGTTCGACTAAACACGCGAAGACCGCGCGTCGTTCGCTCAACACGACCAACACGTGCTGCGACACCAACACCTTCGCACGCGCCAAATCGCGTTTTTCCTGAAACGAGTGAACACGCAGTCGACTGACTCCTACTCTGGCATCGCGTCGTGAAAGTGCGTCGTCCCGGACGTCGTCAACTGATTCATAGAGTTTTGCGCCAAAAAAGAGTTCGTTTTCGCGGAAAATGTTTTTGTCGTCGTCCCGGACGTCGCGCTCTTTCTCTCGTTTGTCTTTCTTTGGGAAGATTTGCGCAAAATATTTGTTGAAATTAACGGAAAAAGCCGTCAATTGTGCCGATTGTTGACCGAATGAATGGACGGGAGTCGGCGTCGAGTAATTGGCGTATAAATCGGTTAAATATTCGAGACGCGTCCGTAAAGCCATTTGACGGAATTTCGAACATCGATGACACGCCCCCTCGGCGTTCAGCACTTTTGTGAGCAAAAAATCTCTGATTTCTGCGGTTGAAAACCAAGAACGAAGCGGAGGTCCAAATGGGGCGACGTCTTTGTGTCGGGCGACGGCAACTCGGTATCCGTTGGCATGGGGACGGACAACAACAAACACGTGTTGGAAATGCGAACGAATGGCCGTCGGCTGGAAAGGAGGTCCTCTGAAGTGTCGCGATTGGAAGACAATCGTCACAATGTCGTTTCCAATATGGCGTTTCCGAAGAAGTTGTTGTCTATTAGTCGGCGAAAAAGGCAATTCATGGCAAACATGAAAAACGACTTCTCGATCGCGAAAAGTGGTCGCAAAAGCGTGAGAACCGGTCGTATCGGTCGCGACGTCTAAACCGCCTCTAAAACCTGTGTATCCTTTAAGACGAACGCGTCGTCCGATTAAACGTAAAAAACATTGAAAGTCGTCGTCCTGGACGTCGCGATTGTTATAAAAGTCTTCTTCAGACGATTGAATGTCTTTTGCGTACAAAACTCCGACTTTAAAGCACTTATTGTCCAATAATTCGTCGAATTTTAGCAAAAGATCGTCGGCTTTGGCGTCCGCGCCCAAACGGAAACCCGACAGGAAATCGGGTCTTCGCGTCCAAACTCGAGGCAACAATAGGTCGAGAAGACCGCGTAGACCAGAGTCTTCGTTCGGACGGATTTGATTCAAATCTACGAATCCTTTGAGAGCTCTTAAAGACAGAGAAGTTCTTAAAACAACTCTAAGTTTCTTCAAATCTTTCGAATCTTTTCGTAAACTCAATGCTATAGCCGTTCGAGTCGTCGTTCGGGACGACGGCTCCAACACTTGAAACCAATTTTGATGAGAAAAGCCGTAAAAGTATTTTCGGTAATAAGTCTGTCCGTCGTCCGCTTCGAGAACCGTTTGCGAAAAGTCGTAGTCCGAAGCAAACGCACAAACCGACTGTTGCGGCGAAACGAGCGCCGATTGAGACGCGTCGGCCGACATGTCGAACGACGAAAGGCACGAGAGTTGGCGCGCGAGAGCGGGAACATGAGTTGGACGGCGTTTATCGGGAATTGTCTTTTCATTAGAATTTTCTCGATTCAATTGAACACAAAATACGACTTCTTTTCCGATTTCGTTTCGAAAATTCGTTGAAAAACATAACAAAGCGTTAGAATTGCTTTCATTTTCTTCTTCGACCGTTTCGTCCATTGATTGTCGTTCTTCTGTCGTCCCATTTGTTAACAAAGAGTCACATGAGTTGGACGACGACAAAGACGACGGACCGGACGTCGTTTCGATGCGTCGTTCGTCTGACGTCTGGGACGACGACTCGACAAACATTTGGTCCAAAGCGAGCGCCGAATGAATGTCATAATGAATAAAGAGTTGTCTCAAACGCCGTCTTCGGTCMGTCTCTTCGGCCATAAGTTCTTCGTCTGAGAGTTCGCGTCGTTCTTTGGTTTTTGTGGCGAAAAATAAAGATTTGGTTTTCTTTTGTTTCTTTTGATTCAAGTTTTCGTTACTTAAAGACAACGATCCGTGAATTCCCGAAATAGTTCTCGATTTGGCTCTTGTTTCTGAAGACACAATTGGCGACCTTTTTGGTGATACTGTTGTCATCAAATTGGCCGAAGATTTGGACGGTTTTGGAGCGCTTTGAATGGTTTCTGTATTTCCGAAACGACATTCTCTTAATTCCTGGAAAACAAACAATTGATTCAAAGATTATTTGGATTTTTGTCTTCACCTGAAAGTCGTTTAATCGAAGACCAGTTTTCGGTGAATTTCGACCGAATTTTAGTTCATTTTGTCGTTTGTTTTGATCCAAACTTAACGAAGAATTCGATCGAAGAATCGGTTGCCACGAATGCGGAGATTCTCGACGACTACTTCCCACCACATCTACGGCGGCCACCGATGAGTAGAACTCTTGAGACCGCAGCCGAAGAATATCCGAGTAATTGGCGTTCAAACTCATTGTCTCGACGCCATCAATGACGTCCACTTCCTTCCTTCCCCTTCACGCCCTTTACAGTGCAATACATGGCATGACGTCATTTGCGAACGGATGCGCGGGTCGTTCGCAAACGCCGTTACGTTGTTTGATGAGAGAGAGAGAGAGACATCTCGCGAGCAAAAGAAAGACTAAAATAATTTGTTTTTAATAACTCTTTAAAGGAATGAAATCGTCGGACAATTCGGTTAATTAACAACATCCCGAAGTCTTGGATCCGACGGCTGTTGTTTGTCCCGGACTGATGGTCTGTCCACTCGCACCGACGCCTCCCTGGGCGGCTCCGACGGGTCCCATGCGTTGTTTGATTTCTGCAGCCATTGTAAGGAAGGCCTGTTCGACGTTTGTCGCGTTTTTGGCCGACGTTTCCAAAAACGGAATGCCTTTCAGAGAGAGAGAATGTTATTGTTATTAATACTATGGATATTATACCGAGATTATCGGCAAAGTCTTTGGCTGCGGCGTATTCGACGACTTTTTTGGCCGTGAGATCGCATTTATTGCCGACAAGAAGTTTGTTGACGTTATCGCACGCGTATCTATCGATCTCTTGTAACCATTGCTTGACGTTATTGAAAGACTCGACGTCCGTCACGTCGTACACAACAATGATGCCGTGGGCGCCCCTGTAGTAGGAGGACGTGATGGTGCGGAAGCGTTCCTGGCCAGCCGTGTCCCAGATCTGCAATTTGATGGTTTTTCCGTCCAATTCAATCGTTCGGATCTTGAAGTCGACGCCAATCGTCGAGATATAAGACTCGGTATACGTGTCGTCCGCAAAACGCAACAAAAGACATGACTTTCCGACTCCAGAATCGCCAATCAGAAGCAGTTTGAAGAGATAATCGCTGAAAGAGACCAAACAATTAATTGTCGATAATATCTTGAGATCAATTCAAGACTCACTATTCGGGATTCATTTTCACCAAAATGTCTGTCAATTGTCGTCACGAAAGAGGAGTTTCATGAATGACGTGTCCATTCACTGCGCAAACGCAATACACAAACAAAGTTACCAAAGATTCCAAAACTACGACTCAATCATTGACTTAACATTAAAGGGAACTAAAGTTCAACACAACGTCACGCTCTTTATGAATAAGTATAGACTGACACACAATTACGTGCTTTGCGTTCACCGAAAGCGACCGAACTATTGGACGGACGGAACAACTGATAGATTGGTCAGATTGAAGACAATGTCTTCGCCAATATTGAGACCATTGAGAGCTGTAGTGATGACTTGAGCCGACTTTTGCGTCTTTGATTGTCGACGTAATTGATGATCGCAGTGTCGGTCGTTCAATGGACGAGACTGCGGCCAAGCGAGCGGACGGCCAGTCTCTGCTATTGCCGGGACATGTGGTCAAAGAGCGGTGGCGAGTGATTCGGCGATTAGGAGGCGGAGGTTTCGGCGAAATCTTCGAGTGTTTGGACTCTTCTTCACAACAATTGGTTGCTCTGAAAGTGGAATCAACTCAACAACAAAAACAGGTTTTCTTTCGATTTTCTTTCATTCTTCTGAATCTTTGGATCCATTGATAGGTTCTTAAGATGGAAGTTGCGGTTCTCAAGAAACTGCAGACTCAGTCGCAAAATGTCTGTCGTTTCATTGGTTGCGGACGTAATGAACGCTTCAATTACTGCGTAATGACTCTTTTGGGCCGCAATTTAGCGGAATTGCGTCGTTCGGTTCAACACATCAACCAAAAACCCGCTTTTTCTTTATCCACGGCTTTAAGACTTTCGCAACAAATACTTCATTGCATTGAAAGCATTCATTGCATTGGATTTCTTCATAGAGACAGTGCGTCGTCTGAGTCGTCGTCCCGAACGACAATAATATGTGTTTTCTTTTCGCAGTAAAACCGTCCAACTTTGCGATCGGACGAACGCCACAAACGGCTAAACGTGTCTTTATGTTGGACTTCGGTCTGGCCAGACAGTACATCATCTCGAGCACGGGTGAAGTGCGTCCTCCTCGCGTTGCGGCCGGTTTTCGAGGAACAGTTCGGTACGCTTCGGTGAACGCGCATAAGAACCGCGAAATGGGACGACACGACGACTTGTGGTCTTTGTTTTACGTTTTGGTGGAAATGGTCAACGGAAGTCTTCCGTGGCGTAAAGTCAAAGACAAGGATTCCGTGGGTCTAATGAAGGCCTCCTTCGACCACCGCCTCCTTCTCAAGCATTTGCCGCAAGACTTCCGGCAATTCCTCGAACACATCGAATCTCTACAATACGCCGATTCTCCCGATTATCAGCTTTTAAATGCCGTTTTCGAAAGAGCTATTCGTCGAAGAGGTATTCGATGTGAAGATCCCTTCGATTGGGATCAAACTCAACGCAATCCCAATCCAGAGGCAGCTGTTGTTCCCGCAGCCGAAGCTTCAGTCGGCTATTACTCAGAAGTGGCGGCCAATGAACGCCCGATTCCTATCACTGACAGAACGCCTGTCGTGTCGGCACATGCGCTACAATCACGCGAAAACATCGACGTCCCGGACGACAGACCGACGCGTCGTTCCGAACGACCGCCGGACGACACAAAGGCGACTGTCGTTTCGGCGCACAAATGCACCGACTTTTCGGTTGTGACGCAAATGAACGCGTGCGCCGACGAATTATCACTGCAAAGACCGCAAACGGCGCGCGACCGCAGAAATGTCACGCAATACTGCGTTTCGTGAGTTTTCGTGATTTTTTTTCAATATTTTCTGTAATTTTATTGTTTTTCAGAAATTTTTGGGAAAAAAGCGTTGCTTTTAATGACGCAAACGATGACGTCATTCAAGACATGGATTTCGATACCGAAAGACGACTTCCGGTCGAAACTCAAGACGACGTTAAGCCGTCTCCAGTACCGCAATACAAACCGCCGATGTTGTCATCTAACGCTTCCAATACTTACCCGATTTGCAAGCATTTAATGGGATTTCGATCTCAAAGTCTTTCGCAAATCCCTTTTATGAGCGCTGAAGACGCGACGCCCGACCGTCGTCTCGGACGACGACAGTGCGACGTCGCGGACGACGCGCCGCTGACGTGGCCGACACCTTCGAGATCTCAAGAGTCGCAACTCATTCGCTCTCTTTCTTTGCATTTCTGGTCGTCTTCTAGTCGTCGAGTCATTCGTCCGCCGCAGACACCGCCTGAAGAGGCACTCGAGCCGTTGGCCGAAGCGGTGGCGCGAATGAGGAAAAAGTTCTTTCATTAGTTGTCACGTGATTTTTGGTTTTTATTTAAGCAATAAATTCGTATTCATTTCGACTTTAATTCGACTTTAATTTGAATTCATTTCACAATTATTTCGACATTTATATCGAATTCTTTCGCACGTGAATAACGGCGAAGGATTTCCGGACATCATTGACTCTGCGGGAAAGCGGATCAGTTAGCAAGCGTTCTGAGGACAGGATTTACGGGATTTACGGGAAAAACGGTTTTCTATCAAACATTGGGTCCAAAAGTGATGGCAGTCTTCAAAACAGGAAAAAAACAAAATTACAAGAAATGGAAACAAAAGAGTCGTTAAAGATATCATTGTTTTCATGTTTTGTCTGTTTTTTTGGTCTGTTTTTAAGGTTTTTATACTAAGAAATGACCTCTTTTTGTGTGTTTTAATCTCTAAAACAAACGGATCTCAAATGCAAGTCATTATAAGTCATGAAAAGCCATAAAAAGCTCACATTTTATGCGTTTCTTTGTTTCAAAAGACAATGACTTTTCATTTTTCATTTCATTTGATTTTTCAGACAAAAAGTCATTTCAAATGTGTTTTATATTTGACTCGAATTTCATTCAAAAAACATTTGTTTTTTTGGTTTGAAATTCAATCCAAAGATTCATTCATTTTATGCAATAATTGATTCAAAAAAAACATTAAAAACATTGAAAACATTGAAAACCACACGAAATCACGTCTATTTCGACCCCCACTCCCACTTCGACCCCCAAAATACCGTTAATTACAATAATTCTCGCATTTCTTTCGTTATAAACAAATCCAACGCCAGATGTCAGGACTRAAGACATGATTCGCAAAATCAAAACAAAACACGTCTTTCACTGAAAATCTCTCCGAAATTCTGACCCGAATTCAGACCACAATTCAGACCAGAAATCCAATTATAGAAGATGTGGTCCAAAAGTCTGAACGAATCGTTTTCCGCTTTAACGACGTCTTTAAGACAATCGCTTCCTTTGAATCCAACTTTCGGTCAGTTTTTTGGTTTAAATTCTTTTTTAATCAAATTCTTTCAGATTCTCAACAAAACCTCATTTCGGACGACATTTCCCGACAATTATCCGTTGAATGCGATCTTTTGCGTCGCGAATGTCAGCGACTAAAAGCCCGATTGGACGGCCACTCACCCGTCGACCCGCAGGTGGGCGCCGCCGCTCTTTTTTTGTCTGACTTCCGTCTTTACGGACGACGCCCTTCCGCTGTCGTCCCTATTGTTGCGCGTAATTGAAGTAATTGTTGAGTAATTGTCGCCTCATTAGCGCCGCAGTGGGGGAGGCGCGGGGGGCGTGTCGTCGGCAACCAATCAGAACGCAGACCACGCCCTCATTCCTGTGTTGGTTCGCAGGTCGGCGACGAAAGCGACGTCCCGGACGACGGCTCGGACGACACACGGACGACGGTGGCCGCGATGCCGGACGTGACTGCGGCGGCGGAACGAGTGATGGCTCTGGAAGACGAATTACGGAAAGTGGAGGCGGATCGGAGTCATTGGCGAACGCTTTGTCTGCAGCAACAGGTGAGTGACGTTTGCGGACTTAGACTTTGGACGCTTCCGTTGAGAGTTAAGGCACAGGTGTTGAGAGCGCGCAGTTGTGTTGCTCTGGAGATGATTAGAGAGTTGGCATAACTGTTGGCAAAATAGTAGTCAAATAGAAGTCACACCCGAAAAGTCAACACTGCTTTGTGTTCATTATAGAAGAGCACCTGTAGTTCTATATAGTCTGTCGTCCATTATAGACCAAACATGACGACAAACGGGACGACAAACGGGACGACGCTTCGGACGACAAACCGGACGACGAACCGAACGACGACGTCCTACAACTCAAACAAGAACTTCAACTTCTCGACCAAATTCACGCTCAAGAACTCAATAAACTCGTTCAAATCAAAAACACGTTAGAACAACGGTTAGCACAGGTAGCACGCGGTGAACCCGAAGGTGAGGATGGACAACGGGCTCAAGACAGACAACTACTCGAAACTCGGATTCACGACAAAGAGGCGGACGTCCAAAGAATAACGGTGAGTAAGAGTAGAGAGAGAGAGAGAGCGCGCAATAACGGTTAGACTTCAGGAGGAATGCGAGCGAAAGAGCGAAGAAATTCAAAGATTAACGCAAAAAGTTGATGAACTAATGGYGCGGGTCGTCGTCCCGGACGACACAACTGTCCAAAGACTTAACGAAGAGTTGGCGCGATTGAAGCGCCATCTTGTCGAAGTCGAAGACAACTATTGTCGCGAACTTTTGACCGCAGAACAAACGATTCGGCAGTTGAGAGACGAAAAGGAAGCGTTGGAAGCGACGGCCGGACGTCTGAAAGAACAACATTTTGAAGAAGAAATTCGGTATAAATTTAAATATAAAAAAATGAAATGAATTTTGAATTTCGTTTCAAAAGAAATTTGAAAACCGAAAGAGAAATCGCGAGAAACCAAGTTTCGGCTCTGGAGGACAAAAACGCCGAATATTCTGCTTCTGTTAATAATCTTCAAGTAGTTGTCGAACAATTGCAAAGAGGTTTAAATCAATTGTCTTTTGTTTTGTCAAAAGTTTAATCAAAAGTTTTGCAGAAAATGAACGAAAAATTCAAGTTTTAAAACGCGATTTCGATTCCAAACTCTTAAACGAACGCAAAATCAGTGAACAATTAGAATCTCGTGTTCGACAACTCGAACAACGAATCCAAGACACCACTGAAGCCTTGGGAGCGGCCGAACGGCTGTCCATGAGTTTGGACGCCAAGGAAGCGACGATTTCGAGTTTGCGGTCTTCGGGTGAGTGTCTGTCTGTGTGTTTGTGTATATTATAGTCGAAGAAGTTGTGTTTCGGTTCGCCGTAATCTCATTTGGTAACTCTGGGAGACATTCATTAACTCAGAGTTTCATTTGAGGTTTCGGCGCGCGAAGTGTCGACATCTAGCGGTCGTTGACTCTGAGTATTACATCAGGTACTGGAGTTTGTCACCAGAGGTCGACACCAGTGCCAGAAGTAAAGCTCAAAGTTTGCGATCGAAAAGTCATCGAAATCTTCGAACGAAAACCTATTTTCCGCCGATTTTCCGGTCATTTAAAGCCATTTCGGTCGCAGTTGAACTCAAAGAACAACAAATGGCGGATTTGCGATTAGAAACCAATCGAATGAAAGACTCTTTCGACGGAACTGTTGACAAACAAGTGGCCAAAAGTCTGTTTTTGGCTTTAATGACGTCTTCGGAGGAAAACCGCAGAAAAGAAGTCCAAAAACTGATTTCAAGATTCCTTGATTTCAATTCCGAAGAAATGTCAAAAACAGGTTTACAAAAGACAACAAAAGACGAGTCTTTGTCCGCGAGATTCGTTCTCTTCCTTCACAACGAGTCGACTCCGCCCCCAATCACCGCCACACCCACTCCGGCCGCGCTCTCGGGTTTATCGCGGTCTTTGATTGCAGACTCGCAGCGAACGAATCCGTTTTTGGCAACTGTTCCGACGTCGACATCGTCGTCGCGGCGTTCGTCGGTTGCCATGACGACGGATAATCCGCTTCTTCAGGAACTGAACGAATCTTTTGCGTCACTCTTGACGTCACCGAAAAATCAATAAAAATAGTTTTAAAAAAATGTTTTATTCGAAACACGTGTTAGTGTTGTCGCAAACTGATCCGAACTGATCGGTCGGCAGAAGACTGTTTGATCCCAAGCAGTCGGTGATTGTGACGGTAGAATCGGATTCAATGGAGACGATTTCATCTTTGGTCAGAAGCAAAGAGTTTGCGTTCGGAAAGACAACAATCGCTTCGTTTTCGTTTATGACATACAAAGAGTCGTCAAAACCGAGAGAAACAAGAGTTCCATCGCTTGTCGTTATATTCGAATACAAATCCAAAGACAAGACGAGAGACAGTCCGGAAGGTGACGCCACTGTCACCGTTCCGTCGGGAAGGATGTTCGTGGAAGAGCCGTCGCGTCCGCCGAGAGTCGTGTCCTGAGGAGTGATGAGGACTTGAGTTCCGCCTTTCGTCCGAATGTCTGCATTCAGTCCTTCTGTGACCACAATATCGACGCCTTTCGTATGGATTTCCGCTCCCAAAGAGTCGGTCGGAATGAGAGTCTGTTTGCCGTCGGCCGTCGTCACAAGCATTCCGAACTCTGACGTCACGACTCGAGTCTTCTCCGGAAGCGAAACATTCATTCCTTCGGAGTCAAAGCGCACGCGCGTCGTGTCCGCCAAAACCACCAAAACGTTGTGTTCGGTATCCACGGCAACAGACGTTCCGTCCGGAAGTCGAGTCATTGAAGACCCGTTCTGATGAAGAGTCGCTTCCGTTCCGTCCAATGACGTCACGCGAGACGACTGTCCGACCGCCAGAGCGATGGTTGATCCGTCGGGCGTCTGAACGGAAGTGGGGGAGGAGTCGGTCAAAGGTCGCGACTGAAGACGAGTTCCGTCCGATAAGACAACTGAAGACATTCCGTCGCAATCCAAGTCGACCCACGTGTCCGAACACGACGACTGCGAACATTGTCCCATCGAATCAAGAGACGGCAACTGCCACGGCGGGACCATCACCACTTGGGAGGGCGTGACTTGCGAACAGGTGGGCAGCAGTGGGCGTGGCATCTGAGCTTTGAATTCAACTGAAGACGAAAGACGACGTTCTTGGGGWTGAAGTGTCGTTCGGGACGACGACTGGGACGACGGCAGAACTGATATGTTTGCCATTTGTGTTAATTGATGCGATTGCGGTAAACAAAAGGATCTTTGCGGACATTGAAGCAGATATTGAGCCGAAGAGTCGACGGCTGAAGACGTCTTGTTTTGTGTCCAAAGAAGAAAACGATTTAAAGCCAAAGCATTGATTGGAATTAAAACACAAGAAAACGACGGCTGAAAAGCAATTGTCGACGAAACGGCCGATATTGAAGAAACCACTGATGGYTTKGTCTCGTTCTTCGGCGGACGGATTGTCACGAGAGACGGACGCAAAGATGGAATCGTTAGAATGGGGGAGAAAGTGGGTATTGGGGGTAAAGGGGGCAGAGGTGGGAAAGAGACGGGCAAAAAGGAGGCGTTGAATGTCTTTTGAGGACAACTTGTTTTTCTGAAACCGGAAATAAAGAAAGATCTTTCGGCTAAAGACAGGGATTCTTGTCGTTTATGAAAATGACATTTGGAGACCAGAGGACGGTTTTGCAGAAGAGATCCGCACAATATATGAATAGATCCGCGACGAAGACGAACTCCGCAGTCGTCGGCCGACGTGTAGAGAAGTCCGGGACGGATGGCGGCCAAAGAAGCGGGAGAAAAGCGGAGAACGCGAACTGGACGGAAGCGATAGGCGAGGAATCCGTTTCCATCGGTTGTGGGTTCGGAACGAACGGACGCTTCGACACAGAAATCTGAAGAACAGAAGTCTTGAGCGACTCTTTCGTTATAACAAGTGGTTTGAGTGCATTGTCTTCCTTCTAATAACGGATCCAAAGAACACAAACATTCGGTTTTCACTGAATTCACACAAAAAACACACAAAAAACACAAAAAACACAACAATTCTATTACTTTTGACATTATTTCTGATATTTTGCGGAAAAAACTCTTTCAATAAATACAGAATTTTTTTTGGGTCACAAATGCTTTATTCGGAGCGCGAGGGCGGAGACAAAGACAAAGCGGAGGCGGGACGCGGACGACGCGCAGAATCTTCCACCGAATACTCCGCTTTCGGACGTTTCGCCGGAACGTAACTCACAACTCTTCCTCTTGAGTCCAATTCATCTTCTATTGGAGGAGGCGGAGGCGAACGGAGGGCTCGAGAACGAGGTGTCGTCCGGTCGTCGTCTTCTTCAAAGTAATCGTCTCTTTGCGGCGGAGGACGCACTGTTCGAGAGCGWGGYGTCGTCCGGTCGTCGTCTTCTTCGAAATAGTCGTCTCTTTGTGGAGGCGGCGGAGGCGGAGGGGGGCGAAGAGTTCGAGAGCGAGGCGTCGTCCGKTCGTCGTCTTCTTCTTCGAAATAATCCTCTCTTTGTGGTGGAGGACGCACTGTTCGAGAGCGAGGTGTCGTCCGGTCGTCGTCTTCTTCAAAGTAGTCGTCTCTTTGCGGTGGAGGACGTGGAGGACGTCTGGGTGGAGGAGGAGGAGGTGCATGTTGGTCGTCTTGATCGTCCCAAAAAGGGTTTGGATGGACAGGGCGTTTGTAGGGTGGGTCGAGAAGTGGAGGCCGTGTTTTTGGAGGATTTCTTGAAAACGGAATTTCATATGAATTGAAATTATTATTTGTTTGTGTTTTTTGCGGACGTTTTTGTTCTATTCTTATGTCTTGAATGTCTTGAAAATCAAATGAAGAAACAGAAGGTCTTTGACTTTGATTTTTGATTAAATCATGAATTTCTGGCTTTTCTTTCGGTTTTTCATTGATTTGCGAAAAATTGGTTAAAACGGGAAACATTTGAAGCGCTGTTTGAAAGTCTGAAAAACTATTAAACAATTTATCATTTCTTTTCTCTCACCGTTTGGTCTTTGAGTTGCAGAAGAAGGAGGCGAAGGAGGCGCAGGAGGCGGGCGTTGAGGACGAGAAGGAGTTTCGAAATCTGCGGAAAAAAAGTCAGTTTTATTGAATTGAATTGTTTTCTGACCGTTGTTTGGCCGTTGTTTCGGTGATTCATAGTTAGGACGCGTTGGACTGCGTTCGGGCGTCATGGAGTGCGTGGGAGGTCGGGGTTGCGGTGGTTGGGGTCGTTGTGGTTGAGGTCGTCTTTGATTGGTTGATTCTGACTGATCCTGACAATTGACTTTCTTATAACCGGCCAAAAAGAAGATTCTTTCGGCGAAAGACAGGGATTCGAACTTTTTTCCGAAATCACAGGCCGTTATCCAAGCATTTGGTCCCAAAGCAGTTCCGCACAAATAATAGATTCCTTTTGTCTTGAGATCGACTCCGCAGTCGTCAAGAGGTGTGAGAAAGAGTCCGCTTTCGATTGCGTCCAAAGACGACGGTTTATAACGGAAATAACGAACGGAACGGAAGTTATAGAAGGCGTGAGTCACGGATCCGTTGTCGCCTTCGATGAACGACTTGTCCGACTTGACGGAAGCCTCCAAACAGAAATCCGCGCGACAATAGTCTTTGATGAGTTGCGAGTCGTAATTGGCCAAAGAAGCCAACGCTTCCCATCCTTGTTTCTGTTGTGACGTCACGTTATTCTTCGGACAATTGCATCCGTCGGCGAAATGGCCGAAAAAAGCGGACAAAAAGACAAACAAAAAAAGCAGTTTTTTCGACATTTGAATGACGTTTTGTTTTATTCGTCGTTCAGATCAACGAACGCTTTATGTCTTTCAGAAACAGTTGTTTTTTGGGGAAATGTGTTCTCATTTCACTGTTTTTTATATCAATTCAGAGATTATTTCATTTGGAAAATGCTTTCCTTCGGAACAACGCTTTTCCTCCTCCCGTTCCTTCAGTCCATTGTCTGCGAGTCGTGTTTATGTCCGACAACTCCTCTCGACTTCTGTTCCTATGATTTGGGAATCAAAGCAACGATTATTTCCGAAATTTCAGGAAATGTTTGGAAAAATCAAAACAAGTCTTTCGGAACTCAAGAAATCAAAATAAATCGCATTTTTCGCGACCGAAAGTCCATTGCTTCCGTCGGGTCTGCTTTTGCTGTCTATTGGCCACAATCTGAATGTCAAATTCAATTCAAACCCGAAGAAGAAGTCGTCTTTTTCGGTGATTTCGAAGAATCGAACGCAAGATTTGTGATAAAAGAATGCGATTTCGCGAAAACTGTTTCGCAATTAACGCAAACCGAAACTCAAATTTTCAATCAAATCCCGAAATGTCAACAAACAGATGAAACCCAAGAAACCGATGAAGAAGGACGCAAAAGACCGCATATTCCTCCTTACTATCCGCCGCCGCCTCATCCCGAAASACCTCATCCCGAAATCCATTTCCCGCCGATCCCTTCACTGCCAGAAGTTATGTTTCCGCCGATTCCCGAAATTCCCGCAATACCGGAAGTCGAGTTCCCGCCATTTCCCGAGATTCCCGTAATACCGGAAGTCGAATTTCCGCCGATTCCCGAAATTCCCGTGATTCCCGAAGTCGAGTTCCCGCCGATTCCTGAAATTCCCGTGATTCCCGAGGTTGAATTTCCGCCGATTCCCGTGATTCCCGAAGTAGAGTTGCATCCGATTCCCGAGATTCCTGTTATACCTGAAGTAGAATTTCCTCCATTTCCCGAAATCCCGTCAATTCCTGAAGTGATATTCGAACCTTTGCCTGAATTCGAATCAATTCCTGAAATCCATTTTCCCGAACCCCCAGTTCTGCCTGAAGTCGTGTTTTTCCCGCCATTACCGGAAGTCCCGTCTTTTCCGGAAATAGTTATTTCCATTTCAGAACCGGAATCCGAAAAAAGCGATAAAAACGCGAAAAAAGAGAAATAAAAGAGTTTTTATTCAAATTCAATGACAGTTCGAATTGATTTTCCGTTTTTCATTAAATCAAACGCTTTTTGAATGTCTTTCAAAGGGATTCTCGAGGAAATCAGTTTCGAGACATCCATTTCCCCGGAAATCTGTTTTCGAACCAATTCTTGATTTCCAGCAATTGGTTTATAATTCCCGAAATATCCTCCACTAATACACCGACCGTTCAACAGCTGAGCCACGGATTGCGTGACTTTCGCTCCTTTCTTCGCGAGTCCGACAACAATAAGACGTCCAAAGGGTTGGAGAACTCTATTCGCGACGTCCAAAACGGATTGAGAACCGATACAATCGAACGCGTAATCGATTCTCATTTCCATCAAAACTGATTCCAAATTCGTTTCTAAAGAATCCGTTTTTTAGAATCAAAAGTCGAAAAACATTTTTATTTCAAACCCTTTTTCGGACACAAGAAGTGCGTGACTCCCATCTCTCTTGCAATCCACTCTTTGTCGGGATTCGTGTCAATTCCCACAATGACTTCTGCTCCCGAATCACGACATCCCAAGACACACGACAACCCGATTGGTCCCAAACCCCAAACTGCACAAACACTGCCCGAATGCACTTTCGCGATTTGAGTCGCACTCCCGAATCCCGTCCCGACTGCACACCCTATAATGGCCGCCACTTTTAGGTCTGCATTTGAATCCAACTGCGAATCAAATTCGTTATAAATTTTTGGTCTCTCTCTCTCTGACCTCTGACCTTTGCCACTTGTGTTTCGCGAACAACAGTGTATTCCGCGAAACAAGCGGTTCCAGCGAAAGACAACAATTCGTCGCCATCTTTGATTYTCATTCGACTTTTGCCATCGAAGGTCATTGTCGTGAAGAAGTTTCCCGATTCGCACAAATTGGTCAACGGGTTTCTACACAAACGGCATTTTCCACACTCGGGTAACCATAGCAACATGACCTTATCGCCCACACCCACTCGCGACACGCCCTCTCCCACACTCTCGACTACGCCGGCTCCTTCGTGTCCTAAGACAACAGGCCGTCCCTGGAAGTCGACATCGAGTTCGGTAGTCCATCCCCAGACGAAATGAGCGTCTGTAGCGCAAACTCCGGCCGAAATAACCCGAACTCTGATTTCGTTTTTTTCCGGAGATTTGACAACAATTTTCTCGATTTTCACTTCTTCTCCCGGTTTCCGCAAAACAGCGGCCAAACATTCAATTGACTGAGAATTTCAAATCAAATCAAATGAAACGAAAGACAAAGACATTCTCACCTCCGAAGAAGACATCTTTTCTGTTGTTTTTCAACGCTTTTATGTTTTTTATCACAAAATCTTATCAAAAGTCAATTCAAGGACAAAACGATTCAAAAAACGACTCAAAAAACAATTGAAAACAAAACAAAAGAAATTATTTATTGTTATTCGGAATCATTGCTAAAGAATTTAGTCATTGTGTCCGCGAATGTCGCCGAACACGACTCTTCCAGTTGTCGAAGTCGACTACAAGAACACGTGAAAGACTCTGCTTTTGCCGACACTTTTGGTCTCCGTTTCGGTCTTTCCTCCGTTTGTCCTCCACTCCCACTCCCACCCCCACTCCCATTCCCTCCACTTCCACTCCACTCGTCGTCCGCCGCCTCATATTCGGGCCGTTTTTGCGGTCGGAACTGTTGTTTGGGTGGTTTTTGGTCCCAATTTTGAGCCCAGAATTCGTTTTCCGGTTTCGGTCTTTGTTTTATCGGTTTTTCGTTCCATTCATTCCATTCCTCTTTCGGTCTTTGGATTCCGTTTTCGGTATCTGTCGGCCAATCAGTCCATTCGGATTCGGGTTTTTGTCCATTCGGTCGTTTTCCTGGTCTTTGGTTTGCCATCCATTCGGTTTCCTGTTTCGTCGGACGTCCGTTCGGTCTCATCTCCGGCCGAATCTCCGGTCTGATGTCCGGTCGCTGTTCCGGCCACTGTCCGCCTCCCCACTCGCCGCCATTCCACTCGTCATTCGGTCGTTCGTCCGACTCCTGCCACTCTCCGTTTGCATTCCATTCGTTGGTTTCCGTCCACTCTTCCGGTCTTTTGGACGGTCTTTCGTCCCATCTTTCGGGTCTTTCGGGTCTTTCGGGTCTTTCGGGTCGTCGTCCGTTGGGTCGTCCACTCCACGCCACTCCCGTTTGTGTCGTCTGCCACTGTTCGCGTTTTTTGGGTTCTTTGGGTCGTCTGCCCCCCTTCCCCCCCTCATGCCCCCACTCTTGTCCCGAACATTGCGGTAAATCTTGTAACGAAGGAATCGAACACAGATTGAAGTCAACAGACTGTCTTCCCCCTCCACTCCCACCCCCGCCCCCGCCCGCCTCGTACTGCGGGGGCTGTTTCTGCGTGGGCCACCTGGCCTTCTCCTCTTTGACGCCTTTCTTGTCTTTGTTGACAATCAGATGACTTAATCCCGGTTTAACAGTCGCCACAACCGGAACTCCGAATTCCGGAACTATTTTCTCGTTGTTTTCGGTTTTTTCACTCATTTCTTGCGCTTCACTTCCGTTCGCCACGTGATCCACAGTCTCCGCCTCTTCCGTCTCCCGTTTCCTCCTTAAGGGCGGGATTTCAGTCAAATTCAAACCAATCAAATCCTTCGTATATTCCAATCGATTTCCACTTCGACTTCCGTTTCCGCCGAACCCTCCGTGACCTCCCGCTCCTCCCATTCCTGATCCGAACGCAATTCCCCCGTTCCCTCCCGTTCCTCCTGCTCCTCCCATAATACCGTGAGATCCGATTCCTGGAAGCCCTCCAATGCCTCCGATGCCTCCCATTCCCGGAAGAGCCAGAATCAGCGGCGGTCCTGAGAATCCCGGTCTGGCGGGAATTCCCGGCGATCCTGGTGCTCCGGGACCGGGCGGACGTGTTAGCAGACGTTGATTGCAATCGTAGCGCCGATACGCGCCCATCAGGAACAGTCTTTCGCCGACATTGAGGTCGTCTTGCGATCGAACGAAATGACATTCAGAGACGACTGGTTTGGCGTCCATTCGATCGTAAACTCCGAAGAGAACAACGAATCGGGATTTCGAGACATTTACCGCACATTCGACGGGAGTGTAGACAAAACCGTCCGAAAAAATGGAAGTATTTCTCAGATCTTTATATACTTTTGCGATTCGAACGTCGAATCTTCGGAAGCGTTGGTCGGAATGGTCTTTGAATTCTGCGTCCGATTTTTCCGAACGAATAAACACTTTCCACGCGAAGTCATCGAAACAAAAAGACCGCAAAATCAACGGTTCGTTTACATTCTCTCCCGAACGCAACAAACACGAACACGACTGACCCGAGACCGAGGCAGCCGAGGCCACAATAATTACGGACAATAAGAACACAAAAACGACGTTTGAGAGGAAAGACATCGAAACTAAAAGTGAATTAAAAAGACGTGTTTTCGCAGATGTTTTGCTTTATTTCCACAAAAACAGGTCAATGACTGCCATTTAGTGCACAAAACAGTTGTCATTGAGTTCTAACAACAGGTGTTGCGTTTGTCCCGTTCCCGTCTTTGACCAAACATCGAACCCAAGACTGCAATCTCGCGATCGGACTCTCGATTACAACCGAAACCAAGAATGCCATCAAAAAAGAGATAAAAATCGTTTGACAAACACTGGAAAAGACTTCGGAAGCGGAAGTCGAAGGCAATCGGCGTCTCGAAGCCCACCACCACCACACCACCCACACGTGCGTCAAATACAGCGAATACGAGACGCGAGACAGCGGAACAAAGAACCGCCATTTCAACAGAGAGTTGGGATTCGCTTCCGACAAATATATTACACAACAAATACCAATCGACCAAAGAATTCGCGCCAAAGGATAGACTATTGCGGAGATATAGCGGTTGTTCGGGTGTTCGCCCCCTGTCCAGTAGGCCGTGTCGTAGAGGGCGACACCGAAACACAGGAACACGAAAAGCCAGAGAAAGAGCTGTTGTTTCTGAAAATGAATCAATTAATCAAAAGAAGGAATGAATTGCAGAAGAAAACCAACTTTTTTCAGTCGAAATTGTGGCCAAAGATTGAAACAAATGCCAAACGAAAAGCCGACGAAATAAACGGCCAAATGTGGCCACGGCTGGTAATACACGAGTTGTCGGAACTCTTGTAGAAAATATGGTCCGATTTGAGTAGAAACGCGTCCCGCAGAGAAATCGTTTACCAAAATCACGACCGAAACGATTGTCATTGAAATACAGATCAAAAGCGCGGAAATTAAAAGTGCAAAACGCGGACGACGCACGAGAACGGCCACCACCAACACTGACAACAGATGGCACTGCATGTCCACCGAGAGAAACCACGTGCTGTCAATGCACTGCAAGAAACGGGAATAATTCCGTCAGACGGGACGGGAAAGAGACGGGAATTTTGTTACCATTCGGGAAGAATCGATCAAATTGTGGAGAAATAAGAGGTTTTGCCACCAATTGGAGTGACAAGAGTCGATTCGGGAAGAGAGGAAAGAGTTCCAAACGGGACCCGAACCCATCAATGGCAACAAAGTGGTCAAAACGACAAACACCGCCATTAATGGCCAAAGACGCAAAACACGGGTCCAGACGTAAGCGAAAACGGAAAAGCATTTGACGCGTTTGAGAGTTGTGTGGGCGGCCAGAAAACCACTAATCAGTAATTCGGATTAATTCGGATTAATTGGGGATTAATAATACCTGAGAACGAAAAATGTTTCGACGATTGTATGGACTTTAGAAAGCGGAAGAATGAAGACTGAACTCAGAGAATGTCGAATTGCAAAAGTGTTTTCTGCGATTAACGGATTAACGGATTAACGGATTAACGGATTAGTCGATTAGGGATTAGATGACTTATATGGACTGACTATAGAGCGACCAATCGGTGTATTCGATTTGATGAGCGATTATTATGTAAGAAATGGTTAAAACGCGGATTCCGTCCAGAGATCGCAGTTCCGGACAATTGTCGGTACGGAAGACGCGGCGGATATTGTCTTCAAGACGGAAGGCCTTCACAAATGGCCGSAAAGAAGCTAAAGAAAGGAAATGAGATTAAATTGGATTTAAAAGGATTTAAAAGGATTTACGCGGAAAAAGAGAAACGAAAAAAGCGATTAAAGTGAACGCGACCAACAATGAAGAAATCAATCTGAAAAACAATGAATTAATAATTAATAATTGGATTAATGATTGGATTAATGATTGGATTAATGATTACAGAGCGAGGAAATGGAGAAAAAGAAAATCAACGGAATCTGTGTTACAATCGACGGATTTCACCGAAAGTCCAGATCTTATTAAAGCTGTCGAAGAAATCTAATTATCATTAATACAGTTAAAGGCATTTCGTATTTACCCGAACGGGACAGAGACAGGACGTCCGAAGAACGACATTTCGAAGGAACGCAAAGTGCGAATCGCAAATCGGTTAAATAGAAAAAGACGGCCGAAGACGACAAATGACGCATTACCGACGAGTCGGACGAATTGGGCGGAAGAAGACCGTCAACGCCGTGATTGAGATTCAGGTGTGGAGTGTTTGGAGGCGGAAGAGGCACCGAAACGGACACCAAACACATCTGCGGTTTACCGACGACTTCGGGGGCCGAGTTTATTTGCAAACATTGGTCGTAATCGCCGAGTTCGGTAACTGTTCCGGTGAGCAGTCCTTGAGGTGGAAAAGAAGAACTCGAATCGAACATTTGATACGCAAAGAGATGGCCTTTTGATAGACTTTTTAACACAAAAAACACAGATTTCCGACATTCAGACGACAGTTCCGATGAATTGGTGATTGAGACCAAGTTTTCTATCAAATAATCCACTCTTTTAGAGTGATATTCAACRAATGCACGCGAAAGAGGCGACCAAAGAGAGCGAGTGTCCGAACTCTCGAACGACAGTCCTCTCAAACACAACAAAAGCAAAAGTTGTGCCAAAAAATGCATTTCAAAGACTTGTTTTAACTTTGAATTCAAACCTTAAATACGATAAAAGATATGAAAAACGAGTTGCGATTCAAGTCTTGAAACGAAAAGATTAAAAGACTTTTAATTCTAGACTTGAATCGGATTTTCATCAGAAATACTCTTAAATTCAATTCAATTGCATTTTTTTACACAAATTTCAACAAAATTATTGAAATAAACCTAATTTTCTTTCGTAATAAACAATAAATCAATGTTTGAGAAAAAAGTTTTGTTTTTTTTATTTAAAGTGTTTATTGTTTTTGAATATAAATAGAAATCTTTGTTTGCATTGAAGTGTTGTTTCCAACACTTTATCAGTTATTTCCTGACTTCAGAACAAATCATTTTTTGTCAAAAAAAGTTGAATACATGTGTGTATTGTCAGGTGTTGTCACCGAATGTTGAAATCCGAGACAAACTGTGAAACAAAACAAAAAACATTTTTTTCGCTTCAATGAGAAAATCAATGATTTATTGCTTGAAAACAAATACTTATTGAATGTCAAAGAAATGCAAATTAATTTTCGTCTAATTTACACAAAAATGACAGCAAATGACAGGTGTTTTGAGGGTTGACTCAATGCATACATAATTATTATTAAATTTTCTCAAAGTTTTAAATTTTTAAATAAAAAATTTTATTGTTTTAACTCAATTGATGTCATTTTAATTGTTTTCTCGAAAATATTATTCAAAATATTGGATTAAATATTGAGTAATAAATCATATATTTATCTGAAGTGCAAAACAAACGAATAAATAAATAAATAAAAGAAACAATAATTTCATAAATCAAAGCAATTGAAAGAAAATTATGAAATTTGTTATAAAAAGTGACTTAAAGTGCACTAAATATTAGAAATGAAGAGTTATTTCATAACTAAAGAGTACTTAAGGTTTGGAAAACAAAAATCAGACTTTTATGCCATTGTTTTTCACTTCTTTATAGTTTTTGCGTTTCTTTTCACTGAAGTAATGGTATTCCAGAGGAATGAAGTGATTCTTCGGAACGGGAGTTGCCATTGATGTGGTTGGAGCGGGTGAGGTGGGGACGCCGGGAAGGGGCGCTATAGTGGGTGTAGTGGCGGTGGTTTGGATGGGTTTGAACTTGGGTTTGACTTTACACAAATAGACGCATTGGTGGTATTGTTCGCGACTGAATTTGGTTGGAATTCCGTTTCCCTTTTCGTTGCACTGTTCGTAAACACATTCATATATTTTGCGGTAAATTCTTATACGACATCCTTCTATACAGTAATTCAGGTCTTTATCGCCGCGAAACAACAGYCGACGACACGTCTGAATGCAATTCTTTATTGTGTTTTCGAAGGAACGTCCTCTTTCTCCTCTTTCTCCTCTTTCTCCTCTTCCTTCTCCTCTTTCTCCTCTTCCTTCTCCTCTTCCTTCTCTTTCCGGACCTAAAGTCGACTCACATTTCACTGAAAAAGACGTTTAGTTTTGATTCAAATCAAAGACAAAACTCACCGAAAGAACAAAACAAAGTCAAAGAAATCGCCGAAAAAACCGAAAAAACCGAAAAAACACTCATATTTTGCGACTTTTCTGAAGACAAACTCAAACTTTTAGGAAATGCTTTTAAGAAAACAACTGTTCGCAACTCCGGTCACACTGTGATGCACTGGTAGTCAACCCAGAAAGGCGTCTTCAATGTGAACTCGGATTTCGAGGTCAGGGCACGACTTTTGTTGACTTAAAAGTCGTTTTTTCCAAACTATTAATCACTTAATCACAACTCAAATGAAAAAATACTACAAAAACACGATTTTTCGTCATTTTATTTGAAAACAAGTTTCAGAACTACTTATAGAATGTCTTTCGACGCAAAACTGTCCAAAAGAGTCCGCATTTGCTTCAATTGTTTCAGAAAGAGAACAACCGGTGATTCTTCTGCGACAACGGCTTCCTTCAGATAATTCCAAAGATATCTGTGTTTGTCTTCATTCAACTGTTGGCTTAAAAACTCGGTTTTCATTACAAGTCTTTTTAATCCGATTTCCATTGACTCGAAAAGTCTCGAAATTCCGTTCAAAACAACAGAAAAACCGTTCATTTCTGGCGATTCTTCGCTTCGAAAAACTGACGAAATCTCCGCTTCTTTACTCCCAAACTCCGACTCTTTCGGCAACTTTTTTGCCAATGAATGCCAAACAGACTCCACGTCCTCATCGCGAGAGTCGTCACTCGACTCCTCTTTTATAAGAAATACGAAAATCAGAAAAACCATTATTTTCTGCATTTTATAAATGAATTTATTTAACGAATACTTTATTTCGCTTTGAATTTACATAAAATGCAAATATATTTCGAAAATCTGTTTAATAAACAGTTTTTTGGATTTAAAACAGTTTTTTGGATTTAAAACAGTTTTTTGGATTTAAAACAGTTTTTTGGATTAATTGCTTTATTTTTGTTTGTTTTTAGAGTTTTTTACAAATTATTTTCGTTTTTATTATTTTAAATACAAATCATTTAAAGACTTAATAATCGGACAGAAAGTGTCGGATGTGTTCTAAATGCTCGAGAAGTAGTCTAATCGGCGATAAATCACTCAAAATGTAGTCAAAGAGAAAATACTGAAGTCGTTTGTGTTCTGATCCCAAGATTTTCACCAAAAACTCGGTTTTGTCGACAATTTTGGTTCCGATTGTCGACAAAAACATCAAAAGTCTTGTAACCATTGATAACAAGATATCGACGACAAACCCCTCGAATCCCAAACTGAGTCCCAGTGTTTCGTTTGCTTCGTTTGATCCGTAATTGTTGACAAGATCTCCAAAGTCCAGAAGCAGATCCACTCCCGACAAACCGGGACTTCCGAGAAGACCAGTCGAAGCAGTGCTTTCTTCAGTTGTTTCCGTGGTTTCATTTGAAGCGTTGTTYTCTTGATAGAGAAGTTCTGACGGTTTGTTATCAACTATTATGAGATTATTGTCAGAAAACGTAAGATTTTTTAGTTTTTTATACAAAGAAAAAGAGAAACTTTTGTCAACAAAATCATTGAAATTCTTGTGAATAATATTTTTTGTCGACTTTTCGGTCGATATTTCGACAAAACTTATGGCAAAAAATATAATCAAAAGTTTATTAAACATTGTTTCGATTGAAAGTCGAAAAACGGATTTAAATATTAATGAGATTTGAAAAACATTTGCAAAACAGAGAGAAAACAACTTTTGGGTCAAAAACAAAAAGTTTGAAAATTTATTTGTTTATGAAAATAGAGTTCACATGAGATGTTTGTTATCCAAACCAATGAAACCCGAATTTCGGTTCGATTTTCGCGAATAAGTCTCCAAAATGTCGGCCAGTCTTCGGGCGATTTGTCCGGTCGTGTCAAACACCGATCCCTTGCTATAGAACTGTTGGAACAAATTTGTTAAAAACAAGTCTCTCTTTCCTCCGCCTAAAGAACCCAAAAGACTGTCCAATTTATCCAAGAGATCGGCCAAAGACATCAACAATTTACTCAACAAATTACTCAATGCGTTCAAAATCTGCTGAAGAATTGATTGCAAAGCATTGCTCACACCGTCCAAAATACCTCCATTTCCTCCGTTCTGACCATTAGTCCCGTTCTGTCCATTTCCGTTTGATCCGGGTTTTCCGTTATTTCCATTCCCGTTATTCGGGTTTCCATTCCCGTTTCCATTCCCGTTATTTCCATTCCCGTTCCCGTTATTCGGGTTTCCATTCCCGTTATTTCCGTTCCCGTTATTTCCATTCCCGTTCCCGTTTCCGTTCCCAGGTTTTCCATTCCCATTACCATTATTGGGATTCCCGTTCCCGTTCCCGTTCCCGTTCCCGTTCCCGTTCCCGTTCCCGTTCCCGTTCCCGTTCCCGTTCCCGTTCCCGTTCCCGTTCCCGTTCCCGTTTCCGTTTCCGTTTCCGTTCCCGTTCCCGTTCCCGTTCCCTGGTCTTCCATTATTTGCGTCGTCGTCGTCGTCRTCCGGGTCCTGTTCGAAGGGAGTTGTCGGCCGTTTTGTGGTTTTATTTGGGTTGGGTTTTCCGCCTCCGCCTTTGACACCACTATTTGATGGGGAATTTCCTCCCTTTTGTCTGAAAGTCAATTCATCGCTTTCGTAGGCATAAGTCGTGACCACAACCGCAATAACCAACAAAAACACGAGTTTTACAAACATTTGTTTTGTTTTCAGTTTTTTTTGTAAAAATAAAAGAAATAAAATTCAATTTCGATAAAAACTATTTATACCTTAAAATCACATTTTTTCTAATTAGTTCACAATTAACAGTTCGTTGACCTCAAAAATGGGTTGAGTTTTAGTGAATCGATCGTCACTTCGAAGCAAACGATAACTGAATTGATTTAAATGTGTGAAAAAAGCTGAAAAATCCCATTAATTTCAAGTATAAAAAGTTATATCTTTTGGAAAACAAAAATTTTCAAAAGTTTTTCGAAAATGTTTTCATTATTTGCAATAATTTTGACCGCTTTATCGGTTCTGACAAATGGCCAATTGGTTGACCGCATGTATAGCATTGACCATATGCTGGATCAGTTCGAGGCAGAGGCGCAACGTTTGCCGGAACCGAATCACGACTTGTTTTTGAAAACAAATCAAAGTCTTGAAGATATTCTTCATGAATACGAAATCCAAGCAATGATTCTAAACAGTGGATCAAAACAAAGCAACGGATTAGACACTGTTCTCGGATCTATTGCTCAAAACGACGGACAGAGCGGCGGACGGACAGATGCAGCCGATGCGCGATATTTTGGGCCAATTATCGGATTTCTTGCGAAAAGCTTCCGTTTGTATAGAAAAAGAAATGTTGAATTCCATGACTAAAATCGCGAATGAATTTGAAATCATTTACGGAAACAATCACTTTCTGGTCAGATATTTAAGAGAATTCTTCGACGAAAACACTTCTCCGTTCTTAATGGCTCTTCAGGTCTCTTCAAGACTCGACAAAGTCTTTCAGATCTATAATCAATAAATTATAAAATTGTCTTAATTTCTGTTTTTATCATAAATTGTATTTTGAATTAAGTTTTAGTGAAATAAAAATTAATTAATATTTAACTAAATCTCAAGTTTTTTTTAATAATTTTGAATAAAAAGTTTAGAAATTTATATAAATATCTGAATTGAATGAGAAATGAATGTCAAAAATGAAATCAAGTTTTTGTTGTTTTCTTTGGTTTCAAATCTCAGATAAAAATCAAAAGAATAGAAAATCAAATCCAAAATCTGTTATTCCGTTTCTAATCTCATAATTTTTAATATAAAACCAAACAAAATGTGATTTAAAGTGAGAATTGTTGTCATGAAAACCGAATTTCTGAACCGAGAGTTGAAAAAACCCATTAATTTGGAAAAACATGTCTTTAATTACTCGTATATAAAGTGAAAAAACTATTTGAAAATCGAAAAACAAAGCAAAATGTCTTTCTTTTGGACTATTCTTGTGTTGACTTCTGTGACCGCCAGTGAAGACCTGTGGGACCGGCGATTGACTGTCGATCAGGTGCTCAACGAGTTTGAACTCGAAGTCCAACATTTGCCCGAATATGAAGAACAATCGCAATCAAAACACAACAAGAGTTTGGACTCTATTTTACACGAATACGAAATGGAAGTCATTTCAATCAATAGTCATCCCAACGAATGGCCAAAACAACAGATCCCTAGCGATCCTCTCGGCATTAGTTCTCTTCTCCAAAATCTCGGGAATCTCATCAGCGGTGGTCTGACTCAGGGTCAGGGCCAGGGAGGAGGCGGGGGAGGCGGCAATCAGTTGAATACGTTTTTGCAAACAATAGTAAAACCTCTGAAAGTGATTATCAAAACTTCAGCCAATTTTCTCCGCAAACTCTCGACTTGTCTTATGAAACAAATGCTTTACACTATGAGTAAGATTACGCCAAATCTGGAACGCATTTATGGCGCGAATCACTTCCTCGTGAAGTTTATGCAAGAGTTCTTCAATTTAGACACTTCTCCGTTCATTACAATGATTCAAGTCTCAGAAAGATTGGATAAAATCGATAACATTTACTCTAATAAACAATAAATTTAATTCCTTTTTGTAAATTTCTGACAATTAATTAAACTCTAATTTGATTTTCAATAATAAAAACAAATTTAATTTAAAAAAGGATTTTTTGACAATTAATTTAAATCAAAGTTAATGTAAAACAATTGTAAAAAAGCCTCAAAAACAGCAATTAATGAAACAATGATTTCGAGTCAATCATTAAAAACCATTTGTAATGAAATAAATTAATGACTTTTAACCTAATATAATATGATTACAACACTATTTAGAGGTAAACGAAACCAATTAAACACATTTTCATGAATTAAACCTAATTTAATGTGAATTAAGGTCACAAAGAAAGGCAATTAAAGGTTTTGTTTGACAAACAATTTCATTGAAATCTCTTTTTATTCAACAAAATAATGAATTTTATCAAAACTTGTTTTTATTTATTTGCTGTGCATTTGATTGCAGCAAAAGATGGACAAAACAAGAATTGGATTTCCGATATCTTAGACAATATCGACGATAATTATGACTACATTGCGTCCGACGACACCATTTTGATTGCCAACACAACAGATGATTGGATTACTGACGACATTATCATTGATGAAGATTTAGAAGACATTGCAAAACCGATTATCGAAATATTAGATCAGTTTAAGCCTCAAAAACCATCCAATTCTGTAACCAATAACTCGAGTCTTCTTTACGACAATAGCGACACTGTTTTGTCAAATAAAACTAGACATTCAACGCCTGAAAGTCTCAATTAAACGTAAATTCAATTTAAAACTTTGAATTAATGTTATTTAAACTGATTTTAAACTTTGTGTAGATTTCAGTGAATTTCAAATCAAATACAAAATTGTTTATAATTTGTTGACAAAACTCTCTCTCATTAATCAAAAATATAATAAAAACTATATTTTTATAAACATTTTAATAAAAACATTTGTTTCCAATGTTTGTTTCAAAGTTTGTCTTTTTTTTGTTGAGTTTTGGTTTTGTTTTCTGCAATCAGTCATTGAATGGCGTTTTGGAAAAGAAATCTTTTAATTCTTTGACTGATTTGAAGACAGAAGTTCTTCAGTTAAACAACTCTTCCAAACAATGGCCAAACAGACCGACCGATACTCATACGAATCCTTGGGCTGAAGCAGTGGCCCAGCAGTTGGCGCGCGGACTTAACTTAGTCTTAATGACTATTAATTATATGATTTCATTTCATTTGAAAAGTGACTGCARTTTCAGTGGAAATGTCGACTATTTTCCGATTAATCAACAAATTGTCGACAGATTTAACAAACAATTCAAAACTTTAGTCAATAGTAACGACTTTAAAGATACCATTAATTATGTAAAACAAATGTCAGATATTATTCATATTTATCTAAACATTGAATAATCAAAAAATGCAATAATTTTTCATTATTTTGAAATATTTATGAAAACTATATTTGAGTTTATTTAGAAATATTTTAAGAAAAAATTAAAAAATTTATAATAATTTATGTATTTTTATGTTTATTAAAATAAATGTAGTTTTTATGCAATAATTTTTAATAAAAAACTTTATATGAATTAAAACTATTATTTTGACTGACATTGAGTTGATTTTTATTTGAAACCATATTTTGACAATTCGTTGAACTCATTATTATTTCTCAACTGTTGTTAGAAATTGTTTTTAAATTTAAATTTTTTTAAAAAACCGAAAAAATGTTTCACAAAAACTGTATTTACTTTTTGTTAATAATTTTTATAGAAATGTCTAAATTTTTGTGTCAACAAAACAGWTCCGAAGATTGGCACCGAAGTATGGATCGATTAGACAACGATGTCATGGCTTTGATGACCAATAAAGACAATACATCGATGACTACATCCGATCTTCGCAATAGTAATGGATGTGTTTTTCTGGCAAAGACTATGAACACTGCTCTTCAGGTGCTTCTTAAGTCGTTTAATGGTTTGTCAAAGATTCTGAAGTTAAGAATCAGATTAAATGGTTTCATATCTTTGACTCCAAACCAATCAAAGTATGAATTTTTGAACAAATTTTTGGATACAATTCAAACATATTTTGACAAATCGTTTAATAGAATTAGTCGTAAAGCAAAACAATTAAATAATGTTTTGTCTCTATATTTGAATTCTTATATTAAAACTCATTATTAAATTAAAAATTTCAAAAATCTATAAATACTTTACAATTATTCTAATATTTTATTAAATTTTTGTRCAAAATATATAGTATTTTATAAAAACTAGATTTAAAAAAGACTTTTAATTACAATTAATTCGATAAATCATTTCATTTATAAATTACTTTTTATTCAGTTTTCAAACACTTTTATTTCATAAGAGTTTTCAGATATTCATCGATGTCTTCGTCAAAGAACTCAAGAACGGAAAAGTGTTTTTCATCACTCTTTCGATTCCATCGGAACCGTAACTGCCATTGAATTTGTCAAATACGGGCTCAGGTAGTCATTACTGGAAGAAATGCTTAACATTTTGGACACTTTTGACGAAATTATGAACAGAAAAGTCATAGATTTGTGTCATTTATCAAACATTTAGAGAAATATTATAAACATTTGGTCAAAGACTGGACTCAAACCCATTCAAAGGTCATAATTATTAGAACTAATGTTATAATTCAGTTATGAAGACAAGTGTCGGGTGGACAGAGTTGGTCAGTCTATCGACATCTTAACTATACTCTTACTTAACTAACTTTACTTTAATAAACAACAAAATCATTCATTTATTGTCAAAATTATGTTATTTAATGAAAAAACAATCGGAAAATAGTTTTTGATAATAAAAACAAAAACTAATTGTTTGCGATTCGAACACTAATTAATTAATAAAGTTTTATAAATTAGAGCTTAATCTTTACAATTTGCAAATGTTTGTCAAATTTGTATAATTTCTGCAAACAATTACTTTTAATGCTTTAAATTAATTATTTTAAATAAATAAATACTGTTATTAAAACATAGTTTTATTAGTCTAAATAGTTRTTTAATAAATTAAATTTTAGAGCAATAAATAGTTTATTGATTTATTTTTTTGATTAAATAATATTGTTTTGACTATAAATAAATGATTTGTTGCAAAAATGCATTAATCGAGCGTAAAGTAGGGGAAAGACTCTATAATTATATTATAATTTGTGTAAAGTTTAGACTCTATGATACATAAGGTTAGGAACGAGACTTTATTTTGTTTTACTAATCAAACAAAACACAAAATGTAGAAAACTTTTATTAGAAATATATTGCCATCTATTGAACAAAATATTAAAAGATTTTCTGATTATTGAAAACTTTGGAAAATGAATAGAAATGTTTGACATATTTATTCCGTATTTTATAAAACACACAAATCTCTAATAAAAGGGTTAATCACTATATAGTAAAACATTAGTACTGTATTTGATATCATATTAAGAGCTAATGTATAGCATATGTGGCACAGAATCTGAAACACTTGAATATTCTGGAAAAGTGGAAAACGTTTAGTATTTTGTGCCATAAATGTTGTCTAATGTCGACAATGATATCGACAATCCATTTACTAGTAATCTTAGAATTGGTCACAACTTGTCTTAATTCAGTGCACGGATGTCAGTGTCCCGTCTATGAGGAAACAGTATCCGACAGATGTCTTCCGGGTCTCAACTGTTATGACGAGAATCTGATTCGACGTTTCTGTCGCTCCGACTTCTGTATTGAAGTCCGAATTGAATCGGAAAAGGCGGTTACGGGTGCCGTCTATAAGAGCATCACTTACTCCAACTACACCTACCGGGCCGTACGGATGATCCGTTTTAGTCCGAAATCAATGCGCGCCTTAAAAATGCATACATTTTTCACTCCAACTGAGAGCTCGCGTTGTGGTGTAGATCTGAAACGTCGGCATTTGTATTACTTGTGCGGACAAGTAATTGAGTCCAACGCTGTGGTCACGTCGTGTGATTTCGTCAAACCCGCAGAGAATCTGACATTTACTGAACGATCATTCTTCCTGAGCGGATTCAGAAAGACTAACTGTCAAGAGTTTGTCAACCATTATGTCGTCGGCGACGGAAAACTACTCTTCACTGATGCCATTCATAAGGAAAGACATTTACATTCATTTTATACCAACAATAGTCTTAATATCAGTACAACTGTTCCTAAATTACTATACAATGACTCCTTTTATCAAATTTAATAAAATTAATATTTATTCTTAAAATTCTATTCAATTATTATTATATTTAAAACAATATTTTATACTAAAAACACAATTTTGTAATATTCTATAAATAAAGTCTAAATTTTTTTCACACAAAATACAAAGAGTTAAACAACGATTAGATGCTTTTAATTTCAAATATCTGGTCAACATTGACCACTTTTTAATACAACCTATTGTTAACCAGATAATTGAAATTAATAGCTGTTTAAAACTCTTTCTTGATTTACATTTTAAAGTCTTTTTAATAATAAGTTGTTTTCCAATAAATTCAATTAAATATATAAATAAATCTATTATTGAATTCGTTATAAAATAATAAATTTGTTAAAAAATTACTTTCGGAAATCAAATTAATTATAACTTAGTATTACTTATTCTACTATTTTATGTAATTTTAATRCATTTTTCTTAATATAGTTTTAAGACATTGCGTAAAATCCTTTTAGAAAATAAATATCTATAAAGATTGAAATACAATAATGAGTTTTAATCACATATAAAACATGAAATATGATAACCAAATGTCAAGTTTTCGTTTTTACCAAAATTAAAAAGTAGTTTATTTCGGTATAAATTAAATATAATATTATGAAGTAATTAAACATTTATTGGACATTAAGACTCATTTTCTTAATATTCATTTAAATCTGTTAATAAATACTTGAATAAATAAATTAAATGATTGCAAATATTATGAGTGAATAATACATATTTTTTACTGTATTTATGTTTTTATCTTTAATAATATCATGAAATATGAGATTTAGTTTACATTAAAAGACAGTTATTAAGTAATTGCTTTTGAAAATAAGTTGCTATAAAACAAAACAAATAATTTTGTTCATCGACTCAACAGATTTTCAAACACACGATCACTAAATAAAAGTTTTTAATATTTGTTCAAAATTAAGATTTAAATAATAGAAATACAATGTTATTAATAATATCACTACTAATAACAAATTATTGTGTTTACGGCAGTAATGTTGACCTCAAGAGAAATATTCCTTCAAATTMTTTGTTAACCAAAGATATTAATAATCAAAGGAAAAATGTCATTTCAAATCATAACAATTATATTATTTCAAAACCTAAAAATCAATTAACAGGTTTGTTGTTTATTACATCTTTTTATTAACAATTTAATGTTTCTTTATTTTAGATTTTTGTATTGAACTTTTGAACGGAGTTCCCAAAGATTTTAGCGGTTATTATCAGAAAAGACAAATTATGAAAAACAGTTTTGTCAATCGTTACCAGAATAAGGCCATAAACAAGGTTAAATTAATGACATTTAATCAATAATTATGTAAATTTGGTTTCAATTGCTTATAAAATAAATTTTCAGATCATTTATAATAATAACGTTTTTTTGAGATTATTAAATGAAAATAATGACAAAAATATAAATAAATATCAGAATATCGGCTTAAATGATGTCATCGGACGGGTATTTAAGAAAAGATGGACACAAAGACATAAACGGATGACTGATTTGTTTAGACTTTGGTTTGAAAAGCCGTACGCTTTGTATATTCCGGACAAAAAACAAATGTGTAGACAAATCCTCTATGAATTTGATTAATCATTCAATTAATAAATCTATTTTCAGATTAAATACATTTCATATTAATTATATAATAAAAAAATTAAATAATAAAATAATAGTTTATTTATTATAATTTATAATCTATTGATTCAAACATAATATAATAATAATATGTTTTGTCAGAAATTAATTTGTAATTCAAATCCAAATGATTTTTAATTCAATAAACTTTTATTTAATCCGAAATCTGTCTCATATTCTGAGTGGTCGACGACAGGGATTCCTCCTTTGATGTCATTTCAAGTTTTCTGTTTTTTGCAAATTTAAAAATCATAAATATTTTATAATTATGTTTTTTTAAAATAATTTATTGATATAAAAATACTTTAGTCTGAGATTATTTGTAATATTTATGAAACCAAACAACATAAGCACTTATTCTCACATTTAGACAATAAAAACGTTAAATAATTTATTAATAATTATTTCTATAAAAATTAGTACAATTAAACTCTAAAATGACTGTTTGATTATTTTTATCAAAATATATATTTACTAACAATATATAAATACAATTTTTATTATTGTATTTTATGTTAATCAGAGTTATTAATTGTTTTGATTAATTAATTGTTATATAAACTTATTAAACAGTTTATTTAAATTATTTTCTTTAACTATAATTAATAAATATATCGTAATTAATATATGAAATAATAATTGTTTTATTAAACAAAAGTTTAACAAAATTGATATATTTTTTCAGTATTATTTGTCAATAGTATTGATTTAATAACATATTTTACAATTAATTAAATGTTTAAATAGTTTTATTGACAAATAATTAATGATTTGACACCAAATGCATTGTATAAACACATTATTTTAAAACAAATTATCAAATTAACTGATATTAATATATTTGAAACTCACAAATAAAATCTTTAAAAATATAACTAATGTTAACTACAGTATTGTTGTTGTTGTGGTCATTGGGTGTGTCGGCAGTTTGTGGATCAGCCTTTCCTCTCAATTATAACATTCATTTGTTTTATTATCCGTGGTTTGGATCCAAAGATATATCAAGACATTGGTATCACTGGAATCAAAGACAACACAATTCACCACAAGATATCGCATCTGACTTTTATCCGGTTTTAGGACCGTACGACTCGTGCGATTCGCAAGTTTTGGCACAACATATGCAATGGATAGCATCGGCATATGTGGGCACTATTGTGATGAGTTGGTGCGGACAACAAGACATTAGCAACAAATGTATACCAAATATCATGAACGCCGCGCATAAACACCAAATCAAAGTGGCCTTTCATGTCCAACCTTACGGCGGCCGAACCGCCGAATCGGTAGTTCGCGACATCGCTTATATATCGGACACATACGGCACACATGCGGCCTATTTCAGGGATGAGTCTCGTGACAATAGAGATGCCTTTTACATCTTTGACAGTCTTATTATCAAAGACTGGAAACCAATTGAATCTCTGAAGAAAAATCACATAATTTTGGGCAACAATTATGAAGAAATTCAAATAAATAAAACACATTTATTGAAACAGTTTTCTGGTTTTTATCCCTACGGTATCGGAGCTGATCCAAGTGTTGTCCACAAATGGAAGGCTTTTAATGACTTTTGTAAAATTGAAGGTTGTATTTGGTGTCCAAGTGTTGGACCCGGTTTTAGTGAYAAAAGAGCCAAAAACCACAGTAAAGCTCTTCAATGGCATCGAAATAACGGACAGTTATATGATGACAGTTGGAATCACTTGTTTGCTTCCGGTATACCTCATTGGGTGTCAATAACTTCGTTCAATCAATGGAACGACGGATCTATGATTGAACCGTCTTTAGAGAGACCACCCATTCATCGAGTCTATCAAACATATTCGGGTGCTTTCAATACCACTGGAAAAGCGTCGGAAACGGCATATTTAGAGCGTACGGCTCATTGGGTCGTAGAGTTCACCAAAAGAAGTAATGCCAAAACCAAACAACTGTCCATTTATTCAAATGAGTTATAATAATTTGGGCCAAAWATTAGTTACTATTTATATGTTTTACGACATGTTTGTCAATAAATTCAATCAACAGTTTATATAATGTTTAAATTAAATTAATTATAAAATTTTCTATTATATTATTATTTAAAATTGATTAATAATTATAATCATTGGCATTGAATCCATCTGTTGAACCCTAAGCCACGCATTTTATTATTATGTTTGAAAAACACATGTTATATCAAATTGTCTATTGAATTGAATTGTGTATTGTTAAATAGTTCATTAAATTCATATTTATTTTTTTATTTTTTAATTTTTCAATATTTTTTTGTCTAAATATGTCTCAGTTTTGGTATTATTTATTGCAATAAAATAAAATATATATTCCTTTCTAATAAAGGAGAAAAAATATAATATTTCCCAAAAAATTGGATGAAATTTATTTGCGAACTTTCATCTCTTGATAAGTGCCCGAACTTTACAAACTTCCCAAATATTAATTAATATAAAATAACTTTATGTAATTTAAATATTTATAAAAAATACTAAAAATTAAATTTTGTTAATACATTGCAATTTAGAATTAATACGATTAATCATATTATGAATATATAAATATTGGATTAGATGTAATACAAAATRATTTTTGATTACTGTTTATGTTGTCATAAATTGAATAAAAAAACAAAATTATCTAAATTTGAAAGTCAAATCAATAAAACATTTAATATAACAATAAATAACTAAATCTAAAATAGTTATAGTCGAGGTCAAATATKAAATGTTTTGTTAATTTAATTTTTACCATTTTATTATTATTAATTTTATTTAAATTACTAACAAGCACATTTAGAAATCTATTAGATTCTCATATTATTATTTAAAATGTATTTTATTTATTTTTATTATAGTTTATAAATTATTAAATATATAAAATATTATAAAGTATAGAATGCTTATCAGTACTTGATTTTTACTTGATTTTTGTTTATCTTATTTAGTGCTAAATTAATGTTTAAATAGACAGATAATCAAATCGTTTTTGTATACATTTCCTGATCAACAAAACATATTACATAAATGCTTAAATAAAATAGTGTTTAATTACAAATACTGTAATATTTATAATTTAATACTAAGTTATAAATTAACTTTTCATTAATTTGTGTTAATAAATACAGTATAATCACAAACAAACAGTTCAAAGAAATGTTAAATATTATTAACTGACAAATAAAGATTATGTAATTGAAAATACCTATTAATGAAATCAATCAAAAGTAATTGATATCTTAGTGATATAAAACATATCATTTATGTTATAAACTCAAAAAATAAATTTTCATGTTTTATGCTATAATTAAGTATATTTTAATAATTTTATAATATCTTTAATGTATTTATTCATGTTTTTTGTTAATAATCTTTCTGTTATTAATTTTTAATAATTTTAATAAACATTGAATATTCTAAAAATAATTTATTTTAAAATCATTAATAATGTGTTTCATCTTAATTATATTTAATTACAATAAAAACATAATAACTGGAACTGAAATGATATAAACTTATAAATTATAATACATTTATCGAAATGTATGTAAATATAAATTGATTTTAATTTTTATAATTTTTTTGATTTTAATATATTATTTTCATTAGAGTCTATAAATTTTAATTACAATGACATATAAAGGAAGACCTTTGTCTCAACCTAACCTTTCCAGTGAATATACATGTGGTTTGGGATCGTGGCGTCCAAAATGGTTGCAAATATTTGGGACAACCAAATTTTTTATGTTTATATTTGGTGGGATAGGCATAATTCAAGGTGCTGCTTTCACTTATATGATCGCTAGTATAACAACCCTTGAAAAACGTTATGCGTTTGGCAGTAAAATGTCAGGTCTTATACTGATTGCCGATAATGTGACAGAACTAACGCTAAGTCCATTACTGGGATATATTGCCAATCGTTGTCATAGACCACGAATGATAGGGTATTGTCAGATAATTGTGGCAATCGGTAGCTTTTTGGCAGCCGTGCCTTATTTCGTGTATGGACCAGGAGTTCATTTATTAGGCTCAAGTAGTCAACAGTTTTCAAAAACTAACAAAACTATTGAGTTTTGTGATCAAAACCGATATTCAGATAGTAATGAATGTGACAAATCTGATGATTACGACACATCAATACCTGTGGTAATTATCCTATGGATCGCCAGTTTCTTCAATGGCGTCGGTTTTGTGGCATTTTATACGATTGGTGTGCCGTTTATTGACGATAACGTCAAGAAGAAAAACTCTCCACTTTATCTCAGTTCAGATCATTGTTTAAATGGATTTAAACTTTATATTTATATTTTTGAAATTATAAACTTTAGGTCTAACGAGTGCTCTACGACTTTGCGGACCAACTCTTGGTTTTATTTTGTCGTCATATTGTCTAACATTTTATGAAAACCCATTCAGTATTTGAATTATAATTATTATATTTTGTGTTGATTTTTAATAAATATTAATGACTTGTGATCTGTAGTCGATCCGGGTATAGATATGAAAGACCCTCGTTGGGTGGGTGCCTGGTGGATTGGTTTTATTGTAATTGGTGTCGGTATTACCATTTTTACAATACCAATGTTTTTCTTTCCCCAAAACTTTATATACAAAATACCAACAAAAGAGAAAAACATTGATAAACCTCTTATTAGAAATGGTTTCGTAAAAAGTCAACAAAAATCGGGTAAATCTTTGATGAATKAATTAAATAACTAAACTATAGTTTATTGTTAACAGTTTTGTGGATACGAACCAAACGTTTAGTAACAAATCCAATACTCATATGCTATACATTGGGAACTGCTGCCCGACTTTTTGCAGTTTTGGGATATTTTACTTTTAAAGCCAAATACATTGAATCTCAATACAAGACATCGGCCTCCACTGCCAACTTGTTTTCCGGTATTAATTATAACTAAAAACAATTAATTGATGTAAAAATGTAATCAATATTTAAAATAAAGGTATCGTCGGTGTAGTCCCGTCGGCTATCGGTATATTTTTGGGCGGACTTTATATAAGTAAATGTCTTCCCGGACCAAAAATGTTGACGACATTTGTAACTGTTGTTGAACTGATTGGTGTGACCGGTATGCTTTCGGCACTATTTCTCGGATGTCCTGAATCACAATTTGCTGGCACTCAGACAAAATCAAAGTATGTTTATTATGAATGTCATCGAAATTGATGCAAATGTATCTTCAATTTAGTTTAGAGTTGCAGTCCATGTGTAATGACAATTGTTTTTGTTCAACAAAAGTATTGCAACCGATATGCAGTCCCGACAATCAAACCAATTACTTTTCTCCGTGTTTTGCCGGTTGTCGGCCACAATCCATGTCAAACCAAACTAAAGTAAATTTAAATCAAAAGTTTAATTATAATAATTAATTATATTATTATTAGGAATACTCTGATTGTGATTGTTTTGAAGGGATGGCCACTGATGGTTACTGTCCTAAYGATTGCGGCAATAATTTTCATATCTATATATTACTACTGGGAATAAGTAATATTCTGGGAAATTTGGCAAAAACAGGAAACAAAATTATATCATTTCGGTCTAAACTAAATTATTTTTTACAAATTTGATTAATACTAATAATAATTAATTACTACTATTTCTCAACAGTATTGTTGACGAAGAGGACAAAAGTTTTGCAATTGGAGTCATTTCTTCGTTTCTTTGCTTAACTGGTATTAAATTATTTTTTGTGATTTTCAAWTAATACTAATTAATTTGTATACAATTAGCATTTATACCCTATCCATTGGTTTATGGGGCGGTTACTGACTCGACATGTTTGATATGGGAGTCCAATTGCGGTCATCGGGGAAACTGTTGGGTTTACGACACCAAAAAGTTTAGGCAATATCTTCACGGACTGACTCTCGGTCTCTATTTTGTTGGCAGTGTTTTTGATGTCATTGTTGTATTCCTATCTCACAAAATTACTAACTTATATAATGATGAGATAACTGTGCCAATAGAGGACAGACCTATGAATATKAAATTGAGTTCTAGTTTAGACAAACAATTATCTGAATTATCAGAACTTTAATTTCAAATATAATAGTAATTTACTTTTGATTTAAAAATTTATATAACAAGAGATTATAATGAATAACATTTATTAGAAATAAAATTAAAGAAAATGTTAAGTTATATATAAATATAGCATAAAAATTAAGTAATCACCAAAATGTAATCTGATATTTTGCATTTTAAATAAATGTGACACATTTTCAATCTAACAATATTATTTACTATATTATGAACATTTAGCTATTTTTACATTTTAACAATTTTCTCTATTATTAACTCATTTAGTATTTAAAATAAATATTATTAAAGTAACAATTATTAAGTTTTAAAAACYAAAAATTACAATCATTTTATTATCTCTTAAAACAATTTATTTGCAAACTTTTTTGAATAAAATATAAAAATAAATGCAATTAAATTGTAAACTCTGGAAGTAGTTTACCTCATGAGTGATTCATTTGTAGTCTTGAGTCTCATCGGTGATGATATGATTGTCAACTCAAACCACAAGAAAAATACCCCCAAAGCTATTCGGAGCGCACGCTCTCACTCCTAACTCCGGCACCGCATACCAGTGCTCACCAAACACAGGGAACTTGTGATTCAACTTTTTATGACTCCCTTTAAGAGAAAAAGTCCATAGTTTTAGAATTTAATAAAATGTTTGTCTTTAATGACTTTATGTTTACATCACTAGAGTCTGAAAACCATATATGAAGTAAATTTAAATACATTTTCATTAAAAAGTGAGTGAACTGTCTAACTGTGCTGTTATACACATTTGCAGATGTGTTGTTGTATTCATTTAATGAATAAATAATTAATTATGCATTGTTTGAATTGTGATTTGCATAACATATAGTATTTAACGTATATTTTATTTGAAGAAAACAATTAAAGATATTTTGTATTTTAAAATTTATTGTATATTTTTATTTAAGTTGTTATTTACTTATTTTTAATATTAATAATATGATTAAATGTTTTTTTATATAAAAACTCATCAAAAAGTAATACTTAATTCAATACATAATATACTGTAAGTTATTATAATTTTGTTATCATATATTAATATAACTAAATTAAATATATTTTTTTWATTAATATTAGGATATATTTAATAAAAAACATTATTTGTATTATTGTTATTAAAAGTTTATTTTAAAGTGTTTACAATTTATTAATACTATACTGAATATAATAAATATTTCTAAATAAACTTAATACTGACTAATAAAGCAAAATATTTTTATGAATGTTTATCCTCACTTAAATCATTTAAATTTTTTTAATGGTCTCTAATATATGATATTAGCAATAAAATAGTTGATTATAGATAAAAAAATATTGAGAGGAAAAGATTATTAGATATGGAAAGAGAGATAATGAAGAGCAGCACATGGCGTATAAGTCTACCTTTAAATGACTTTAATAATAGTATTTTTAATGTAAATATTTTTCCAAATGATATTTCAATAACAGTCAAGTAGTTATTATTAATTTAAATTAGAAAATAATTAATAGTTTACTTTATGTTTATTTATTATTTTTAAAATAATTCAATTATAGTAAAAATAATTCGACAAATTGTAAAACACATCAATATTGAGTACATTGTTTCCCTGGAAAATATTTTCTCACAGTTAGCCAACAAATCTAAAATCTTTATTTAAAATTACATTTCCTGTGTTGAACCGAAACTCTAATGAATTTAACATTTTCTACAATTTATATTAAAAAGTTTGTTATTGAGTTTTATGTTATGACAATTAATAGCAAACTTAGTGTCCGAACATATATATAGTACAGTATTATGTAATGATAAGTGAATAATATTATTCATGAAATTAATAATAGATATGTTGTATTACAATGTTTTACATTAGAAATACTAATTTTAATATCACTTACAATTTATGTGATTAAAGCTTATTATATGACAATACATTAAATAAAGTATTAAAAATATTTAAACAATAGTTTTACAACTAAAAGTTGTGGCAACACTTCATGTACTCCTAATGGCTATGAATAATGTGACAAATAATCGTATACTTAAATTCATTAGTTTTTTAATACATATCTTTGATGATAAAAATTTTGTGAAAATATCAAAAATATTGTGCAAAAGTATTGAGAATGTAATGTAAAAACTATATAATTTATAGAAATAATCCGTGCATTGAATTTGAGATGTATTTAATTGTTATTATAATTTTAATTAATCTCAATGGACAGGTATATGTGTGTCCAAATCATTATTTTGATGTACGTGTTGTAGATGTGTGTGTAGTATATGAACAATGGTTTAGTCATTGACTTGATGTTTGTGTCACTAATATATGATTAACTGAATTCAAATCAATCAAATGTTTTTCTAAATCAACATTATATACAACACATCTTTTATGGATATTTTATTTTTTATAAATAATATTAAATAAATTTAATTTAAAAACTCAAACAATTATTTACTGTATTTTAAAGATGAAATGATAAATGACTAAAATTATCAATAATTACTTTAAAATTTTAATAAATAGTAAATAATAAAATGTAAATTAGAGAATATCAGATTACAAATTTTGATAATAATGYCTAAAAATATTTAATATTTATTTGTTGTTGTTGAATAATTAAATTGTACAAGGACAAAAATATATCTAGTATAGGATTGTACCATAATGTTTAATCATATGCTAATTAATGAAAGATATAATTTAAGATAAAATAGTAATAAAATTAGTTTTATGTTTTAATTTGGAATTTGTTGATTAGGTGTACATATGATGTTAATTAATTAATTAAGTTATAACATATCGAAAACATATCTAAAACATATATAATTTACTTATCTTTTCTGTAAATCTATTRTTAACCTAAATTAAAATTTTAGTTTTAACTCTATAACTAAATTAATAATTTATGAATTATTTTTATATTTTTAATGATTAGAATAATTTTAGTCAATTTATTTTGCATATCTGTTAATTTTAATAATAATAATAAACTTTTTTTAGTTATAATTTGTAAACATTTTTAATTAAATAGCAATTAATCAAGATTAACTAATAAATTAAAAGTTTTAAAATATTTATTTACTTAACAATTAAAAAAGTATAAAATTAATCGTATAATAACTTAATTAGSATTAGTGATAATGCATTACAAAATTTGTAATAAAAATAGATTTAAGGTGTTCCTATAGCTCCAGGAATACCAGCAACTCCCGACACACCACCGACACCTCCCAGTCCTCCATAACAACCTGGTGCTCCATTGCCACCATTCCCTCCACGGCCTCCACTACCCCCAAGTCCACCCCGTCCTCCCGGTGCTCCACCCGAACCTCCTGCTCCACCATTTCCACCTCTACCTCCGTCACCTCCTCGGCCTCCCTGTCCTCCTGGACAACCATACCCTCCTGTTCCTCCAGACATTCCAGGTGAACCTGCCTGTCCATCTTGTCCTGCTTGTCCAGGTCCTCCTGGTGCTCCAGGTGCGCCATCTTGTCCTGGAGCTCCAGCAGTTCCCGGAGTTCCCGCTCCTATACCATTTAGCGCTATTCCATTTTTATAAGATTTACCAAGATCACCTGTTGGACCATTTTCAGCGCCATTTGCTTGTAATATAGAAAATAATAAAACTGTAATTAAACTAATATTTTTTAACATTTTTTATAATTTCTAATTTTTAAACTTTAAATTTTATTATTAAATAACAAAATACAAAAATACATTAAATATTGAAATCATGATTATTTGTAATTTTAACTAAATATTGTAAAAACACATTAAATAGCGAAATAATGTAAATTTCATAACTATTTAGTAATAATAATAATTAAATGTGATTTTCATTGTTTCTAAAGTTTCTTAAATTTGAATTATTTATTTATCTATTAATAGAAATACAGTTTCAAGAGTTTTATTCATTTATTTCATAACTATTTAGTAATAATAATAATTTTCTTAAAAATAATTCAACTTTTTATTAATAATTACTCAAAACTAATGTTTTTTCATATCTTTTATATTTTAAAACTTATCGATATTTATGACAAAATTAAAAATTATTAAAACCAAAACTGTCTTTAAATCTATTCAAATAATTTTTAACTTTAAATAATTTTTAAAATAAAGTAACAATTTGTTAGACATTTGTTTGATATTTTTAAAAATCACATTTTGCTTTATAATTACAATTTTTTGTTTAATAGTTATTATAATTCATTTTTCGGTAATTGTGCTCCGGGTGCTCCATCCATACCAGATGTACCACTCATCCCTCCATTACCACCCGGTCCCATAAAACATCCAGGTGCTCCTGGTCCACCTGGACCTCCAGTACCTCCAATGCCACCTTGTCCACCACGTCCGCCATAAGCTCCCAGACCCCCTGCACCACCATCACCGCCATTCCCTCCTTTTCCTCCCATACCACCCGCTCCACCAGGACATCCATACCCTCCTGGAGCTCCCGGTCCTCCTGGACTACCATTTTGACCATTTTGTCCATTTTGTCCAGGTCCTCCAGGGTGTCCCGGAAGACCATTAATTCCCGATAAACCTTGTAGTCCAGGAACTCCCGGCTCTGTATTTGAATCTTTATTTGTTTGAATATTTGTATTTTGAGCCAATGTTTTTCCAATAATTAAACTAAATATGTTTAAAATAAAAACTAATTTTGTTACTAATAAAGCCATTAAAATTTATATTTAAAAATAAAAAAATAAATAATATTTCTCAGTATAACGTATTAATTAATTTAGTTATATTACATGGAAAATAATATTCCATTTAATTAAAAATTTTATTTTTTGCTTATTCATTAAAACATTTTTAAAAATATCTAATTATTATTAATGTAGAAATAAATGCTAATATTATTAATTAGTCTGGAAATGAAAACTGAATTAGAAATAAAGTGAATAAATAAAAATTGTAAATATCATGATATTATAAATTAGTTAATTCAATATTTAAAAATTAAATTACTTTCAAATTCAAATGTAATATAATTAATACATAAAATTTGTTAAGTTTTAGTTTATATTATTATTTGTTTTCTTTTGTTTTTGTTTTATATTAAATAAAATTAAAAATTTTAAGGTTTCTATATTACATAACCTCCCGAAATCCTAGGACTAAATTTTACGATATTATCTGTTTATATTTAAAATATAATAATATCAGTGTTCATAAAAACAAGTAATATTACAATTATTTTGTCATTACTACTAACAAATTGCTTTTCTATATGATAGTTGAATATAAATTAATTTCATTAAAATTAAATTTTTTATTTATTTGCTTATTATAGCATAAATATTATACGAGTTTACGAACCATAAGAAGTTAAGCTAATAAATTGAAATGTTTTAAATTACAAGTTTACAATCTATGAATAAAAAATAAAAATATAACAAATTTAATTAAAATATTTATCAAATAAACAATTAGTAAAAAATTCATAAAAATGTAGACATAATTTGTAAATTGGATTACATTTTATAATTAGGATATTTGCAAAAGACGTATTTTAATTTATTATTTATATAATTACCGCTTATTATTATATTAATATTTTTAATTCATGATGACAAACATACAATATAATACTTATTAATTAATTAATTAAATATCCTTTTTAATATAATTATTGTTTTATGATTTTTTGAAACAAAATTTCAAAATATAAATTACATTTAAAAGTTAAATATTATACAAATAGTTATTTTAAGCGAAACTCTTAGTGAATGTTAACATAGAAACTATTTTTCTGACAAATATAGCGATCGATGTTAACAATTCATGCATTGATAACAAATGTATGGCTTAGGTATGTCTGGAATGGCTATTGAATTGCAATTCAATTTTGATGTCAATCATTGAATCGAAAGATCTTCATTGTTGTCTTCTATAGCCAAATATGATAATAGATATCTAAAGCTATTTTTATAACTAACTTCAATATATTGCATCCCATTTGTGTTCCCATTTAGTTGAGATACCCCTCAATCTATTATATTGTATAACTCTTTCAATGTTTGCTCTCAATTCATAGTACTGTATAATATTTATATTTAATTCTAAAATATTAATTGTTTTAATATTGTGTTTACTATTTACTTGAAAATATAGAAAACTTGAAAATTATATTATTATTTATGTTTCGTTAARCATATTATAGTAACACAACTTTAATTTTATTTAACTATGTAATTAAATTTTATCTGATTTATATACAATAATTTTATTTTATTTCCATCTAATTGAATGTTATCTTTAATTTAAATCATTAAATAGATAAATTTTTATCCTATATTTTGAGTAATACAATTTGTTATAATTTTATTTCTAAATTATTTATATTTTTATTCGAAATCTATTTGAAAAATTAAGTAATAATTTGGTTAATGTATTTTTAAAACACATATAATATACAATTTCACTGTCTATATTGTAAATTAAATTAAAATCTTATTGTTTATAAAATAAATTTTTTATAAATGTGTATATAATGTCTAATATACAGTTGTATACATTATTAAAGATAATTCAAGTAAACCTAGCAAAGTTCAAGTTATTTATTAACGCATTTATATAAAAGTTATCATTTTTATTTATAATATAAAAATAAATATAATTATAACATAGTCTATAAAAGTAAAACAATACATTTAAATCTGGTTTTACATGAAGTTGATTAAAATATTTATGTAAATATTGTAAAATAGTTTAATATTTTAAAATTTTGATTAAAAAAATATTTTAGCGTTAAAAACAAAACCCAAAAAGAAATCAATACTATTTTATCTATAAAAAAAACTATAAAACATAGCTTTTAAGTTGTATAATATAACTTGTATGTAAAGCATAACGATTAAAAATAGCATCCATTAAACGTTTTTCACTAAATTAAAGGACATAAGGAAATACAGTTATTTTAAAATAACGACAATAATAAGGTATTCAAAAAATTGTAAAATTGAAAATATTGAAAAATGATAAATCTATTGCATTGATWGCAAAAATTTTTGAGACATTTTAACATTAGTATTGCGTTTACACAAACAAAACTTAAAGACTATTTAATAGTATAAAAAATAACAAAAGCTTAGATTGATTTCTCAATGTTATTATAGGTTTGTTTGACAGGTTTTTATGTTTTAAATATAATAATCAATAAATTCAATTGTAGATACGGTAGTATATTTAACAAATTACTAATTTAGTTGATATAGTATCTTATATAATGTTAGTATATTTTTTAATAACTAAATTTTTGATGAAATTCAAATTATATTTCATATATTAGCATAAAAATTCCTAATAGTATACTAAATATCATTAATAAAGTGAATACAACTAATATTTGTTGTAAACAAACATTTTTATATAATTTGAATGTCACTGTTATATCGCATCAATCTTTAGTGAAACTAATTTTTCATTTCCGATCACTTATTACTGTTATCATTGATAGCCTATCGATAACAAAACCAACAGTCCTTTGCCTTAACTAATACTAGAATTACTTCGTCAGCAAAATCCTCTAAACATTTCTATAAATACATATTATTTTGTAAATATAATTCAGATATAACATAGTGTAGACATAAAAACTAATTATATGAATAACTATGGAAAACATTATTTTTTAAGTCAAACTTTTGGTTAATAATAAATGTTTAAATAAAATTTGATTCTTCATAATAATAATACACTTTATATATAAGTATTAATATTTGTAACAATATTTTGTATTAATTATTAGCCCCAAACCACAACTTCCTTTTCTTACAAGTTATTGATTGACTCAACATTTCTAATCCTTGTCCACAATCTCTCTCTCTCTCTCTCTCTCTCTCTCTCTTTACTATTCCTATCCCTATATCATAGTCACCCAAATGATTACTAAATTTAAAAACAAGTCTCCCATTGGTATTAAACATTTGTGTTAATCCTATAAAGACTTGTCTGGCAATAGAGTTATCCCTTTCCTCCCTTTCCTTATTATTATTGTGTATTTTGTATGTTTTGTGCTCTTCATTGTTGTCCTTTTAATACTGTCAGTCCATACACTGTGTTGTAGTGAATGTYACTGTTTTCAGTGCATTAATGATAGCGTTGTGAAATTGAAATGAGAGATAAGTTTTACTTTACTTTTTGTTTTGTTTTTCATATGAAAAGATTATATTTTAAGCCTAAACTTTATAAGCTTATACAGTATATGTTTAATATCAGACCTATACTACTGTACAACAAAAATAAGTGAGTGATCCATATATACGGCTTATTCAGTGAAAAAAACGCATCAGTTTGAGTACTCCATTCATTTTAGTTATCATTACCGTTATTATGATGATTGTTATGATACTTATCATCAATTAAGAGATTAACAAATACAGTATTATTGTGTCTTATATTAATGCCGTCAATCAAATATAATGACAACCCTTTTATCCGTATTAAACAATTTTACCGTTTGTTTTGATTTCTCGATTGCTCTCTATTTTCACATTAATATAATACATAATATACTGTAATACATATACACTGTAATCTCTTTAATTAATTTATTACATCAATGTTTGTGTCAATATTTAAAATAACACAAAATGTTAATAATGTAATCCAATACAGTATATTAAGTACAGAAAAATACTGTAGAAGTTTTATTGGCACTAAATAATAATCATATTGTATATTGATAATTGATATTATTATAATTTTTAATATAAATATTATATCTGTATAAAGTGATAAAATTATCATAATAAACTAACATAATATGTTAGTATTCAATTTAATAGATTATTAATAATTAATTATAAAAAAGGGTAAGTTATTATAAATTACTTTAATTTATGTATATAAATAAGCTTAATTATAAGATACAATATTAGTTTCTTTAATATTATTATATAATTTATTTGAAATTAAGTTAATTGCATTTCATAATTTAGATATATATATATATCATATTATTAAAGAAGTCATTTAATAAAAACATTAATGAATATTAAATAATGAAAGAAAATATTAAATATATAATTATTTACTATAACCTATAAGTAATTAAATATAATTATACTTTTGGTTATAAATATCAATTAACAAATAAATTGAGTAAATTTATTAAATTTTATTAAATTTCATTATTTAATACTTGTATTATAATATTATAGTATAAAAGTAATAATAAATGATTTAATAATTTTATATACTTTATTCAAATATTAAAATATATTTATTAAAATTTAACAATTTATTTAATATAACAAAATAAGCAAAAAATTCAATTTAAGATTTCAATTACAAATGCAATGTCCACAACAAAAGGACAGACCGTTTATTTTATCAAAGTTTGCTTTGGGATATATTTTTATCAAAAATATAGAGTAAAATACAATATTTTTGTACAAAAGAAATGAAGTAAATAATAGAGTTGTAAATCAAATCAAAGATCATGTATTTGATAGCAATTTTTGTTAACAACTCTTATGTTAGGTTTTTTCGCAAACATTTCTTGTATTAAATAATAATTGAGTGAACACTTCATGACAATTGCGCTGACCTTTTGGCAAAAATGTTTTAATTTATGTTTAAAATAAATAAGATTTACATAAAATCAAAATATATAAAGTAAATTAAATATACCAAAATGTAATCATCAAAAATAACATATAAGTTAGTAATATTATATATTTGTACAAAATTATTTTAGATTTGTAAATTTTAATCCATTTAATTGCTATTACAAATCTGTACTTAAATCTTATCTTAAAATAATAAATGACAAAATTGACAAAAATCGTGATGTAAGCCCTTATAATTTTTAATAAATCTTTTTAATATTTATAAAAATTATTAATACTGAGTCTGTAATACATTGTGTCCTTGTTATGTGGTTTGATCTGACATTATCAGGTAAATTATAAATAATAATTATAWTTTGTAGTTGTTTTTTGTTTCTGATATAATTGTTTTACTGAAAAACTTAATTTGAATTACATTACAAAACAATTAAATGTAAAAATGGTTGTAAAAAATAATATACGGATAAAAAATAGTTTTAAGTTTATAATTGATTATAAAAATAACAAACTATTATATTGGATATAATCGATAGTATTTATCTATTAAACTAAGTGTGGGAAACTAACAAAATTGAATCAATTGAATATTTTTGATAAATATTTCCTTACAATGTTTAATAAAATATTATGAATTTTTTCATTTAATTAACTCTTTAAATTATTTTTAAAATTAATTGGAAACTTTCGTATTTTTCAGTACTTGTATTAATTAATTTTCGTTGATATTAATATTTTTCTCAGTTTCTAACATATAAATAATATTTAATATAAAATCAGTATAATTTAATACTGACTAATTATTATATTAAATCAATGCATTATTAACGTTAAAAATATTATCAAAATATTTAGTATCTAAATCTAAATTTTAGATACTTTTAATTTATTCACTGTTAGTCAATAAAAATTAAGTATATTAATAGCATGAACTTAATTATTTCATTTAAAATTTTACACTATATATAGGGTATTGCAGATGAAACGACATATTTTTAAAGGTGTACTTTTTAAAAGACTGATTATGGATAGTAATGTAACATTTGTTTTATTTTTTTATATAARGTAGACATATTAAATAAACATATGAAATATTAACTTGTAACTGTAATTAACTAAATTTTAGATTGTTTTAATTGATATTAATTTACTAATATCAGCATTTTTACGTTTTTTTGTAAATTTATGTTTGAAATAATGGATGATTTACAAATCATTTATTTGTAAAATAGACAGTCAACCAACATATGTAATAATAATTAGATTTTAGATTTATATTTAACTTTCTCTAATTAATATTGATTTTCAAAAATTTATTATATATAATGCAATTTATAAATTTCTATGTAAAATACGTCGTTTCATCTGCAATGACTTATATAATATTTATATAATATTATTGCTAATAAATAATTTATCAAAAATGAACTTTTAACTATTTGAAAAAAAACTTTTAGAGATATATCTAATTATTATTTCTAAACTTTTAATATTATTTATAAATTGAATTAAATTTCTAAACACACAGTTTCTATAATTTAAAGTAAGTTTACAAAAACAATATAWTTTTTTTGAATTTTTTACCCATTTTTAAGAGATAATATTGTATAACATGGAATGTGTGTAATATCTTATTTTAACTTTTGATATTCACAATTTACAAAAAAAATTTAGACAAATAGATTTCATATAATACACATGCAATAAAATAAATAAAAATTGTGAGATTTTATAACATATTAGCAATTTTATAAAACTGATAATTTATATCAAACAAGACTATATGATATGTTATTAACATTTCATACGATTAAATTAAAATCTATTTATTCTTTACCACTGATCATAATATAACAAATCAAAAATATATCAAATATTGTTATTAATTCATAATTTTCATTATTTATTAAACAAATACTGGTCTCCCAATGCTCTCTCAATCAAATTGTGTCATTGAAAACAAGTGAAAAAATGAACTTTTTAAACATTTAATGTTTTATTTATATTAATTTCTAACTATATGTTTCTATCTAAATAAGAGTTTTTAGTTATATTTATAAAAAATATAATGTTAAGTATCAATGACTAAAATTTAGAGAATTACCTTTAAAAATAAATTTTTATATTATAAAACATTTAAAATAATTTTATTTCTCAATTATGCGTCATTTATGAAATTAATTTCTTGTTAAGTAATTAAAGATTAAATWCAATTAAATGTAAATTATATAAAAATATATTATTATTAWTATATATATTTATTTTTTAGATAAAAAATAAAATATATTTACAAAAAGATTGAAAAAGTKGAAAAGTCATAAAAAATTCAAAAAATATAACAAATATGTCAATAAATAATTTTATTACATTTTTATTGATGTGGTGTTATATTATTAGTGATTTAATTTATGCACAAATAGGTAAGTTTAATATTAAAAACTAATAAAAACTATTTAAATAATTTGCTTAAAATAAATAAATGACTGAATAGATCAACGGTTTGCTATAGAGCCGAGCGATAAGACAGCAATAGTTGGCGATACAGTGATACTTCCCTGTAGGGTAGACCATAAACAGGGCACTTTACAATGTATGTCAATATTACTGTATATTAATTAATTAATTAATTGATTGTAAAAATTATAATTATTAAACATAATTATAGGGACTCGCGATGGTTTCGGTTTGGGAACCGACCGAACACTTAATGGTTTTCCACGTTATTTGATGATCGGTACCGATGATGAAGGTATGTATCAAATGTTATAAACTATAAATACTGTTGTATTTATAGAGAAATAGTGTAATAATTAAAACTTTTATACAAAATTTTAGGTGACTTTTCGTTGCAAATCAGCTCCGTTTCTCTTGAAGACGATGCAGTGTTTCAGTGTCAGGTGGGAGCTTCTGATGGGATCAGAGGAATCAGATCCCGGAGCGCAACATTCACTATATTCGCTCCACCAGAACATCCAGTGATAGTCCAGTCCCGAGCACAGGGAGATTACCTGAGGACAACTGCTGGCATTACAGTAGAGCTCACCTGTGAAGCACACGGCGGTAAACCACCCGCTGAGGTAAGCAATATATGTCATACCAGTGCTCTATTGTCTATGCATTAGACGTGTATTCATTTATTCATTCATTGAGACGTTTATGCATTCATTCATTCATTCATTTGATTTAGACTTTTATTTATAATCCGTTTTCAATGAAATCTCTAAGAGTTTTGATTTGTTATTTTGTGTTATATTTTAAATCTTACAATTCATTGAGTGTTTAAATGAATTATGAATTTTATAATGACTTTTGATTAGATTTAAAACCTGAGTTCACTTTTAGTTGGATTTCAATGAATCACAGCTTATGTTTAAAAAATGATGAATTTTTTTAAACAATAGACTAAAAACAGAAATAGACTTAAATTTAATTGTGTTTTCATATAATTAAATGACAGCTAACGTGGTTGGATTGGGAGGGAAATCCAGTGACGAGTGGCATATCATATACAACACAACTATTAAGTGATGGAAAGCGTTGGAATGCGGCTCTTAAGTGGACATTCATTGCCAGTAAAGAGTTTGACGGAAAACAACTGACCTGTCGTTCAGAAAACGCGGCACTAAAACAACCAAAGTATACACACATTAAAGTTGAGGTCAGGTATGCACCAGAAGTACGAATACAAGCAGAGAGTGTTCAACAACACATCGGAGAAGACGTCCAATTGGTTTGCGATGCCGTCGGAAATCCCAGTCAATTGACGTACAAATGGTTCAAAAATGACGAACCAGTTGTCGGCGATCACGGCTCACGTCTAGTCATACATAAAGTCGGCAAAGATATGAACGGAATGGTCATCAGTTGCGAAGCAGCCAACAGTGTGGGCGTCGGTCGCGCAAAATGGACTCTGGATGTGATTTACGGACCATACTTTAGGACACCATTAGATTCGTCTACTGGCAGTCAAATGGGACAACAAATCACTCTAAGATGTGATGTCGACAGCAATCCCAGACCTAACATAACATGGCTTATGGCTGGCAGTACTCAAGTGATGAGCACTGGACCCGAATTAATGATTCGTGATATGAGTGCCGACAAAGTTGGACGATATATGTGCAGAGCATCTGTCAAAGGATTTGCTGAGATTTCAGCACAAAGTCTTGTATTTATTAAAGGTTTGTTTTTTTTGTCTTCAGTTATAACTTTTAATTATATATATATATATACTTAAATATTACAGTATTTGTGATTACTTTAACTAAACTAATAAATATGAGACCAATATGTCTAACAATTTAATTTTACTAATTTTAGGTCCGCCACGAATCAGACGGCCATATGTTCAATACGGCACTGAAGGACAGTCCGTTACTGTCGAATGTATTATAGACTCAATTCCTTCGCCATCAAAGATATTATGGTTTCATAATTCACGGGTTTGTATTAATTTTATTTTATTTATTTAAACTTTAATTGTTTTAATTTAATTTTAAATAAAAATGTTGTATATTTTAATTAGTTGGTAGACGTGGATAACAACGATGGCTATGAACTGATTGAAGACACCATTCAATCGGACTCAACATTTCGGTCAATGATTTCTATTAGAAAATCTAAAATAGTAAGTCTTTTATAATTTATTATTTTATGTTTGATTTTTACTATTAAATTATAGGAAGATTTTGGTCAATATAATTGTAGCGTTTGGAATGACAATGGATTTGATTCAAAACTTATTATTTTAGTTTATTTAAGTAAGTCATTGAATAATATTACAATTACCGGTAATCTTCTCATTAGTAAAAAGATAATATACAATAATAACATGTAATATAATTTAAGTCAATAGTTATTGAATTAATTTAGAATTAATTTTATATTTTATTTTGATATTAATATTTATAAAATAAATGAGTTTTTAACAGAATATTTTTTTAATTAAAATAATAGCAAACTTTTCACCACTGGTTCTATCGATTGGTGTAATTATAAGCGGAATTGTATTCATAATCGCGTCGACGATAATAATTATTCTGTGTTTAAAACGAAAAAATAAGTTTACAGACAATGATAGTTATGGGAATGACCTGAAAAAAGGACAGGTATTAACTGTAGGCAACAGTACAGCTTTAAATGGTAAACATATGAATCACTCGGTTATGGATTCGGGCAGTTCTGGAGCTGATTCCGACATTAAAGTAGAAGTACGGACCGCCAGTTCATTGTCTCAACACTGGGATGAAAACGAACAACAATTTAGTGAAGATATTGCAAAACAAACTACAAATGGATATTACAGTTCATGTGTTAATAACAATTGTCTATTTGTGTCATCAAATCACGTGTCAACAGTGTCTCCAACACAGACACCTCACGCGTCCATAATTATCTCATCCGTCGACAATCAAAGGGCCAGTTATGCAATAGAGCCCACGTATGGTACACTTGTAGCCGACCAAAGGTACCGATCCGTTGGTTACGCCAATCCATATCTACGGACATCCAATTCGTCATCAATTGTGACAACAAGTAGTAGTGATAATAATAACAGTAATAATCAATTATCTGCCGGAATGTATAGCGCCAGTCAAAGATATATCACAAACAATGGACAGTTAGTTAACAATCATAAATTTAAATCAGTTATAGTATGACAACTATATGCCATTCTTTTAAATTTTAAATAATGATTTAAATTTATRTTTTGAATAATGCGATTACAAGTACTGGTATATACTGTCTATGCATTTGGGAGAGCAATCGGTTAGACAGGTATTCGACTCATTAGTTTATATTAAATATCTGGTAAAGCATAGATTCAATTTAAAAATGACCAAGTGCATATTCATAGATAATATTAAACTCAACATTATTGTAATTGATCATTTTTTGATTAATTGTAAAATTAACTAGATAATAGTATCGACATAAAATAGTAGACTATTATCTATTAATAGTTAATTCAATATTTAATATAAACTAATCATTGGAATACCTGTCTAACAAAATACTCTCCCAAATGCATACACAATATATACCAATACTTATAATACTGATAATGCGATTCATAATAATAATAATAATTCATTGCATATAATATGAAAATTTAAAGATCTCTTAATATGTTTAACATACAGTTGACGACAATATTTCTAGTTCTTTAAATTTTTAAATTATATGATTATTACATATTACTTATTATTTATTGTGTAAATAATATATTTATAAATACTGTATATAAATTATTATTGTTTAATAATGTTTTATAATTTAAAATTTATTTAATAAAATATAAATGTTATTTATGAGTAATGTATAAATTTTATAACTATTTTATATTGTATTTGTGATACGGGTTGGTTAAAATGATAAATTATGAAAAAATAATAAAATTTCTATTTATAGAAAATATTAATTGTTGTCCTAAACACTAAAAGTCTATTAGATCGACGTTAATATGAGAATTACTAAGATTTAAAATATATATTTTTATCTTTAAATTTTATATAAGTTAATAAAAAAATTAAATTATATAACTAGTTAAGTATCAAATTTGTTACTTTAATTAATTTTAAATAATTAACAATATATTATCAAACAATAAAAAAATTGAGAWATTATTTTATTAGCRAATATTTTTAGCTATTTATTCATTTTAATTTTAATTAATATTTTTTTTATTATTTAGTTATTTTTAAATATTTAGTTATTTTATATTTAAGTTTAAAGTCATTTATTATATATTAAATTACAACAATTTGATAATTTAGATGTTTTTTCTGGAGTGTAATATATATTTAAATATATTTAGAACTTTACAGTATATATACTGTAGTTTATGCCTAAGTGTTAACTGATAGATAAAGACTTTAGATACCAATTCTGATATATATATATATATATATATATATATATATACTGTATATATAATGATGTTTTCTAATGGGTTTCGATCTCAAGGGGRATATAAGGAGTGAACAATTTTTATTGCATTTTTAAACAATAATTTTTACCAAATTTGAGTAAATTTTCAATAAATTCCATAAAAAAGGAAAATACTTAATTCCTTAATATTCTCAAACTAATAATATTTATTTTTATAAGTTTAGAAAAAATGTAGCATAAAAATATATATAAAATAAAAACAATTAATATAATAATTATGCTTGTTTTTACTTTTTAATTAAATAATTTATTAAAAATATAATAGATATTTAGTATTTAAAAATTACAATTATGTTAAGGTAAAAACTAATGATATTGTACTGTATTTATTATTGTCTTAAAAAATAGTATAGTAACATAAATAATAAAACAAATAAAAATAGTTCAAAATAATTGTTAATTAATCCTAAATAATTAATTTGGGAATATATCTTTATTTATTATAGAATTTCATGTTGAAGCCTAACTAACACATTTTATTATAAAATTTTGAAATACTTATTAAATTGTTTATTGAGTAGTAAACAATTATTATAAATAAACATTATAATAAGATTTATGCAAAAAAATCTGAGTTTTCGACTTATATTTAAAGTCTAGTTTAAAGTTTAGATATATTTTTTATAAMGGGGCTAAAAAGTAAAATGTTATTTTTGTGGAAAATTGAAGGGAACTTATTAAGGAACTTTCCTCCCTTTTTTAGAAGCCAGAACTCTACATATGGAATATTTATTTAATATATTGTTTTTATTATTGTAAAACATATCTATCGTACAGTATTTATCCTTTATATATATGTTTTAAAAATAATAAAACAATATATTAAATAAATATTCCATATGTATATAATATATATTAAACAATTCTTAAAAAGTGTGAATCATTCCACACCTTAATAAACATACTTTTATAGTAATTATTAAGAAATTGGATTTAACTAATAAATTAAAGATTTTATAAGTTATTAATGTAATATTTAAATTTATTATATTTTTCAATTATTGTTTTTGCTCTAGATATTTGTTGATGTAAATATTGATTAAAATTGTGAAAATATAATTTAATATTCTCTTTATAATTATTCCCGATTTTATTACTAAAAAATTATATTACTTTTTGTTATTTTTTTAAACTGAATATTAAATAATATAATAACATTTTTTATAGTTTAAAAATAATCTAAAAAATGATATACTTTTAKAAGTTTATTAGTTTTATTATAAAAAAAAACTTTTTTTAATAATATACATTTATATCAAATAACATCACATCTGTGTTTAAATAGCATTAATAATGATATATTTATTTAATATAGTAAATATAAAATGTTGTATATATATACAATTTTGTACAGTTATTATTATTTTTCTATATTATTACAATTTTTAAAAAGGCAACCAATAGTTATGAATATTTTTTTTTGATAAACTTTATAATCTATGCATTAGTTTTRTCGTTTTATTTTACATTTATCAAAATATAATATTTATATTTATACATTTTATGAGCAACATTTAAATGACTTAAAAACAATGTTTTTGCAAACAATGATATTATTGCTTTCAATTATAATTACGGTAATTAATTAAATTAAATTAAAAACAAATTAAAATTCATTTGCATTGCTATTAATTAAAACATTCATAACTACTGTTGTTTAATATATTTATATATTTTATTATCAATAAAAGTTAGTATAAATTATTTATAAACATTTAAAGTTTTATAAAACATAGCATTTAAGTAATTTTATTTAAATTAGAAAAACATAAAAATTATGGCATCAATGTATGACAATTTCGATGATTAAATGAAAATAATATATTAATTAAAATGATTGAAATGGCAATTATATAAAATGATTTGTAATAAACACTATAAGATATATTAAAAGCAAATAACTTTTGAAAATGATTTTCAATAATATATTTAATTTTTAACTATTATATACATGAAGTGTCTCTTTTGTATCAAATGAGTTCACAAGTAGTCATTATAAGCACATAATCACTGACAGCACTATAACAAAGCACAGGTATGTGTATTTGTATCAGACATGTGTAGCCAACTGATTGTTCACCGCTGACTGTCCGATGTGTCCATTGTTTGTGATATATCTTTGACTGGCGCTATACATTCCGGCAGATAATTGATTATTACTGTTATTATTATCACTACTACTTGTTGTCACAATTGATGACGAATTGGATGTCCGTAGATATGGATTGGCGTAACCAACGGATCGGTACCTTTGGTCGGCTACAAGTGTACCATACGTGGGCTCTATTGCATAACTGGCCCTTTGATTGTCGACGGATGAGATAATTATGGACGCGTGAGGTGTCTGTGTTGGAGACACTGTTGACACGTGATTTGATGTCAATTGAGTCGATGGCACCAATAGATAGTCGTGTCCGACATTGTAGTCAACATAAGTCGGGATAAATCCGTTTGCATTCTGTTTATAAAATAATAATTTTTATAATTTAACATAAATTTATAATTATATAAAAAAATTAAGGATATTTAGGAATAAAATTACAAATAAAATAAAAATCATTTTTAACACAAAATTAAAAAATAATTACATGAATTGAGGGGAAAACTATGGGATGGGACTGATTGTTAGCATAACTATATATATTTTCAACTACTTGTTGTGCGATGTCTTTATGGACAGTCTGTTCATTACATTGCTGTTCGTTTTCATCCCAGTGTTGAGACAATGAACTGGCGGTCCGTACTTCTACTTTAATGTCGGAATCAGCTCCAGAACTGCCCGAATCCATAACCGAGTGATTCATATGTTTACCATTTAAAGCTGTACTGTTGCCTACAGTTAATACCTGTCCTTTTTTCAGGTCATTCCCATAACTATCATTGTCTGTAAACTTATTTTTTCGTTTTAAACACAGAATAATTATTATCGTCGACGCGATTATGAATACAATTCCGCTTATAATTACACCAATCGATAGAACCAGTGGTGAAAAGTTTGCTATTATTTTAATTAAAAAAATATTCTGTTAAAAACTCATTTATTTTATAAATATTAATATCAAAATAAAATATAAAATTAATTCTAAATTAATTCAATAACTATTGACTTAAATTATATTACATGTTATTATTGTATATTATCTTTTTACTAATGAGAAGATAACTAATGGCTTCATTAGTAATTAAAAATAAATGTAATTCATATTTAAAATCGAAATTATAGATAAGATATTAATATAATTTTCATTTGTAAATTTCACTTATAATTATTAGATTATTTATAAGATATTAAAACAGTTCAAATATAAAGTATATAAAACTACTGTTAAATTGAATTTTAATTTATGATGTTATCAAATGACATATCTATGTTAAGGGAAAGCCCTAATGAATATATAAATATTATTGTATTTTTAAACTCGCTTTTATAATACGTATACCATTACTGTATTACAGTTATATTGTGTGCTAAAATATCTTATTTTAATACTAATGTATATACGAAATAATATCATTTATAATCACTTTTATTATCCCTCATTATCCCATTTAATCTAAATCTACATATAATTAAACTATAATTTATGACTTTAAATCATTTTAATCCTTATTTTAAATATTTTTGTAATTTAAAAAACAAGTGTTTAATTCACAAAAATATCGTAATATAATCAGTGGTTAATTAATATTTAAAATAAAAAATAACTTACATTCTTGAACTAATGTAATGATTTTATATTCAAATCCATAATCATTCCAAACGCTACAGTTATATGAACCGAAGTCACTCTAAAATTTTTAAATAAATAATTAAAATTTATAAAAATTTAATAAAACAATATTTATTATAGTATATTATATAATATAAACTATTAATAAAAAATTTACAATTTAAATATCATATTTAATAATATAAATATCTAAACTGAAAGCATAATTATATTATTTTATAAAAGTAAAAATTCTAATATATATTTTGTTTTTTAAATAAACACAAAAATATATTGTAAATTAAATAAACTTATATATTTGAAAAGTTTAATTGCAAATCATTAATATTAATAATTATACTGTATTTCAATGTTTGTTTAAATTGCTACTAATTTCCTTATAATATTTATTAGTGGTTTTACTAATTAATTTATAATAATTAAAAAGACTATAAATATAATACAAATAAATAATGTCAATAATAATGTATACACATTTGCTCTTATTTAAATATTTTTTTAAATGACATAAAATTTTTTAAACTTTAGTAATTAAATAATTTTTTTACAAAAAGTTATAATAAAAATGCAGTTAACTGCTCATAATTTTGTCAATCATGTGATTATAATGTAATAAAACTAATTTTTTAATTTCTATAAAGTCCTTAAAATTACACATTATTTAGTTTTTTAAAAACAAATAAGAACTTTTATATCAAATATATAAAATTTTAAGTAAATAAGATATAATTTAAAGATTTAATCGTTAATAATAATATCCAAAGCAATTAAGCTTTAAAAATATATAAATGCTAAATAAAATTTAGCAATTAAAATAAATTTTAAGTATAATTTAAGCAAATTATATTAATGATCAAGAGATACAGCAATTTTTAAATACTGTATAGTAAATTGTATAGTATTTAGAAAATGTAGTTTTAGAGACACCATATATTTAAGTAACTTATTAAAGTATTTTAATATTAAAATCATAGCCTGAGAGCAACCATGTCTTATACCATATTAATATACTAATGAAAGGTATATATCAAACGTGAATCTCAACAACATATGTATAAAAAGTTTTGTAACGCATCTAAAATAATAACATTGATAATTATATTAGTATTATTAAATAACATGGTGTATACATTAAGAAAAACAATTTTTAATGTTTAATATGTTTTAAAATAAAACTAATTATATCTATATTTCTCTCACTCATATATTATAAAGTATTTAATTATTTAACTATTAATCAATTGATTGACAGCAAAGGTATCTAAAGGGCGATATTTCAGGACATGACCTAAAATTTGTTTTTTTATTTTTTATTTTATAATTTTTACTATATAATAAAATATCGTGACAAAATTTAATAATAATTTTCTCTATTTTTCGGTTACTTATATTTTATATAACAGTCCATTAAATAAAGGCTTATATCGATTAATAATATTTTCATTCTCAACAAAATAAAAATTTTTTTAAATATTATATATCAGCAGTTATGCTCTCAATTTAATTATTAAATTTTATTGATAATTATATAAAAAATAATATAAATATCAATATAAATATAGCATAAATTTTTTCTCAAATGATTAATCTCTCTATAATGTGATACAAACTGAAAACAATTTTACAGAAAAAAATAAACYAAACGTCTGAATCAAATCGTGACATTATATTCATGTTTGTGTAATAATTAACATTTTGTTATGCTTTGCTTATATTAATATTAGTTGCTTTCATAAATTGCGTTAATATATAATCAAGTTTACTAAACAAACTGTATTGTATGACTGTATCATATCGATAGCTTAATATAAATAAAAGTGTAAATTTTATGTTCATATAGAAAAAGTACAAAATTTAATGACTTTATTATAATTTATTTATTAATATCTAAAATAATAAATTATAAAAGACTTACTATTTTAGATTTTCTAATAGAAATCATTGACCGAAATGTTGAGTCCGATTGAATGGTGTCTTCAATCAGTTCATAGCCATCGTTGTTATCCACGTCTACCAACTAATTAAAATATACAACATTTTTATTTAAAATTAAATTAAAACAATTAAAGTTTAAATAAATAAAATAAAATTAATACAAACCCGTGAATTATGAAACCATAATATCTTTGATGGCGAAGGAATTGAGTCTATAATACATTCGACAGTAACGGACTGTCCTTCAGTGCCGTATTGAACATATGGCCGTCTGATTCGTGGCGGACCTAAAATTAGTAAAATTAAATTGTTAGACATATTGGTCTCATATTTATTAGTTTAGTTAAAGTAATCACAAATACTGTAATATYTAAGTATATATATATATATAATTAAAAGTTATAACTGAAGACAAAAAAAACAAACCTTTAATAAATACAAGACTTTGTGCTGAAATCTCAGCAAATCCTTTGACAGATGCTCTGCACATATATCGTCCAACTTTGTCGGCACTCATATCACGAATCATTAATTCGGGTCCAGTGCTCATCACTTGAGTACTGCCAGCCATAAGCCATGTTATGTTAGGTCTGGGATTGCTGTCGACATCACATCTTAGAGTGATTTGTTGTCCCATTTGACTGCCAGTAGACGAATCTAATGGTGTCCTAAAATATGGTCCGTAAATCACATCCAGAGTCCATTTTGCGCGACCGACGCCCACACTGTTGGCTGCTTCGCAACTGATGACCATTCCGTTCATATCTTTGCCGACTTTATCTATGACTAGACGTGAGCCGTGATCGCCGACAACTGGTTCGTCATTTTTGAACCATTTGTACGTCAATTGACTGGGATTTCCGACGGCATCGCAAACCAATTGGACGTCTTCTCCGATGTGTTGTTGAACACTCTCTGCTTGTATTCGTACTTCTGGTGCATACCTGACCTCAACTTTAATGTGTGTATACTTTGGTTGTTTTAGTGCCGCGTTTTCTGAACGACAGGTCAGTTGTTTTCCGTCAAACTCTTTACTGGCAATGAATGTCCACTTAAGAGCCGCATTCCAACGCTTTCCATCACTTAATAGTTGTGTTGTATATGATATGCCACTCGTCACTGGATTTCCCTCCCAATCCAACCACGTTAGCTGTCATTTAATTATATGAAAACACAATTAAATTTAAGTCTATTTCTGTTTTTAGTCTATTGTTTAAAAAAATTCATCATTTTTTAAACATAAGCTGTGATTCATTGAAATCCAACTAAAAGTGAACTCAGGTTTTAAATCTAATCAAAAGTCATTATAAAATTCATAATTCATTTAAACACTCAATGAATTGTAAGATTTAAAATATAACACAAAATAACAAATCAAAACTCTTAGAGATTTCATTGAAAACGGATTATAAATAAAAGTCTAAATCAAATGAATGAATGAATGAATGAATGCATAAACGTCTCAATGAATGAATAAATGAATACACGTCTAATGCATAGACAATAGAGCACTGGTATGACATATATTGCTTACCTCAGCGGGTGGTTTACCGCCGTGTGCTTCACAGGTGAGCTCTACTGTAATGCCAGCAGTTGTCCTCAGGTAATCTCCCTGTGCTCGGGACTGGACTATCACTGGATGTTCTGGTGGAGCGAATATAGTGAATGTTGCGCTCCGGGATCTGATTCCTCTGATCCCATCAGAAGCTCCCACCTGACACTGAAACACTGCATCGTCTTCAAGAGAAACGGAGCTGATTTGCAACGAAAAGTCACCTAAAATTTTGTATAAAAGTTTTAATTATTACACTATTTCTCTATAAATACAACAGTATTTATAGTTTATAACATTTGATACATACCTTCATCATCGGTACCGATCATCAAATAACGTGGAAAACCATTAAGTGTTCGGTCGGTTCCCAAACCGAAACCATCGCGAGTCCCTATAATTATGTTTAATAATTATAATTTTTACAATCAATTAATTAATTAATTAATATACAGTAATATTGACATACATTGTAAAGTGCCCTGTTTATGGTCTACCCTACAGGGAAGTATCACTGTATCGCCAACTATTGCTGTCTTATCGCTCGGCTCTATAGCAAACCGTTGATCTATTCAGTCATTTATTTATTTTAAGCAAATTATTAATATTTGATATTTTAATTTTGTAATAATTAACTTACTTTGTTGTCCATTAACACATTTACAAACAATTACTGCTAATAACATAAAAATCATAGAATGTCTGACAAATATTTTTGTCAACATTTTTATAATTTTTAAAATAATTGTCTAATAATTTGTTTATATTTTCCAATTTCTTTAAACTTTACATACGGATTGTTTTAAAGCTTTTCATTTATCTGAAAATAAAAACCACATAWGATTACATTAATTAATATTATATTATAATATGTGTATATAAAGACATTTAAGTAATTGTAAGACACAACTTAGTCAATCAACGTTAATATTGATAAAAATTGAATAAATTTTATTGTTAAACACTCAAAAAGATAACATTTTTCTAACCCATTAAATACTAATCGCTTCACGTATTATTTGAAATCCCAACACTTATAGTGTAGCGATAAAAAAGTTTAACAAATAAAACACAAATGCTGTAAATCTTAGTGTATTTTTTCTTATATAATTTTGTTTGTTTCCACTTTTATTAATGTCTTATTATTATTATTATTACTATTATTCTTTATGTTATTACTACTATTTCAATGTTTTTGATACATATTTCCTGTGGATAACTGACTGTAAAAGAGTCATACAAAACGACAAAACAATTGTGCAAAAAAAARTTATGTTGCGATAGAAATAAAATTAAATTTAAGAAGTGATGTTATATAAGAAAAAATATTATACAGTATATAGTAATAAAAAATAAACAATTATTAATATCTAATAAAATCTTTAAAATAAATAMAGAATTATTAAATATCTTTTTTATATACATTTTAAACACATAAACAATGAATAAAAATAAGTAACTAATGTATAAACATCATAAAATTAAGAAACTTACTATTTTTWATAATAGTGCCAACTCTTAATACAATTATAACATTTGACACAATTATTATTATACATCATTCACCAAACAGTCAATCAAATAATGCCTATAAAACACTTTTTTATGCTTTAAGAGTACTTGAAGTCAATCACACAAATCAGCTAAATATCGTTATATTTAGTATATCTATCTTTTATAGTGTGTGTATGTGTTTGTAGGCTTTCCTATCATTGATGTGTTTTGAGTATCAGTGCACAAGAAATGAATGTCATAATCGGGAAGAGAATCATATTTCATATCTTATAAAGACATGTATTTAAGGGCTGACTCACTGAGTTTGAGGCAGTGATACCTAACTGGGAGATAGAGAGGAGCCGGTGATGACTGTTATGGCCGATAATCGGCTATAGAATAACAGTCCAAATATATATCATATATTATATACATATATAACTTATATCTATAGATTTATTTTCTCTTTTTTTCTGTAAAAAAGTGATTTTTAAGACATCTATTAATCATTTTGTGGTTCAATAAACTCTAAAAATACCATAACTGTTACACTGTTTACACAAACAGTTAACACATTATAAATAAAATCAATAAAAATCAAAAATGTKTTTTCTTCTCGTAAAATATTGTTATTAAAACATTATATAATATATTTATACAATTTATATAAAAAAATATTTTCGTCCATTTCTTATTAATCCATTTTTCTATATAAACATCTATATTATGGTTGACATGGCTTATAAAACCACATCTATTAAGAGATATTTCATTTCTAATCAAATGTATAATTAATGTCAGTGTCAGGTGTTTTAGTCGACATTTGAAAATAAGAAAAGAAAGATTTGCTTTACTGTCACAACATTTTAATTAAATAATAGTTTTGTCCAATAATTTTACATTTATTTGTTTTAATTTTTAATATAAGTGCTATTATATCCTATGTTTTAATTAAATAACATATTTTTGTTCAATAAATATTGTGTAAAGTTTGTGATTTTTAATAAATCAATTATAATTTAATCAATAAAATAACTTTTTGTAATGAATAAAACAATGTATAAATCATTTGTAAACGGATTTACTTTTATATAATCGCATATTTGTTAAAATCATTTGTTTTTAGAGTCGATATACAAGTCTTTCTCTCACTCTTTATATACAATTTAGTATTGCATAGAATTTTACGTCAATTGAAGCACAAAATGCATGAAAACATGTAATTTATATAAAATAAAGGCTTGTTTTGTAAATGAATGGGAGATATGTTTAATTGAAATCAGGAATTAGTGTCGCATAAACTTAATTAAACATCACATCACTGGAAAATACACTGTTAGGTATACATACATTGGGAAAGGGATGAAAAGAGTGAGCACCGGGAGATCATATGCGTTGTGGGGATAGACGAGATGTGAGAGTGAAAGACCTCTCTGTGTTAATCACACACATTGTGAGCACAGTGTAGTCACCGATAAAATAATAAATTTTCAACTGTTTTATGGCATATAAATTAAACATTGAATTAGTTTCTAAAACAATAWTTTTTTTCAAAACAATATATAAATTCCTAAAATGATTTAACAATTTAAACTAAAAACAAATATATATATATATATATACTGTATATACACATATAAATTTGTACACATTTTACATGAATCAATAAAGTATGTACTGTATAATCTAAGCTAAATAATTACAAACAAATTATGTATATTTGATTTAATATAACAATATTTGACTAATACTTAAATTTTGTATTAAAAAATAATAACGTATTTATATAATGAATGGAAATATGTTCAAAATGTTTGTTATTTGAGTAAAACTTTGATATCATAAAAACTATACACACATTAATAACAGTAGTAAATACTGTCTCAATATATATATACTGTATATGTTTGTGTCTTTTGCTGTCTTAAGAGTGACTTTTGAAAGATAAACATAAAGTCTATGAAGAAGTGGAAGAAGAAAATAAATGATATGATTAGCACTCGAGTCGTAACCAACCCTTCTCTCTATAGCTTTCTTATGATATATTAGATTGTCTTATAGTTAGTTAGTTAGTCAGCAGTTATGCAGACATATCATGTTGACTATCGGTGCTGTCTATCATACAGTGCTATGAGATGCGTGAGAAAAGCTTTTTTAGGCTATCATATTATGCAATAATAATAATAATAATTTTTATATTAAACTAAATTTTAGAACCATTTTTTAAATACAAGTTATCATAATATTCAAAAACATTTGATTTTATTACAAAATATGATGATAATAATAATAATAATATAAAAAATTTTAATAAAAATAAGTTTTAAAACAAATCAAATGATAGTTAAACTTGTTTAATATCTGATCTAAATTTTGGGATTAAAAATTGAATAATATTTTTATTTAAAACGTGTATGTTTATCAAAATAATATTATTGTAAAAAATTTGAGGTAAAAACAAATTAAACCAAAAACACCTTTTATGGTATTTAATAAAAAAATWAATCCTTAGTAAAAATTTATTATATGAAATAAAAGATYATAAATTAGTTAATAAAAATACTGGGAAAATGTTTTTAATGAATTAGTTTTTATGTTTTCCTTATTTTATTTTAAGCAAATAAATATCAATATATTTTCATGAAGAGTTTATATAATATTGATATAAATGTAATAATGAATATTCATAATATATTTTTTGTTATTTAATATGAACTAAATTTGTTGGATAATTAGTCATAATATCTTTGAGGTATTTTCAATAATATTTGTAACAAACATTTTTATTTTGTCTTTCAGCAAAAATAATAAATTCATTAATTGTAATATTGAAAAATTATATGMAATTATAAATCAAATGTAATTACTGTCACATAATATAATGGATATTTTTATAATTAATTCATTTAGTTTTTGCTTAAACACAATAAATCAATAGTTTAATAAATTATTTATTACAAATGATTAAATCAATAGATCAATTGAATTAATTTAAAATTGTGAAAAACATTTTTGAAAATATTTTAGGTCAGCACTATATCTAAATTAAAATAATTAACAAATAATTTAATTAATTCAGTAAAATAATAAAATATGTTGTTTGTCATATAACTAATTAAAGTTAATTGCATGTAATAACAATTAATTTAGTAACTAATTTATTTATTTATAATATATATACAGTATATATATATATAAATATAATAGTTATGCATTTTATATTTCATTATAAAATATTTTATTTATACTAAAATGTGCATGTTGAAATGATGAAAATTTTACACAATTTTACTATATTAATTAGAATTATACTATACATTAAATTAATTAGAACACTGTTTTAAATTAAGCTGTTAATAATTAATAAATATTTTTTAATTTAATGATATAATTATTTACAAAAATATTAATAATAAAAATATAATTAAACTTTATGTAGCAAATCATAGCAAATTAACATTATAGCCATCATTAATACGAAAATATTATAACATTTACTATAATATGATATATTAGTCGACATATTTTGATAAATCATTGTGAAGGTTATAACTTATTTGACACTTTGGYTATACTAAAACATTGAGGACAGGGATGTCAGTTGTGTTAATCGCTTGTGATTGAGAGGCAAATGTATGAAAATGAATGAATGTACTGAAGATGTGATATAAATATTTTGCAAAAAAAAAATCTTATTTAATAACAAATAATAAAATAAATGATTATATAATATATATAAATATAAAGATATTAAACGATTCAAAGAGAGTGTGTTTGACTGAAAGAGTGAGAAAAAGATTCATTCATTTGATGGCTTGCTTTCAATGGCACCGTTTGATTGAGAGAGCACTGGGAGGCCAGTGTGAGTGGTTTGTTTGAGAAACCATGAAATTGATGGATAAATAACAAGATTTGGTCATATTTTGTATGATTTGTTATATTATAGGCAACAGTTTGTAGAGAAATAAATAGATTTTCATTCAATCATATGTTAGTAAGCAATGAAATGGCAATAATGCTGTATATGATATAATATTATGAGATATCAAATATAATCATATATGGGATCGACTGTCGACTTACAATCTTTGACATAACTATCGGATGCCGACACTTCATAGCTATCAATATGAATGTTATTTTTATTACCAAAATAACAATATATTTATTACAGTTGAATATCACATTTCTGAATTTTATTATATTTTAGATTATTAATGTGATATCAAATTATAACTAATAAATAATCAAAATAAAGGTTAGATTATACATTTAATCACTATTTTTCTTATACCACAGTTTTATTTAATCTTTTCAAAAAATAAGATATGAATTTTATAATGTTATTAATAGAAACTATAAATAATAAAAGCACGATATTATCATATAAACTCAATGCTTATTAAATGCGTTATAATAAGTGTTGTATTTTCATAACAACTAGTCATTTAGTTTGCATAAAAAATATATTTAATATATTTTAAAACATATCAAAATGTATTTAATAATTTAAAACCATTAGTGATATAAGTGTTGCAATAAATTCTTGCACCAACTTTTATACAATGCTATACTCATTATACAGTATATTGTATGGTATAATACTATATAATGTTTATAATATACTATTCTATACAGTAGTATAGATAGGTACACAAAATAAATGGATTTTGTATTTCAAACAAATTATTTATTAATTACTCAAAAAATCTTCTTATCGTTAAAATTCATGTATTAGTTATTCATATAAAAAATTACAGCTAAGAATATTCTCTATAAATACAGTATTACTATCATTATTAATATTACTTTACAAATAGAGTACAGTATGTCTAGCAATAAACACATAAATTCAATGAATAAATTATATTATTTGTCGACAAAAAAACTATATATACTGTATATTTATATTTATTATTTTATGTTATTTAGAAAAGACACTCATTATTTGGTTCAACACAAATATCTTGACTTCTCTTCAAAAAACATTAGTAAATGCAATAACAGTTGTAATAAAAACTTATGATTATAACGATGTGCGAGAAAACCAAAACATTTGTGTCAACTTTAAAGTTAAATTGTTTTATCTATAAAATGCAAATATTCTCAAAATTACTTTTGGGTTATTATGTAAAGATATATTTATGTTTATATGGTTTTTATTTAATTATGCATTTCAAAAAATCTATTTTTCTTATAAAATATCAAATAAAATTATAAATTACAGAAAATTATGCGATTATTCAAGATAAAATGTATAAAATGTATAAAATGTATAAAATGCACACAATAGTAGTAATATGTTATTTTTAACAATTATACAATGTAAACATTTTCAAAAATCTACAAAATACAATACAATAAGAAACTTCATTATATAAAAATTTATATCACACAATTTATTTATTAGTTAGCATAACATTAGCCTAAAATGTTTTATATTTGGTGTAAAATTTTATATTAAATAATTAGTGAGAGATTTTAAATGAGACTCTGATTTTTGCAACATATAATAATTATGATGAAAAATAAATGAAAATTATTTTAAATAAATGTTATATAAATCTCTTTAAAGTATATGTATAACGCATAATAGTGTTTCACTCTTTTATGTAAAAGTTATAATAAAAACTATAAACGAGTGAAACATTAGTTTCAATGAAAGGAAACATACCATTAGTCAGTAGGCATTACTGATATAACCCTTTCACTCATAGACTAAAATTAGAGTAAAAGAGTAAATTGAAAAATTGTCTGAAATGTGAACTCTTAAAGACATTGTAAACGCAAGGAATTTAGAAAATATACGGAATTTTAATTATCGGCGCTGACTGTCCTCTACTGACAAATCAAGATCGACAGCTCAGACCTATTGATGAGACACCACTTCCCCTTTAAAATAGTTCAACAAAAAAGTGTAAGTTTCCAATTATAGACAGTCATTCATACAAAAAGCATATTTATAGGCATTATATAAATAAAATGTATATATAATACAAACAAAATTCTGTCATAAGATAAACAAGAATTTAGACACAAATTTTTAAACACATTATATCCATCAGTGTTATAGTAAGTGAGTGAGCACTGGGAGGTGTTGTATGACAGAGCAAACAAAGTCATTGATTTTCAAGTGACCTATAGTTTAATAGCTGTTTTTAGAGCTTTTGAMAGCTAAATGACATTAACAACAGTGCATTGGTTTGTATTATGGGTTTGTGTTTAGTGTACATGTAATGTGTGTTTTCTCTACTTATATTACAGTTAAGAGTATACACACATTGATATAATTGTTGTTTAGGTCTATCCTCTATCTTATGTTTAAGGTCTGAATGATTGAGAGCCTCTTGTGTTCATTTGGCGAATATAAGGGTTAAACCCGATATAGTCTCGGAAAGCACATGGAGATGGAGATGAGCCTACAAATGGGTGTTCTATAACTACTACCAGTGCTATGTCTAACATAATGGACACATACACACACATCTGGTGTCCAAACATTTTCTCTTAATATAAGTGCTATTTGTTTGTACTGTAGGTTAACAAACATTGCACTGACATTGCATATCATTCTTATATATTGTTAAATACACAATACATTACAAACATAACTCAATGTTTGCATTTGCTTTAAAACTATATATGACTTACAATAAACAACTGATTTGATATCATTTTAAATAAAAGTTTTATAATTAACAAAATTATATAACAGTTTGTGTAACATTTTTTAATTATATTTATATTTTATACAAACTCAACTAATACTATATAGCAATTAATATTTCATTCATATAATTAAAATAATATCCATTTCCCAATCAGCTTAAAGCTTATGAATTCAATGAAAAGCATTAAACAAAAGGCTTGTTATCTCTGGTCTTAAATCATATACTAAACCGAAAAATATGTGCAAAACAAGAAATTCATATCATTTTAGAGCACATGTAGTATTAATATCTAACAATGTCTTTGTCTATGTCTTGGTGTGTGATCTACACTATTATGTGACTACGAGAGTCATAATAAGCTAAAAATATGAGGAATTAATTTTCGAGATTTTTGTCTATTTTTGTACCGGTTTTACAACATAGCTGTGTATTATGTGTTTGACTATAAACAACACAAATATCCGCATTAATATATTGTGTGGTCATACAGGACAGACATTTATTATATATGTAATGCAATAGATTTCAAATAAATCTCTTAGCCTTTTGTCACACAACAGTATCCAACTGTCCTCTAATTAAGATTAATAGGATGTCTGGCACTGGAGTTTGTGACCCTTTTCTTTATTATAGTTATAACCGGACATTACATTAGGCTTTTTTGAGTGACAAACAAACAAAAATAAATGCAATTATCATTTGGAGATCATTTTTGAAATGAAAAATATGTTAAGACATTACATGTTTAAGAAAGCAAAAACATGTCTTTTATGTGTATCTGTACTCTCATGAGATGACAGTAACAGAAAATTATAATTTAATGAATAAAAAGCAAAAATTAACTCACATTTTAGGACAAGTTTTATTCAGTCAATTTGCTTTTAATACTATCTTTTCTTTTTGTTATCTTTACTTCTCCTAAATTGCAATCGATATCTGTAAATAAATATATAAATTAAATATAAATAAAACAAAACATTTAATACTTTAAAGAAAAAATAATTTAAATGTTTTGTAAATGATATCTGTCATAGATATATGAAACTAATTTATATTAAAACTAAAAGAAAGATAAGAAGCAAAAAACAATCAAAGCTTTTAGTAGCAAAAAACAAATACATTATATAAAACATAATATAAATAGGTTTTATTATACAGTATTTGWTTCTATACAATATATCAAATATAAATGAAAATATAATAATTTAAGTTTTAGAAAAAAATATTTATAAAATTTTCTTCCATATTATAGATTATCTTACAAATCATTTAATATTTTTATATAATTGTTGTGCTTTAAGTTAAGTATATAGATATCTATTTAGTTTTAATGTTTATCTCTATACAATATATGAGTCTTTCAAATATATATATATATATATATATATATATATAACTAGAATACAGGGAGAAGTTTAAGTTTTGGTGAATCCTTTTCCTGAGCTCATCAACAGCACAAACATTATCATCAGCTGCACTGTTGGCTTACAAGAGTAAAACACTGGTAAAGCCATTAAAAAGGAGAGATGTTATGTTAGGGAGCAATACGACAGTGTTGTAGATATTGAATCAAATGTATGATTACTACTACTGATGAAAAAATAGATATTAGATATAAACACATCAAACTACTGTACATTATATATAAAAATGAGAAACATTTTTTAAAAATTTAATACTACTGTAAACTTTAAGTTTTATATTTTTGTTGATTAAAATATTGTTATAATTTATTTTTAAATATAGTGTGAAAATATTTATCTGATAATATTTTAAGAGTATCACTATTTTTATTAATATGTCTGTGTGTGTGTTAAATAATTATAGACAAATAAATATTTATATTATARTAATTGTTTAATATATCAAATATACAGATGTTTTGTGTGTGAATATAATTCCGTTTTGTAGTTTATTTTCTCAAATAAATTTATTTTCTAATTTGCAATACAAGAGTTCATTAAAGTTGCGCCAACTATTGATAATCCAATTCACAAGAGATCTGTCTATAAAACCCCAATATATGTCCACTGATTACATATATATGTATGCCGTGTATATAAATATCGTTGCTCTCAGACACCAATCAATAGTGGTTTTAATAGCATTAATAAAGTAAATTAAAAAATTGCAACTAACTTTATACAAGTTTATAAATAAATTTTGTGTTGTTTTGTGTGCAAATGCCTTTCAGGTGTGTTTGTGATATCAATTTAAATAAAAATTAGTTTTTATACTATTATTTTACAAAAGTTAATTTTTTGCAAGTAATTAGATTTTTTATTGCATATACTATTTATCATAAAAATAACAGCATATAAAAAATAAATTTGTTAAAAATATCTATAAACATAAATAATAAAAATATATTTTTTTAAATATATAATAACTCATATACTTATATAAAATATAAAAATTTCAAACCTAATATCTCAGGCAAAGTGAAAGAATTGAAACATTTTCTCACATTATTTTCATTACTATTAAAGGTATTGATGAACACAAATCATTATAAACAAAAAATAAAATAAAAAATATTTTTATTTATATAACCACTCTTGAAATGTTGTCTATCAAGTGATTGCAAACTGGATCTAAATGTTAGCCCCGAGAGATGATACGGCTCTCAAATTATAATAGTCATAAACCAATCATTGGTAGAGTAAGAGAGTGAATGAATCAATGAATGAGAGAGAGAGAGAGAGAGAGAGAGAGAGAGAGAGAGAGAGAGAGAGCATTGAAGACCGTGCAAAGGGTCAGCTTCTCTGAGGAACTCCAAAATAGAGTCCTATCGACTATTAGATGGTTTGCTTGTAAAACAAGTATTTAATTTAAAGTGTATCGCAATCTTTTGGTTTGTAATTGAGATTAATTTCTTGAAAATAATAAATAAAAATAATATAAATATTCAAAGAAACTTTAGCCATAGTAATCGTGTCTTATAATAATAAATATATTAATAATTTATTGATCTATCAAATGACATTTCAATTAAATTGGTATACTTGTTATTAAATAATAATAATCATATGATGCCATTATATATTATATACAGTAATGATAGATAATTGAGAAATTCACATATAGATTATGTACGAAACAAAACAAATTTATATATAAGACAAACTTTACTTATATAAATAATTTTTTTTGACACAATTATTGAATGTGTGTAAAAACATAACGACAGGCAATAGTGATAAATGAAATATCCAATTGATAAATGATTTTATGTGAAATGATAAATAATTGTTTGAAAAAATGACCAAAATTTTTAAACCACAACATCACTGATCATATTATGGATAGTTAAACGGCTAATGGATAGAAAGCTTGAGTTATGAAAAAAACTTTTTATTATTATCACACAATCATTACGATATTATATGCTATAATACAATATAATAGTGAGAATAAAACTATTGAGTCGGAAATTAAACAATCTTTTGGTCTCTCTCTCTCTCTCTCTCTCTCTCTCTCTCTCTCTCTCTTATCTCAAACATCTTAAAAAGACACTAAAAATATTATTATTAATAATATTATTTTATGAACTCATAAACTCTATAATGTTTAGTCTAACCGTAAAATATTTTATATCCAAATGATAATATCAACTCTTTTGTAAAACTCATTATATTTCCTAACGACTTAGCAAACAATAAGTCTATAAACTGTGTTTAAGTTAAAATAAAAGTCAGGAAAATTTTCAAAATAAAAATGATTTATATATTCTAAACATTTATACAATTATATACCAGTTTTTTTTTTTGCAAAGTAAACTTAACATTTAATTACACAATAATTAAAACATTGATTGAATTTTAATAAATATAATTTTCTGATATAAAATAGATTAATTTTATAAAAAAACAATTTTTATAATAATTCTAAATTATTGCTTTCTGTATTTCAACACATAATCACCGATAGGATAACAGATATATAAATAAATATACTCTAAAATAAATGGTAACTAAAATAAACACAAATATATATATTATTTTTTATATTTAATTAATTCTGAATAAAATGAGTTCATACTTACATAAAAAAATAAACTATAAAAAACATAACACATATTATATAACATAATTAAGTCGTTTTGCAATTATATAATAGTAGCACTATATAAAAAACTATATGATAGATGTTTTTATATATAAGAAATTAATTAGATTTTAATTGAAATCTTGAGTTTTGTTGAGCCCTTTTAATACATAATATATAACATACTGACGTAAAATATTTTTTACTGTCTGATTATAATAATGGATATAATAACATATTATATATCATAATCAAACATCAAGTTCTTATTGAGTTATCATTTTTATGTGTATAATCAAATTGAATAACAACAATATATGATTAAATAGTGTTTATTTGAAGTTGTAATAAATTTATAAAAGTTACAAAATTCAATCCTAATTAATAGAAAAAAATTAATTGAAAAATATTTTGTATTAAATATATTTAGCATAAAAACTCATTTGATATTTAAATCAGCTATTATACAAATAAATATAAAAATAATTAGTTAATGATATATCAATAAATAAAATATAATTATAAATAATTTTGATATTTGATTAAGGCTTAAAAATCAAATTAGTTTACGTTAGAAAAATAAAAATTACTTTTTATGCAATATTAAAAACTTTATCATGCAAAATAATTGTGAAAATATGTTTAAAAATAATGTTATCCATTACATAACAATAATAAATTTTTCACATTAAATTTATATAATACAAAACTTCAATAAACTAAAATTTTTTATATAATGTTCTAAAATTCACTTTTTCATTAAAAATTCTAATGTATTGCTAACTATTAATATAATAGTATATAATATTTTGGCAAAAATGTAAGTTTCCCCAGATTTCAATAAAATTTATGATAAGTTATTCCATTAAATAGATATATCAGTTATTAAATGAATTTTCTGGTCTAGTATTGTACTTATAAAAAAAGTTTTTTATTTATAAAACTGCAATATTATAATATATGTTATTATGCAATAGTTATGTCGCTAGAGATTAAGGCCAAACTGATAAATATAATTTCACAGTTAAACTTATTAAATATTATACATTCATTATAATATTAATATCCACATAAATTATATAATAAAATTTTATTTTTATATTTTAGCTAAATTTCTCATATTTTTTGTTAATATAATGATTTTGTTAAATAAACAAAAATTATTACATAATGTATTGATCTATAATTAAAAAATTATACTATTTTTTAAAAATGCTGAAAAATAAAAAAAAAGTTAAAATTAATAAATAAATTAAACTATAATTAAATAGTGTTGCCGTTTTTAAATAACAATTAACCTTAATTAGTGTTGTTTGTAAATATTTATACAAAAAATTATCTTGAAAAAATCATAATATATTCAACAATTTTAATTATAAGTTATTAAAAAAGGCTTAAATATATTTATAACAGTCAAATCATTAATACTTATTTTAAAATATGCTTAAATTTTTAAAAAAATAATATATAGTATACAGAATATACTGTAGTAATACCGCAATAGTGATAATTATTTTATAGAATAATAAACATATAATAAATCATTTCTAATTTTTTTTATTCAAAAACAAAAGATAGTTTAACAATTAAGCAAAATTTTAACAATACTTAAATAATAATATTTTTGACTCAATTTATTTAATGTAATACATTGTGACAAATCTTTGTGAAAAATCGTGATAAAGTTTTGCAAACTAAATAAATTTTTCAGACTATTCTCACATCAATTAATGCAAATATAAATAATATTTATTAATATATAAAATATTAATTTTAATTAATTATGTATTGTATGTTATGACTAAAATATATAATAATTGTGTGAAAATAATAACATAATTTATATTATATAGTACTATATATAATAAAAATAATATTTTATTTTCTCAATGATATAATAAAATCGATATTTCTTTTATATATAAAACGATAAATATATCCGTATAAAAATATATTGTTTAATTTAATAGTACAACAATTTAATRTATATATATTAATTCAAATTAAATAATTAAAAAATTTATATCAATTATAATTCAATTAAAAATATAATTTCACACGAAAAGACATAAATTAAATATTTATTAGCAATAAAAGAAAATACTAATTATTATAAATATACTCTAAAAATTATTATATTAATTTTGATATGTAATTTTATGTTTATTAAAAATATTAGTAAATGCTAATTTTATAGATATAACAAATATTCAAATCAATACTAATAATAATTACAATACATTTTAAATACAGTAAATACAACAGTATTACAATATTTTATGCGTATAGTTATAATATACCAGAATAAAGACTGGCCCTTAAGCGATGATTCCCCCCATAAATATTTCACATTTTATGTATAGTACTACTAATAATATGCTAAAATTATTATATAATGTAAAGTCAATCAGCAATCAACAACATTTGTATTATTAAAGTTTTTTTACTCCTAATTATTACTTTATTTTTCATTTTGTTATTATAATGTTTTCAATGTATGMAATTTGCCAAATATGTATAGTATTGACTTTATGTTAGTTAGTATTAAATAGTGTATTAAAATGTATAGAAATATTACATAAAATTTATGAAAACTTTGGCTTATCTGTGCTTTTAAACAAATATACAATATTTCTCTTTATTTTTTAAAGTAGCAATTTTAAAAAATACAAAAATATACTGTACTTTTGTACATATATATATTTGTACTCTATATCATCTCATTTTGAAGTAAATGTATTTTTATATAAAAATTGTATTCAATTTAAGACCCGAAGGCATTACATGACAGAATAGTCAATGCGTTGAAAGAAATATTTGAAACAATAAATTGGTTTTTCATTTAACAGTTACGATATTTTTGCTCAACTTTATGCACTTTTTTTGTTTCTTACATAACATACAATAGTATCTCAAATAAACATTTTACAAATAYACATATACTCAATATCTAAATGTATTCAAACTTTTTTTATCTACAATATTGTTAATTTTAACATTATCTACTGTTTTAAAGTATAAATCATATCACTGTATTACGTTTAATACACTCTATATACTGTATTATATAAATATATTCAGTTGTTATTTAATAATTAGTTTATATAAAATTTCTAATCATAACTAATACTAAGCAATTCACTAATATCAACTAATCCAATAAAAATAAGTTGTATTGCTATACAGTATAAACCATTTTTAAAGAAAATCTAARTTAATATACAAAAACAATAGACATTGCCTTAAGGTATGTTAAATATGCTTTAAAAAGTGGACAAAAGTGTATTCAGTATATCTTATAGTAGAAAAACTTAGAAATACAATTTAAAAACATTTTTTCATCCAATTTTAACTAAAACAACATAAAAATATTACATTTAGAAGTACTTTATATTGAATACAGTTTTTATTTTAATAAATAACAAAATATTAGAAAGTTATATAATATAAAACCAAGTTGACCTATTGTTGTTATATATATATATATATAAAAAAATTTAATTAATTATTTTTTGTTGTTTTCAAAAGTAGAAGTTAAAACTAAATTAGTATTAAAATTTCATTTAAACAATAAATTTTAGCGTCAAAATTGTGTACAAAATTTGGTTATCTGTGGTGTGAAATGAGTTTTGTTATGAAGCCATAAGAAAATAATTGCAAAAAACCTAAAAAAATTTCCGATAAAATAGACTATACCTACAAAAACCATAGACTCAATGTATTTTTATTTTCTTCTAAACAAATTCATAAAACATTATTTCTATGGGAAAAGCAAAGCGTTGAATGACTTTCAATGGAATTTGATTTAAGATTGAGATAAACGTTACTCTCATTGAAAACTTATTGCAATCTCTGAATCACTCAACAAATGAAACACTAATATATCGCAAACCAGAAAAAAGTTATAAAACACTAGTATTTATAGTTTTAAAGACAATTTTTTATTACTATTTATTGTTTTTGTCGGAGATTTTTTCAGTGTTTCGGTACTTTTGATTGTTATCATCAATGAATTACTTCAAGGCTTTAAAGTTAGCAAAAATAACATTAGGTTTTAATATCAGTATTTTCGACATAAAACAGTTTTAAAAAAAATTTATAAATTTTAAAAAAATCAAACTATTAAATGATATTTCACTTTTATATCAGTTATTAATTTAAAAATGAATATATATATCGCTTAAAATAGATTAAATGTTTTAAAAAATTCTATATTTATTAATGATTTATAACCAATAATATTCGTAATAGAAAACTAAAAATATAATTTTAATTTAAAAATTTTAATAAGCAGATATAGTTAAATATTATAATAATTATTTTTAATATCTTAATCTAAATATACGTAATAAAATTTAAATTTATTAAAAATAAAATTAAGATGAATTATAATTTTTTCTCGTATTTCATTTATTTTTTAATCAAAAATAATCATAATTTCAAAGTTTTTTTTACTATTTAATCAAAAGCTTTAACACCGATATACTATAGAGAAAATGTTTGAATCAATACTATGATTAGAAAACAAATACAACGAAAATGAATCTTAAGACAAGTAATAGCACTTAATTTAATGGAAAAATTAAAAGTAAAAACGTTATAATAGTATTTCGCTTAAAAACAACACGACTTTTAAAGCTCACAAAAGCTAACATATCTTTTTAGAGTTTGATATAAAACATTAAAATTAATTTAATTAAAATGTTGTTTAAAAACTACATATTATCAAACTCTTATTATAAATTAGTAATAATTGCATATTTTATAAATTAAATGATTTAATATACTTTTATATACTTTAATATTGCTTAATAACTTTGGATTAAACTATAACTATATAAAAAATTTTGAATTAAATATTATTTTAAATTAAAATATTCTATATATTTAAATTAATGTTCAAAATGTAAAAAATTAAATTACATTTAAATATTAGTTATATTTAATAAAGCAAAATAGATTAAAATCAACAAAAATTAAATTACATAAAATTTTGTATGTTATATGTAATACATATAAATATAAATTTATACAGTATTAATACATTTATATTTTACTTTTAGAATACTAATCACAATTTGTTATAAAAATGAGGGAAAGGGTGTCTGTCTTTCTGTGTGTTTGTATGAAATGAGAGTCAGTAAGAGAGAGAGAGAGAGAGAGAGAGAGAGAGAGAGAGTAAAAAAGAGAAAGAAAGATTGAATTTAAAAAGATATCTTTAGCTTTATTTTTGTGCTTTTTATTAGCAATTATATTATCAGTGAAAAATGCAAAAGTATTGGTGCCTCACATACCGTATTATCTTAAAGTCAGTGCTGATGGTAAACGTCAGTCCTCTTGAGGATCTCTTGTCATTCAATTTGAGCTAAACTTCTGTAATCAAATTAAATACATAAAAATTAATTACGAACTTAAAATGTAAAGCAAATGGACAGGTATTGCAAAATAATAGTTGGGTTTCATTGAGTCTGTTGTGGCAAAGCATACGAATTACTTTAAAATGAATGTAAAAGCTTTCAAATAACAAATCAGTGAATATATAATCAAAAAAAGATATAATAACATATCAAAGCTTTTTCTAATAAATAAATGTTTCATTTCTATAGATAACTATAACTAGATTTTTATATGTAATATCAAAAAATGCTATTTGGTGTCTATTATATGCTTTTTATTATTGGTTTTGAAATTTACATTTAATCTATTGAATGACAATATTAAACAACAATACTATAAATAATGTGTAGATATAAAAATATTGAACAATATATACAAACTAAACTAAAATTGTCTGCTTATATCTATTGATGCATTGTATTTGCATTTTTCATAAATAACCACAATATTAAAGACAATGGAGAGTGAACTCAACACTCATTTGTTTTATGATACTCTCTCTYTCTCTCTCTCTCTCTCTCTCTCTCTCTCTCTCTCTCTCTCTCTCTCTCTCTCTCTCTCTCATTTAATGCTAAAACAAAATATATGAAGAAAATATTTTTCATCCATAAAAATATCGCATAAAAACAGTTATGAATTCAAAGTGAGAGTAGGATTGCATTGAGAGATAGTTAGAGAGAGAGAGAACAATAATATATAAACGGAAATATTATATGTATAAGAATCGTCTATCTATTCAAATAAATATAAGTAATATTTATAAAATATAAATATATATATACAGTACATAAATTTATATTTTATACATTTTTATATATAAATACTGTCTCTTATATATCCAACTATTTTCACTATAAAAATGACCGAAAAAACAATATTTTTGGAACAAAAACAAAATATACATTCAATTCCACGAATTAATAATTTGAAATATAATGTTATACTAAAAATGTATTATATTTCAGTATGTATTACATTAATGTATCATTTTATTATAATACAGTATAAAACTATAATATCGTACAATAATAATAAACTAAAATTTTTAAAATAAGCTTTTAATAATATATTATTATCAATATTATTATGTTTGATTACATGATTACTTTTCATCTAAATTATTTTTGATATTGATAAACAATAGAAAATAATAATTGAAAACTAAAGTTAAATAAAATAATAAAATTTGTAAACTATTTATATTTTTATTAGTTTTTATATATTTATGTATCGGATTTGTATTTAAACAAACAGAGCGCTAACATAAAAAGGATGATCATTAGTACAATCAAATCTATTATTACTAAAATATATTTTTGCATTTTATTTTAGATTTTTTAGATAATAATTAAAATTATTAATTATAACATTGTATTTTTTATAAATAATTCTAATTAATAATAATATCAATTATAATTATACAAAATTGTTTACTTATGACTTTTTATATTTTTATTAACTTTATATATTAATATAATCAGAAAATCTTTGAAAAGTATATTTAATATCAATCCTCTATTTGATTGGACGTCTGACAACTCTAGTCATACCAAACGTATTGAAAATTCTCGTAGAAATACTCAAAGGAATACTCGAGTTATGACAATAAAGTTATAGACTATAGTATTGCATATATTGTCATCACTTATGCAAACATTTTATTTCATTTATAAAAATACAATATACTATATATTGTGTTTATACAGTTACAGTATATACTAGTAATGCAAAAGTGCACAAAATTTTTTTAAAAATCTATATTTTTTATTGTGTTATGAGATGTATGTTATGAGATATGAGTAATGCATTGAATTTAAAAATTCATATATATTAAAGTCAGCACTTTATGAGACAAAAGTAAAAGAAAACAAAATAAAATAAAGAAAAGAGAAACAAATTTTATTTATAATTTAATTTTGTTTTATAAAACAAAGTTATTACTAAAAGTACGCGATATACTGTATAGTATCAATATTTAAGTCAAACTAAATTTATTTATTATATTTGTCATATAAGTAAGTAATTTTAACTTTTTTTATATGGAAACGTATGATGAAAATCAATCAAAACATATTTAATATAATACTATTATTAACAAAAATCTAAAAAATAAATATAAACATAGAATGAAATATCTATATTTATTTGTCGTATATAATATATATTTAGAGTTTATAGTTATACGATATATTAATAGAGTAAAAGTTAGTTTGCGGTCAAACATATATTTATTGTATTTATCGGTGACTTTCCTTAGAGAGTCAAAACTGAGTTGGGATTGATTGATAAGAGTTAGACCACGTAGTCATCGGAGCCATAAAGAAATAGTATGACATTTGGTATGTCATGCTATCGGATAAACTATTTTTTATTATGTGATCTACTCTTACAACAAATGCAAATAAATATAAAAACTCTTTTTATATCTTATTTAGCTTAAAGGCACCGACAGTTTACTTTCATTTGTGTATATGTATATATCTACAGTATGCATGTCTATGTACAGTATGTATCTATAATATATGTGTCTGGATGTGTGTATGTGTGTGTGTGTGTGTGTGTGTGTGTGTGTGTGTGTGTGTGTGTGTGTGTGTGTGTGTGTTTTGCTCTCAACTAAAATGACAAAAGTTATTTTTTGTATGAATACATAAATCGACTAAAATTTATGTAATATTATATTTGTATAATATGCTATGATATCTAGATATTCAATAATAAGTTAGAAATAAATATATTTTTCACTTTTGTAGAAAAAAACGTATTTTTGACAAATATTTTTTTATTTCTATTAATGAAAAGTAATTTTACATCATTTCTATTTAATAACTTTAACTTAATAAAATAAACTAATCAATAGATAATGTCTTAATATTTATATTTTAACAAAACTTGCATTAAGTAAAATATACAATTTTTCAAAAAATATTTCAATAATACGATAAAATATTTATTATGTCTAATATCTCAAATCATAATTTTTAAATTTATATATGTCATAAAATCTATTTTCACAAAAATAAAATATTATAATAAATTCACAATACAAATATATAATAAAAATTGTCAGCCCATTGGATAGTAATTCTTGAAACCGCAAAATACATATAAAATATTTATATTTATTGAAGAATTCATATAAAAACAAACTTTTTTTATTTATCAATACTTATAACAAACCATTATAATAATAGCTATCGATATACTGAATATACTGTATATATTTACGTATATAACAATATAACATTATATGGCAATATTATAGATAGATGTCCATCTCACGAGTAAAATAAATCTAAAAATAAATTGAATCTCTATATTTTTACCAAAAACATATACATATATATTAAACATAAATAAAGCAATTTTATTTAAGAGATTGACAATAGTTAAAAATTTGTTTTAACATTACTATCTATCTATATTATAGGTTCAATGAATTTAATGCTTTTTAATAACAACAGTACAGTATATTAATATAATTATGATTTAATATAAATGATTATAATATTATAGTATGAGCTCAGGTCACTATCAAACTCTTAACCCAATGTTTGACAGTTACATATCAAGTAAAACTCATACTATAAATATGTAGCCAATATTTACATATGAAAATCATATTGAGATCACAAATGGGAAACGGAGTCGAGTTTACAATAGATGTCTATAATATAAATATAAATAAAAAACTGAGTTTTGGTCTCAAAGCTCGAGCTCATCATCTTTGGTCTCATCTCAACAAACATTACAATAACAGCAATGAATTGCCAAACGATAGGACACTGAATCAGTAAATCAGTGATTCATTGAATACATAACAACAAACATATAATATGGTATATATTATATATAAATATATATAATATAATATATATATAGCATCACATCATTTGAATTGCTTTTCATATATATTCTAATTTTTATTTATTTTTATCTCATTTTCTTACTTTTATTTGCCATACATTGCTATACTTCAACAAATGATTTGGGTCTTCATTGAATTAAATATGTTTTCCTAATTTATTTTCTCAACTAACTTCATAATACCAACTATTAGTACTAATAATATTAAAATTATACTAACAATAATAATAATAATTTACGTCATTGCCTATTAAAACATTAGTTTACATTATTTAATAAACTATACTTATAGATATGCTGTAGTACAGTATGAATAAAAAAAAAAAAATCTAAAGAAAATAATTAAAACTTTACATTAAACTAATATATTGATGTTTTGCTATATATTAGTTTAATGTAAAGTTAAATAAAATACACATTATATTTATTTTTGAAATAGCACATCGTTTTTAATCAGATATATATATATATATATATATATAATGCACACAAAAGAAAACAGACATAAAACACATTAAGAAATTCAGTTATATATATATWTATATATACTGTTAGTGTGTTATAGCTGTTGGCTCAGTCATTAAATTTGGTGTGAATAGCAATGCAAACCAATTTCTACATATAATATACTGTGTATTCTGTATATATAATTGTATAATAGTTGTATAACAGTATACAGTGATGTTATATAATGTATTGTACTGTATATACAGTATACTTACTCAGACAAAAAACTTGGTGTTTAATTGAGCGCTAATAATACTAATAGTAATGAAAGTGTGGTTCGCTTTTTTAATAAGCATTGAATTGTGTGTGAATAACAACACATACGGTTAACACAGCACTGAACTACTATTCCTTTAACTACTGGAATATCAATACTCCCTAATAGTAATACTCCCTTATCTATCATTTTTGTTTGTTTTTACACACATTTTACTTGTTATTTATCAATTCAATCGTTACTTTATTATTATTAGTTTAATTAATACACTATATATTCACCTCTTTTTTTATTGTAATCAATTGTTATAAAATAAATACAAGCCTTTTCTCTCTCTCTCTCTCTCTCACTCACACTCACTCACTCACTCACTCACTCACTCACTCAC